CGACAACCATGGTAGAAGACACCGAAACGAGGACTAAAGGAAGCAGAAAAGGCAAGAACACCCAGGTTCGGGTCGACAATAATGCCACGAGCGAGAACGAGCCGGAGACCATCAACGATGAAGCCGACGGAGACACCGATTCGGACTCCGACTTTGATGATGGCGACAAGCGATATAACTTTCGCACCCTAGCAAAGCTCCTTGAACCCGTGCCAAAGCTCACGTCACGAAACTACCATAGCTGGAGCGCTCACGTGAAATCTTTCCTCCGATCCGTGCCTCATGCGATGAAACATCTCGAGGGAACGTACGACAAGAAACACCCGAAATGGAGCCGCTCCCTTGACGATGCTTTAATTAACGCCCTGCGTGGAACAATCGATACTACCGGAGAACACAATATAAACTACCTCGTTCTAGATGTAATCAAGGAGTACCTTACTTTCAACCAAGTATGGAGAAAGATCGAAAACGGTCTCACGAATGAAGCCACCAAGACGTCCCACAGACTTGCGCTTATCTCGCAACTCAACGATGCAAAGATGTTTCACTTGGATGCCAGAAAGCTAATCCAAGAGATCCGGTCCATACAAACTGAAAGCAGTCTCCTCGGAAAACCATTCGCCGATGATACATTGTTCTCGGCCCTGCAGAAATGCACGATCCGGCATCCGGTGTACAAGGAGACGGTTGCCACCGTCCATCAAATCGACTTCAACGCCCTTGCCACCGCATTAAGCATCCGGCAGACTGCTGTCGAGAGTGTCCCCGCGCAAAGGATCGACCCCCGACAAGCCAGCGCTAGAACCGCCGGAAACGACGATCAAAATGAACGGGCCGGAGAGACCGAAGCCGAAGCCGACAACAGCCACGCGAGCCCGAGGAACGCAAGCAAACCACGCCGAATCCGATGCTGGATCTGCAAGCGACCGGGACATGGTATCAGCCAATGCGACGCCTTGGTTACCATTCCCAAGGACTCTCCCCTCGCTGAACCCAAATAGGAAGCGTGGTGCTCCCTCACCCTCCCAATGAAATGGCAGGACCCCTCGAACCCAAAAGAAACAGCTCATTGGATCTTGGACTCGGGGGCGAGTTATCATATGGTGAAAGACTACAGCATGCTCATTCACCCGAGAACTTGCCGAAAGCGGATAATTACCGCCGGAAGCGAGGTCTTGGAAGCGGCAGCTATAGGAGATGCGAGCATATCAACAGATTACGGGGAAATCTCTCTGCAAAATGTATTGTATGTAAAGCACCTTAATGTTAACCTTCTGTCAACAAATTCATTAACGGATGAAGGAGCACGAGTGATACTGGACACAACCGGCGGCCAAATCTTCTTAACAAACGGCATGACACTTAAGATTGCAAAGAATCGCGAGCGAGGACTTCTGGAGTTCCGAGGCGACACATGGCAAGAAAGCGCGATGGCCACATCAGCACCATTGTTTGAAGGTGTTGATGAGGAGTTCGAGCATATTAAGAATGAGCCGAAAGTTTCAAAGCAACAACTATGGCATGAGCGTCTCGGGCACCCAGGAAGAGATAAAGCTAAGGCGATCACAAACAAGTTAAAGGATAAGCATACCATGAAATTGGATCCAAACACCGCTCTGACATGTGAGCAGTGCGTACGATCCAAGAGCACAAGCGCTCGGATGGGGAAAGGTAGCGGCGAGAGAGCCGTAGGGCCCCTGGATCTTATCCACGTCGATCTAATAATAGACTCGTCCCACGTGACGGAGTACACATGCACGTTGGTGCTGGTCGACGATCATAGCAAGTATGTGTATGCACAGCCATTGACACGAAAGAGTCATGCCTTTATGCAACTTAAAAGAATTGTTTCGTTCCTGGAGACACAGACGGATCGGAAGCTAAAGGCGATCCGATCCGATCAAGGAACAGAATGGAAAAGCAATGATGCACTAGAATGGTCGCTAGAAAAGGGCATAGAGTGGCAAACCACCGTAGGGTACAACAGCAAACAAAATGGACAGGTAGAGAGAATGAACAGGACCCTTGGAGAGAAGATGAGAACGTTGCTAATGCAGAGGAGACTACCGAAGAAGTTCTGGCCATACGCGATCAGAGCTGCAGCGTTCAAAATAAACCTCACTCCGAGCGTTGATAATGAATTCCCTTACCAAGCGATGTTTGGCAAGCCGCCGGAACGAGCTTTAAAGCTTCTACGAGTGTTTGGTTGTCTGGCATGGGTAAACATACCCAAAGTTAAACGGGACAACAAGAAACTGGACCAGCGAGCCGTCGCATCCATTTTCTTAGGGTACAGTCTAGAGAGGAAAGGCTGGCTTTTCTACAGCCCGGACTACAATCCGAACATCTTCTGGAGCAATTCAGCAAAATTCATGGAATCAAAGTGCTGGTCAGACAGAACAGAGTGGCGACCGGTTGATACAAAGGCACCCCCAATGACGATGACAGAAGAAAATCTCGAAGATCTAGGATATAACAAAGAAAATATATTCGACGAAACAGATGAAGAGCCACTACGAGAATACATGGATATGGAGTCAGACTCGGAAGAAAGATTACGCGAAGGAATAGCAGAGGTGATGGAACAAGGACCAATCGCCGAAACTCAAATTGACAGCGAATTCTATGGACTCGTAGCGACGCGACCGGAACGGAGAAAGAACCTGGACCCAACCATACATGAAGCAATGAATGGAGAGGACAGAAAGCACTGGGAGGAGGCCATGCGAAAGGAGCTGGATGGATTAGAGGCGATGGGCACATGGGAGATAGTCGACCTTCCAAAGGGTGCAAACACCGTCGACACACGTTGGGTACTCAAGATCAAAACCGATGCAAACCTCGTGCCAACAAAGTTCAAAGCCCGGCTCGTGGCACGAGGTTTCACTCAACGCGAGGGCATCGACTATACAGAGGTCTTCGCACCAGTAGCACCTATCCAATCCATTCGAGGGGTGATCGCGGTCGCAGCAGTACGAGATTGGGAAATGGATTCTATTGACGTAAAGCAAGCGTACCTGAACTCCACTATACACCATGATGTATACCTCAAGCCCCCAGTAGGAATCGAAATGCCACCCGGAAAGGTGTTGAAGGTAGTGAAAGGACTGTACGGTCTGAAACAATCGGGCCGAGAATGGAACATTGAGTTAGACTCACATCTCCGGACGATCGGATTCCATTGCATGCCGAGCGCACCATGCCTATACTCAAGAGGGACAGGCGACAAGATCACGATCATCACAGCATACGTGGACGACATGCTGATAACATCACCCAGCCGTGATGAAGTAGATCGCGCAAAGCGAGAGATCATGGACAAATGGGAGACGCAAGACAATGGAAGGGTCAAAGAGTTTCTGGGTATCAAGATCACACGTGACAGAAGACGGAGGAGGATATCCCTGGGTCTAACGGCATACATCAAGGAAATGGTGAACAAATGGTTAGGAGGAGCAAACGAGAAATCCTGGATACCCATGCTAAGTGTAGCGAACACCGCCGGAGGCGAGCGATGTGAACCTAAGCGAGCAAAGAGGTATCAAGAATTGGTCGGCCAACTATTATGGGTCTCCAACACAGCCCGACCAGATATTGCCTTTGCCGTCGGCGTATTGGCGCGATATATGTCGATCCCGATCGACAGTGCATGGAAGGCAGCTGTCCACGTGGTAAAGTACCTGAACCAAACGAACGAATATCAGTTGCACCTAGGAGGAGAGACAAACGAGCACTCGGGTACACCGGTAACGACGTATACCGACGCAAACTGGGCATCCGACCCCACAAATGGACGAAGAAGTACCTCGGGGTCGATAACGTATGTGTATGGATGTCCGGTGAGTTGGAAATCACACGTTCAGAAGTGTGTAGCACTGTCGGCAGTCGAAGCAGAGTTTGTCGCCGCTTCCGAAGCGGTACGAGAAACCTTATTCTTCTCATATTTGCTCCGGGATTTGGAGGCCACGGGCGTTCGGCCCGTACTATACACAGACAGCCAGGGGTGCATACAGGTGAGTAAAGACCCAGCCAAACATTGGAAGTTAAAGCACATCGACACACGGTATCATTTCGTATGCGATCACGTACAAGAGGGCGATGTGGAGATCAAATATGTCGGAACGGCAAACAACGTTGCAGATGTCTTGACAAAACCCTTACAGGGCCTTAACACCTCACGATTGGCTAGGATGATAGGACTGGAGATCCCGCCGAAGGGGGGAGTTGAAGATGCGTCGGCATCTCAAGCAAGGTGCACGTGTTACGGCCGAGACATCGAGATACGGGAGGCTCACATAAGCGAGGAGCACAATGAGGTACGCAATTGTTGTCACGGTGACAGCACAGTGGCACCCGGTATCATAGCAACACAGGGGCACAAATGAAGGAACACACCCTGCCTCGGATGGGATCAGAGCGGTGAATGGAGTATATATATGTGTTTGTCATTTAGGTTCACACTATGAAAAACCAAGCATTACATAGAACATACGGCTGTGGCAAAGGGAGTCTGATCGTGACCCCGATAACGCCGTATATTAATTGTTATCTTCAATTCCGTTGGTGTGATCGTTGAGCTGAGTTTCGGCTTGACCGGCAGCTGTGTCGGCGAGCATCCGTCAAAGTCAAGTTGAGTTGAGCTGAGTCAAACTTGTCGATTTCACGCTCCTCCTTCCGAACAACTAGAAGAATAAGGCTGCGCTGTCCCCTGCTGTTGCTGTCCCCTGCTGTGCTATGCTGTGCTGCTGAGTGTGTATTCGCTACGCGACGCCACCGTTCACACGCCTTCCCCTTGCTCGCCTTCCCTACTTGGCCTGCCCCAGAATATAAGAAGAGCCCTGACACCGCTCAGACCGCTTATCACAGAGAATATTGCCCATTCTCCATTCCTGTTCGCAACATCCTACATACATCTCCAGGACTCCTTCCTTTCTTCCTTCTCCTATCTCTACCACCATCGCAACCACAACCGGCCGTATTTCAGCATAGTTGTAAGAATGTCTGCCGCTACTCAGCCCGCTCCTGCCACAAACGGCATCACCTCCTCTTCCCCCTCCAAGGCTGCTTTCGACCACAGCCAAGCACTCAAGAAGATCGCTTCTGTGCCTCTCGTCTCGGATTCGCTCAGCTTTGCTCAGTCGACCATCAAGTCGCACCCCATCCTCGCTACTACCTATGGTTACGGCGAGAACCTCTTCAACCACTCGCTCAAGGCTGCCGAGCCCATCACCAACCGCATTCACCCTCAACTCGCTTACGTCGACTCGCTCGCCGTCAAGTCGCTCGACTTTGCCGAGAGCAAGTGGAGCTACCCCTTCCACGCCAACACTCAGCAGTTGATCGATGCTGCCAAGCTCCCCGCTGACCACGCCCGCGCCTTCATCCAGCCTTACGCCTCGGCAATTCAGAAGGCTTATGGCGAGCATCTCTACACCCCTGCCAAATCCGCATATCAGTCTCACATCATCCCTGCTTACGACACTGCCCACACCAAATTTGACGAGATCAAATCGCAAAATGCCTACCTCGAGCGTGCTACCAACATTGTCAAGGACTTGCAAGCCAAGCTTGCCAAGACTGTCGAGAACATCTCTTCTCGCAGCAACAAAGAGGGCGACCAGGCCACCGAGAAAGCCCAGGGTTTATCGAATGCCATCTTTGCCGAGCTCGAGCGCGTTCGTCACTTTGCCCACAACTTGCCCGCCGAGAGCCGCAAGCGCGTTGGACCCGTCATCGAGTCTTTCACCGAAACCTACGAGCAGTTGAGCAAGCAGGCTCGCAACCCCGAGGTCCCTGCTAGCACTCGTTTCCTCAACGTCATCAAGTTTGTCCGTGAACAGTCTTTGCCCGCTTTGCAGAAGGCCATCATCAACCCTCCCTCGCAGACTCAACAGAAGGCAGAGAACGCTGTCAACTCGCCTCTCAACAGTGCCAACTAACGCCATACTTGTATCCGAACAAGTTGCCTGTCCCTAGTATCATAGATATTCCCCCTCCTTCCAGTTGAAGCGTTTTTGTTGATGATAGTTCTAAGTACAAATGCGAGTCAAGTATCTTCAAGTTTTCCCCACTCGCGCATGCTCGGAATGCACACATGCATGTGCTGCTGAGCCCCTTTTGTGCAAGCCTTTTACTTGGCTGTAAACACTTTCTCCACAGTCTCTATGCTTTGTGCAGCTTTTATCTACTTCAACTCCCCCCCTCAACAGCATATGTACCCTGTTCATTATGCTGTTGTTTCAAGGTGTGACCTCTGTTCTTCAATACTGTCATGTAGCTTGGGGACCCCATTCTGTATGCCACTGCTGGTATTTGCAGGTGTAGCCCAGATCTTGCTTGCTGCATTGCTTGTCTCCCAATGGGCTTTGTGAGTACATCTGCCAAGTTTCTTGTGGTGTCCACATACTTGATCTGCACCCTTCCCTCTTGGATGTTGTTATGGATGAAGTGATACTTGGTGTCAATGTGCTTAAGCTTCCAGTGCTGTGCTGGGTCCTTACTAACCTGTATGCAACCAGTGTTGTCTGAGTAGACCATCAGGGTGCCTGTGGCAATACCAATTGAGTGTAGCAGCTGCTTGAGGAAGAGCACCTCACATGTTGCTTATGTGGCTGCAATGAACTCTGCCTCAACAGCAGACAATGATATGCATTTTTGCATTGCTGACTTCTAGGCTACCAGGTTCCCATACACTAATGCCACTGACCCTGATGTACTCCTTCTCTGTATGGTGGCATCACTCATCCAGTTTGCATCACCATGCATGACCAGTGGCTCTTGCAACTCATTTGCCCTATAAACCAATCCAACCTCCTTTGTGCTTTTGAGGTAGTGTAAGACCTGTTGTGCTGCCTGATAATGCTCTTGAGATGGTTCACGCATGTGTCTAGCAAGGATGCTCATGGTGAGGCTAAGGTCGGGCTGGGTGCTGTTGGCAACCCAGAGCAGCTTGCCAACAATCACTGGATACTCCTTCTGTTGTGCTGTGCTTGCGACAAGGGTTCCCTCTGGTATGCTCTGCATTGGAACCATGGTTGGCTTGGTGCATTTGTCCAGGTGCTTTGCCAGCACTTGGTCAATGTACCCTGACTGACCAATTGTCTTGGTGCACATCACATGGTCTCGACTGATTTTGATGCCAAAGAAGTGAGAGACCTCACCACTATCTTCCATCTTCCATCTCTGGCCAATCTGCTTCTTAACCTTTAGGACTGTTTCCAGCTGTGGTGCTATGACCAATGTATCATTGATGTAGATGACCACAATGGCCATATCTTCACCCTGTCCCTTGGTGTAGATGCAGGGAGCACACTCTACCTGGAAGAATCCCATGCATTGCAAAGACCTGTCAAACTCCTGGTTCCATTCTCACCTGGACTGCTTTAGGCCATATAAACCCTTGACTACCTTGTACACCTGGCCAGGAGCTACTCCTGATCCTTCCAGTGGCTTCATGTAGATTGCTTCCTTTAATGTGGAGTTCAAGTAAGCCATAGTGATGTCCAGAGCATGCACCTCCCAGTTGTTCTGCACTGCTAGTGCTAAGATGGCTCTGATTGCTCTGAGGGATGCTACTGGAGAGAAGGTTTCTTGGTAGTTGATCCCCTCTCTCTGTGTGAAGCCCCTGTCAGGGGTCTCGCGCCCGAAACCCAGGTCGGTCTGTCGAGATACTCGGTGACTATCAAACTGTGCGACAGCTATTGTCTCGGTATCGGTGACTATCAAGTTGCACAGTGACAGCAGGTGGCGTTCGTTATATATACTATCGTAGGTTTCGGCTGACCTCTGTGGACACTCCGTTCAGGGGTAGCTCGGCACGATCAATATCAATGCTATGATGACACCAAGGTCTGGTGTGAGTGTTGATGATGATGAGGTTGATGACGTTGGTGATAAGGTTGGTGGGTGTTGATGATAATGAGGTTGATGGTGTTGGTGATAAGGTTGGTGGCATCAACACGAGTGTCCAGTGTGTTGACTTGATGCTTGAAGTGATCCCCGGACCGCAGTGGACTACTGCCTTCGGTTCTATCTTGATCCAGACTGCTAACCTGCTATAGGGGCCTTTGGACGTCAGGTAGTGGTGATACAACACACACACTATGATGAGGAGCAACCTTGATAGATTGCTGCTATGCTGACTGAAACTAATATATACTTATGCTGAAGTGATAACTAGTTATGGTGAGTAGAGTGGATGAGGATCCACTCGACCTATGATGATGAGAAAGCATGGTTATATACCTCTTCACAGCATCGCCAGTGATGCTGCTCCTGCTCTCTCTCCAGAGAGTACCCTCTTCATCGAGTACTGCTCAAGGGCCTCTCCTGCTTGGCACCCCTGTGCCTCTTGAGTGGTGTCGACTCCTTCGACACTGCTCCTCCTCCTCATGACCTGGTGTCGACTCCTTTGACACTGCTCCTCCTCCTCATGACCTGGTGTCGACTCCTTCGACCCTGCTCCTCCTCCTTTGATCAGTGGCAGTTCCTTTGGCTCTTGTCTCTCGAGCCCCTGAGTGGTAACCATCTGCATGCTCCTTGAGCTTGGTCCTCTTCGTGGCTGTGCCTGCTCCTTGAGCTTGGTCCTCCTCGTGGCTGTGCTTGGCCCTCCTTTGCATGTGAGTCCATAGGAGTCCATGGTCTCCATGGAGACTGCACTACGACCATGCTCTCTACTGATCTCGACTAGATCTTCGATACCTGTGCTCCTTCCATATGAACCAGCGACCCTCCTGCTTCCTGAGCATTTAGGCCCATGACAGCCCCTTGCAACCAGTTGCACCTTGTGCTTGACAGGCATGCCATCAGCATCAAGCTTCAGCCGAAGTACAACCTTAGAGTCCACAAGTGGTACTCCTGGTGGTTGGTGCACCACCTCCCAAGTCCCCATTGCCTTGAGTCCTTCCAGCTCCTTTTGTATTGCCTCCTTCCAGAGCTGGGCATCCTCACTGTTCATTGCCTCTCCAAGAGTTGGGTCCAGGTTCAGTACTGCTGTGTTGGCAGTGCCTACTGTGCTGTCTATAGCTGGTAGGAGATCCTCCACCATGGCCTCTGATCTGGTTTCCTCTGCCACTGTGGTTGGCATGACACCCTCCTCCTCAACTTCTGTGGTCACCATGGGCTTGAATGTCTCCTGTTGGTGATTTCTCCATCCTTTGTCCTCATGGAATGTTGCTGAGTTGCTCCATGGGATTGACATGGGCTGGTCTGGGTTGCAAAACTTCCATGCTTTGTGCTTGTTGTCGTACCCAATCATGATGGCTGGCTTTGCTCTAGCCCCATACTTGCCTTGCTGGTCCTTCTGTTGAACATGGACCCATGCTAAGCATCTGAAGACTCGCAGCTGTTGGGCCAGCTTGTGTGCAGTGGTTCCATAAAAGGCCTCATGAGGAATGGTCTTGGTGGCTGATGGGGTGAGGTTCATCACATGTGCTGCTGCTGTGATTGCATATGGCCATAACTCTCTGGGGCAAGCTTGACCAATGAGCATTGAGCACATCTTTTCTTGGACCAATCTGATTGCTCTCTCTGCCCATCCATTTTGGATACTGATCCCCAGGACACTCTTTTGCCACTTGAAACCCTCCTGAGTTTGCCAGTCTTCAGCTCCCAAGCTGCACCACTCTCCTCCATTGTCACTGTGGAGCATTTTGAGTTTCCTGTCTGTTGTTTGTTCCATCCTGGTGATCCACCTTCTCAGTGCTGTGAGTGCAGCACCCTTAGTGCAGAGTGGTTCCACATAGATCAGGGAGGAGAAGTCATCCACAGCAACTAGTGCATAGTGGTAGTTGGCATGGCCCTTGAAATCTGTCATCAAATCTATGTGTACTAGCTCTAGTGGTGCCCCCACTCTTTTCAACTCTGATTGGCTCATCCGCACTTGGGTCTGTTTCCCTTGACTGCATGCATTGCAATGCTTCGACTCATGCTCCATCCTCTCATCAGTACCGAGGTAGTGCACCTGGATCTGCCTTGTCTTATCTTGTCCCAGGTGTCCAAACCTCTCATGCCAGAGGTAGCTGTCCCAATCTCCTGTGTTCCTATTGTCCTCTGGGACATCGTTTTGTCTTCCTGTGTTCTTATCATCCTCTGGGATGTCATTGTGAGTCTCCTCCAGCTCCAAGGCCAGTGCTTGTCCTTGCACTTCAAAGCGGCCTTGTCTCCTGTTCCTCCTGAATTGCACTTGGGTACCATCATTCTGCTTTATGGTAGTCCCAAACTCATCAAAGGTTACTCATGCACCATTCTCAATCAAGCCTTGTACAGACAATAAATTAGCATTGAGTTTTGGCACATAGAGCACATCCAATAGCTGGATGGTAGCCTCACCAACCTGAAGGGAGGCATCTCCTATGGCCTTCACCTGAAGCCTTTCATCCCCTGCCATACTGATCTGGCCAACCTTGCTCATTGAGGTGAGCAGCATTCTCTCATCATTTACCATATGATGAGTTGCACCTGAATCGATGATCCAGGTGTCACATGCCAATCGCTTGCCCCCATCGATCACTAGGAGGTGCACCCAAGTTCCTAGTGGCTTGCTTCTTGTGTCATATTGTTGTTCATGCAATTGCAGGCAATATGGTTTGGTCCTCCACACACGTAGCATTTCGGAGGGGCTGAGGGGTTGTGGGGATTGCATCTGCCCCTTGGTCCCTGCTCTGCCTGGTTGTTGTCCCCCTGCTCTGCACTCGTGGCAACCCTGGCTGCCCCTCTAATGTGGCCAGAGATCTCACCATCCTGCTGCTTCTTTGCTAGCACATGGTAGGCTTCGTCATACTCACAATCTGGCTTAGCTGTCTTGAGTGTATCAACAGCATTGGCATAGAACCAATCTTGGGCTGTGCAGCAATAGAGAGTTGACTTCTTGAGCTCCTTGTTGAAGCACTTTCCGAGACATGCCACATTGTTCCAGATCAAATCGAGTTCCTTGCCTAGCCTGACAATGTCTCAATTGTGCAAGTGCACCATGTGAATATGATCCTGCAGTCCTGCTCGCTTTACAGCATCATTCAGTGTCAGTGCTTTCTTGAGCTTGGCATACAGCGTGCTGCTGAGTTGGACCTCCTCATCTGCACCCCTAATGGTGTAGGTGTCAATGCAACTGTCTGGGCTGTTGTTGCAACAAGCATGGATGAGGCCCATGAGGGCCTTGTCCAGATCTTCGTTGTACTCCTTGCTTCCAGGTGCAATTATGCCATATAGTATCTCCTTTGCATTGCATACCCTCTGAAGACAGTCAATGAACATTGGTTCCCAAGTATGCCAGTTGCTATCGCTGAGCTTCTTGATGTGTGCAATGGAACTTGATACATCCTTGGGGATCTTCTCCGTCTCTCCATGTGGGGTCTGGCCACTGATGCTAACAAGGCCCATAGCCCATATGATCACCTCCTCGGCTGTCAGTGCTGGGTTTGCTAGCTGGAGGATCCTGACTACCTGCATGAGCCATCCTTCCTCTCGACCATTACCTGTGGCTGCAGCTGCTTGTTCATCATCTCTTCCCATCTGTCTGGCTCTTGTCAATGGTGGCATTGCACTGAGCATCAGACTCTTAATCAGTTGAAGCGTTTTTGTTGATGATAGTTCTAAGTACAAATGCGAGTCAAGTATCTTCAAGTTTTCCCCACTCGTGCATGCTTGGAATGCACACATGTGTGTGCTGCTGAGCCCCTTTTGCACAAGCCTTTTACTCAGCCGTAAACACTTTCTCTGCAGTCTCTATGCTTTGTGCAGCTTTTATCTACTTCAACTCTTCCCGCTATCTCTCAGCCCAACGCACTCGTTGGCTAGCATACTTTTCCAACTTCTCGTTGCTTTTTTTTTTTTTTTTTTTTTTTTGGCCGTTGCTCTCTTTTCTTTTCTAGTTTCACCCCAATCCGGTCCGGCCCTGGCGATTCTCTCAGAATACCCAGCCATATCTTTGACACAATCCTACCTCGATCTTTGCCTCACGGTCTGTGTTCAAGCCTTCTTTCCCGAGATAAAATCCAGTTCTATTGCCACAGTTCAACACTTTGCTTCAGAAGCGTTGAGGTGAGAAACACGCAAGGGCATCTGCGGACCCACATCTTCCTGTCCCACAACTCTCGACCTAATCACAGCAGTCTGTTTCGCTTCCACCTCCCATCCTTCCACCACTTGAAATTTGAACCTCCCCACCAAGTGACACAAGATCGCCTTAAACTCTGCCAGCGCGAACCTGTTCCCGATACATGCTCTTGGGCCGGAGATGAAGGTCATAAGATGCATCGGTAGTCCATTCTGTTTTGCGCTTTCGGCAAGGTCTAACCATCTCTCAGGCTTGAACTCGGCTGCATCCTCGCCCCAGATCTCGGGGTCTGAGTTGATCGCTTGGATCGGGATCAAGACTTCCCTTCCCTTTGGGATGTGTACCGAGGTGATCGTTGCCTTTCCCTTTCTGTCGGGATAGGCACGAGAGAGAGGAATGTCGGTGGTGACTTTTGCTACCCTAATCGTGTTCGGGACTGCGGATTTGCAGCGGAAAGATTCTTTGCATACCGCGTCGAGATAGGGCATAGACATTAGTTCGTCATAGTTGGGATCCCGATCCATGGTAGAGTTCAAGTGATCGTGGATTTCCTCCCTCAACTTGTCCTGTAGGAAAGGCTGCTGTGCGAGAAGCCAGAGTGTCCAAGCGGTTTGATTCGACGTCGTTTCGTGCCCAGCGATTAGAAGGGTTGTAATCTGCCCAATCAACTCTGCATCATCTAGCTTTTCCTTCGGTGAAACATCAGCTGCCATATTAGCCCTCATCATAAGATGCAACAAATCTTTCCCTACTCCAGATCTACTGCTCGTGGAGTCTTTCTCGTCAAAATCCGCCTTCGTAAACCCACCCCCTCCGTCGCCTTTCCTTGCTTCAACCTCAGCAGCCATCTCAGAACGGATTTCGGTCTTCTTCCGATCAACAATCTCCTGCGAAACCTCTTCCAAAACCTTGTATGCCTTCTCTGTAGCTCTCTTTCGGTTACTAGGAATTCGGTCCACCCATCGCAGTAGGGAAAAGTTGCTAAGAAAGATCTGCAGGAATCGCACAATGTCAATGTTCAACGTCAACTTGAACAACGTATTAAACGCATTTCCCAAAACATCGCCCGCTCGTTCCTGGACAATAGCAGGATCCGGAGAAACTTCGAGCGATTGAAAATGGTATCCGAACCCAGCATCACCAATAATATCCAGGGCTGCTCGAGTGGTCCACCATCCAATATCTAGTACTGGCTTTCCTGGTGTGCTTGCTTCTAGTGCGTACTTGGATTGAGCTACGAAGGGGGTATGCACCCCATCCGCCCCTCCCTCTTTCTTCTCGGAGGTAGAGGAAGAGGAGAGATCGATCATAGTAGAGATCTTCTCCGCCAATTGACGACTATACTTCATAAAGATGGGATTGAGCTCCCTTATACTCCCCACATTAAATGCCGGTTGAAGGATCTTCCTCTGCCGCTTATGCACTTCCCCCTCAGCCACCAAAACACCCTCTCCCAGGAAGTTCTTCAGCACCAACCGAGTGGAAAGCGGTTTCTCATAATTATAAGAGTTGGCGCTGGAGAGCATATGCAGCATTGCGCGAGGATCAGCGATGAATAGTCTCGGCGTGTAGAATAATCCCCGATAGACATAGACGCGGGTTTGAAGTTGCCGAACGAATGAAAGATGGCCTTCTGTGGGGGGTGAGCGACGGATGAAGCCAAGGTTGCCTGTTAGGAGTGGGTATCGATCTGTCCTAGAGGGGCGCGGGAAATGGGAATAGGCGTCCGTGCCAAGAACATGAAGGGAGAGGAGGCGGTAGGTGGAGAGGGAGAAGAGGTAGATGGCGATAGAGAGGAGGAGCGTGAGGGGAAGGAGAACGAGAAGGAAGAAGAGGGAGAGGAGTGGGTGCTGAAAGATGAGAGACAACGGTCGGTGGACCACTTGGTTTAGGAGCTGGCCCACCGATGGTGGTGTGACACGGTATTGCATTGTGATGGAAGAGAGCTAGTGGGTGGTCGGCATGGAAGCAAGGTGGTGGTCGCCTATTGTTGATCGCTCTGGGTGGTAGAACGGCTGAACGTGATAGGGAGAAGGAATGGATGGCGCGGCCAGCAATGGAGGAAGGTCGTGGTCGTGGTCGTGGTTCCTCACACAGAACGACAGGTGGCTGAGGTGAAGGAAGTTGTCAGTCGCACATTCTGACAAGCGCGCCGGAAGGTCAGAACGTGGAGAAGAAGGGCGACGGTGGTAACTTTCAACCGCCCAATCTAAGCCATCTTTCACACATTTGGACCCTCCCCCCAACTAGCTCTTGTTCCGTTGTACTACCAATAAAGCGACCGACAAAGCTGCCCATGTAGAGCAGTTGAGAACGCAACGCTTATCAATCCAATGCAGAGTACGGCAAGCTAGGCCTAGCCAAGCAAGCATCAAGTTCTCGTCTGATGCTAGTCACAGTGCAAGCAATGTCTTCTATGACACGTCTAGCGAGTCGGGTTCTGACACGGCGTCAGCGATACTGCTGGGTGAGAAGCGTGCCGATTGGCCGGCATGAACACGATGTCAAGGTCCGCGGGATGAGCAATGCTCCGTGGTCACCACCAGCGATATGCAACAATGGCGACAGAGTCCAGAAATTCGGCTGCAAGATCAGTGTGAGATCGCCTCGGCTTACAGATGTCAGTTCTCTTTTCCTTTACACCGAATCCCGAATCCCGAATCCCGAATCCCGAAACTTTTATCGTGCAAGGACCCTGAACCATCAATTCTTCCATACTTAGCATCACCACCACCTACATCCACAAGGATACCGGCAACAATGTCATCCAAGCTGGAGCAACAAGTAGCTCAGCGGCTCTCCTCGTCGCTACCTACGGCGAACGAGCTTCTTGCGCAGCGAGTCATCTCTCTTTCACGGTCGCTTCCAACAGAAAAAGCTTTCGTCAATGCTGCTCGTGCATTTGGTCGGTTCGACGAGTCGTTCTTGCTCGAGCTGAGGAGCCTCATTGCTTCTCATCCCGACACATCGACGTGTAATGGCAGCAACGGTGATGCTGCAGGATCATCGTCGGCGTACGCTGGAGAGCCACAGCCTCAGAGAGCCGGTCTCGCAACACTAGGCGGGGAGAGGCATATCTTTCGAACACCCAATGCCGAGCTCAAACAGAGCTCGCTGCGGCTGGATAAGCTGACCGCTGCAAAGCGTGCAGATGCGAATAGATCGAATAGTGGGAATAGAAGGCAGAAGGTATCAGGTACGCAACTCAGCCATTTGCAGGATGATCTCGACTCGCCTGCGCAGAAGGCAGTCGCGTCGGAACCGGTGTTTAAAGCGCCTTTGAGGCCTGCTTCTGCATCTCACTCACAGATTCGAGCACGCGGGAACGAGACGCCGAGCCATCCTGGTGGATTGAGCGATACAGCTGCTCGGAGGTTGGAGGAGCATAGACGTAAGCGTGCGATGGCTGCGGATGCAAGAGCCGATGCCTCGAGCAAGGGCAAGCAAGTCACTGTTGCTTTTACTTCAAACGGCGCCACGTCATCAGTGGCAGTGGGTCGTTCCAAGGGCGATTCCTGGCGTGCATCTGATCGCAATGACAATGGCAATGCCTACGGCCGCGACTCCCGCGACAGAGGCACACCATCTTCACAAAGACTCGAAAGACGTACTTGGGACTCAACGCCTCGCCACACACCTCGTCGCACTGACGAATCCGATCGTTGGACACCAAGGTATTCTGGCTCCATACCTCGAACTGTCCCCTCAGACCCATCTCTCGCCTCCACTCGTTCAGCCGGATCTCGTCGATGGGACGAAACCCCCTCCCACCACAACAGCAGCAACAACCGCTCCTCCCCCATCCCCAAAGATACCACCTGGGAAGACTCCGACGACCGCCAACTCGACCGCGACTGGTACGACATGGAAGAATCCACCACTCTCGCCGCCGATTCTGAACAGGACCCTTTCTCTCAATATTCCGATCTCAAGACCGCCCTCTCCAATTCCACCCCTGTCCCCTTCAAACAACAAAAACTAACAGCCCGTCAAGCGCAATACAACTCTGACGCGGACGCATGGGAACGCAACCGTCTCCAAACGTCCGGCGTTGGTCCGCGAACAGCGATTGATCTTGACAATATGGACGATGAGGGTGAGAATAGAGTTCATCTATTGGTGCATGATCTCAAGCCGCCGTTTTTGGACGGGAAGACGGTGTTTACGAAGCAATTGGAGCCAATTAATCCGGTGAAAGATGGGTTGTCGGATATGGCAGTGTTCGCGAGGAAGGGGAGTAGGTTGGTGAGAGAGACAAGGGAGAAGGCGGAACGTGCCAAGGCAGCGGGCAAGGTGGCAGATATGGGGGGTACGGCGTTGGGCAATATCTTGGGTGTTAAGGGGGCTGATGATGAAGATGATCCCAAGTCCACCTCTGCCGCCAAGAATGCTGCCAAGAATACCGCCGCAAACAGCATAACCAATAATGATGCAAAGGTGGAAGCGGAGGGTAAAGGAGATTCGCAATTCGCCAACCACCTAAAATCAACCACTGGCGCTTCGGACTTTTCCCGTACCAAAACTCTTAAAGAGCAACGTCAGTACCTCCCAGCCTTCGCTTGTCGTGATGACCTACTCAAAATCATTCGCGAGAACCAAGTGGTCGTCGTCATTGGAGAAACTGGATCGGGTAAAACCACACAGCTGGCCCAATTCCTCCACGAAGACGGATACACGCAATATGGGCTCATTGGATGCACGCAACCTCGTCGTGTAGCAGCAATGTCTGTCGCTAAACGTGTTTCCGAGGAGATGGAATGCAAGTTGGGTGGCCTGGTGGGTTATTCGATACGCTTCGAGGATTGTACTTCTCGCGACACACGGATTAAGTACATGACCGACGGTGTATTGCTCCGCGAGTCGCTCAACGAAGGCGATTTGGATCGGTACAGCGCAATCATCCTGGATGAAGCGCACGAACGTAGTCTAAGCACCGATGTACTCATGGGCCTCCTTCGCAAGATCCTCACCCGGCGAAGAGATCTAAAACTCATCGTCACGTCAGCAACAATGAACGCAGAACGATTCGCTACCTTCTTTGGTGGAGCACAAACATTCACCATTCCCGGCCGAACTTTCCCTGTCGACGTGCTATTCTGCAAGACTCCATGCGAAGATTACGTCGATTCAGCAGTCAAACAAGCCCTTTCCATCCACCTTTCTCACCCTAAAGGCGATATACTCATCTTTATGACTGGTCAGGAAGACATTGAAGTAACGTGTTCCGTTATCTCCGAGCGTCTAGCGCAGATTGATGATGCTCCTCCATTGTTGGTGTTGCCGATCTACTCTCAGATGCCGGCGGATCTGCAGGCGAAGATCTTCGATGCGAGTGAAGGGGGAGAGAGGAAATGCATTGTCGCGACAAACATTGCAGAGACTTCGTTGACGGTGGATGGAATTATGTATGTTGTTGATGGTGGCTATTCCAAACTCAAGGTGTACAATCCAAAGGTGGGGATGGATAGTTTGCAGATTACACCGATTTCGCAGGCTAATGCAAATCAGAGGTCTGGGAGAGCGGGGAGAACAGGAAGTGGGACTGCGTACAGGTTGTATACGGAGTTGGCCTTTCGGAACGAGCTGTTTGCGAACACAATTCCCGAAATCCAGAGGACGAATCTTGCAAACACGGTTCTAATGCTGAAGTCATTGGAAGTAAAGAATCTGTTGGAGTTCGATTTCATGGATCCTCCCCCTCAAGATACGATACTGAACTCTATGTATCAGCTCTGGGTGCTGGGTGCGCTCAACAACGTGGGAGAGTTGACAGCGTTGGGCAGGAAGATGGGAGAGTTTCCTATGGAGCCTTCACTTTCGAAGATGTTGATTACAAGTGTAGAGTATGGGTGTAGCGTGGAGATGTTGACTATAGTCAGCATGCTATCTGTACCCACCGTATTCTACCGCCCGAAGGAGAGGATGGAAGAGAGCGATGCAGCCCGAGAGAAATTCTTCGTTGCCGAATCGGACCACCTCACCCTCCTCCACGTCTACAATCAATGGCGAAACAACGGCTATCGAGACTCTTGGTGCACTCGACACTTTCTTCATCCTAAAACCCTTCGCAAAGCCCGCGAGGTGCGGTTGCAGCTAGAAGACATCTTGAAGGCGCAAAAACTTGGCCTAATCTCCTGCGACACCGATTGGGACGGCATCCGAAAATGCATTACTGCCGGATACTTCCACCAAGCAGCTCGATCAGCAGGGATCGGGGAATACGTAAACTGCAGAACGGGGATCAAAATGTTCCTCCACCCGACAAGCGCACTTTATGGGCTGGGGTATAGCCCGGAGTACGTGGTGTATCATCAAGTGGTGTTGACAAGTAAGGAAATGATGAGTACGGTGACACAGGTGGATCCGAATTGGCTAGCCGAATTGGGTGGTGCGTTTTATTCCATCAAGGAAAGAGGGAATATGAGTGGGCTGGTGCGTAAGAAGAGGGAGGGTGAGCTGGATAGGAAGACGGAGTTGGAGGAGGAGATGAGGAGGGATAAGAGGCAAAAGGAGGAGGAAGAGGAGGTGGGGAGGAGGAAGGAGAGGGAAAGCAAAGCGGGAGGGGAGACGCCGATGATTGCTACTCCTGGGGCTACGCCTTTTCGGTCTAGGAGGCGGTTCATGTGATCGCCCCGTCCCTCATCTCTTCATCATATTGACCGCAATAGAAGCTTTCTATTATGCATTCTGAGCATCTTTGTCTCGAACGGTTGTTTGTGGTGTGTTTGAGAAAAGTGTCTTTGATTGAGCGATATCTGCGCCAGTGTGTGAATGTGTCTAGTTGACAACCTCTGCATGCTTGACTTCCTTGCCAGTCTTCTTGATCTTCTCCAACACGGTCTGGTACGGTGCTGAACCTTTGACAACAACTGTCTGATTCTCTAATGACACGTCGAAGGAGTCCACTCCTATCCGAAACAAACATTATAAAGCAAAATGCGATTGGCGTCAGTTCCCCTTCTTGACCCGCGTGATTAGGATCCCGATTAGCTGCTCTCTGAGCCAGAAGATGCAGCTGAGGTTCATGACTGGTACGTACCATCGAGCTTGGACAAAACCTTAGAAACAGCGCCCGAACAGCCAGAGCAAGTCATGATAACTTCAAACTTGTATTCGTGCTGCCACACCCGCAACCCAATCAACGAGACAAAGAATACTGTCAGCTGGTCGAACCAAGACTGAAGTGAGCGAGATGATGTGGTGAGGAGACGTACCTGACTCATTGTGTGAGTGTTTTTTGTGGTGATGGAGGTGTAGGTGATGATGATGGTCGAAAGAGGAGAAAGGGTGTGAGGTGGAAAGGGTTGGAAATCAAGGGTCCATGCACACACGGCCCGCTTGCCCGGCGGATTTAAGGTGCAAGACGAAAAGTAAAGCTCGGAGCCTTTCGCACGTCCGATTCTATGTCGAAGGAAACGATCCGATATGATGATGCATGCTGACATAAACGAAATCGGCGATCAGATGAAACAGATCTGTCGGGAGATTGGATGCAATGTAGCCCCGCTCGTTGTCAAGCTAGGTCATGAAGGAGGATACTCGCACATTCGGCACGCACCTCATAGTTGTATATATATCTGCTGGAATACACGATCCAATGACGACGCTGAGGAGTGACACAAGGATGACAAGATCAGAGATTGGTTATCCCCAATCCTGTTCAGGATTGGGTACAACCAAGTCCTGCTCATTGTCAGGCTGGGTCATTAACCATAGGGTCTCCCACATTCAGCATGTGCCACACTTTTGTATATATATTGAGCAGGGAGCACTAGGCTCTTGCCATGTTCACTTAGTCATTTCAGTATATTTGTTTCTGTCTATAACAGCAGTGACATCATACTTAGACTCTCCCCGATCGCCAGTATCAGGACCGAAATGACTTCAGTTTCCAACAGGTTATGAGCCCAATAAGCTGATACACTACTGATACACTATCAGCAACAATAGCAGATATGCTACCAAATCAAATTTGATATCAACAAGCTGTTACTCTACCACCATGTCTAATCCAGACTATTCAAACTATAATGACTTCATTGAAACAATGCAGGGTCTCCTACCTCAACTGCCGAAAATCCTTCAAAACCATTTCAATCGAGAAATAGCCAACAAGACCTATGGTACTCCTACAGCTCCGAAGGATGGTCACTGTCAGGGGTCTCGCGCCTGAAACCCAGGTCAGTCTGTCGAGATACTCGGTGACTATCAAACTGTGCAACAGCTATTGTCTCAGTATTGGTCTCAATGAGCTACATTGCTCAGCAACTATCAAGTTGTGCAATGACAGCAGGTGGCATTTGTTGTATATACTGTTGTAGGTTTCGGCTGACCTCTGTGGACACTCCATTCAGGGGTAGCTCAGCACGATCAATATCAATACGTAGATTATGATGACACCAAGGTCTGGTGTGAGTGTTGATGATGACGAGGTTGATGGTGTCAGTGATAAGGTTGGTGAGTGTTGATGGTAATGAGGTTGGTGGTGTTGGTGATAAGGTTGGTGGCATCAACACAAGTGTCCAGTGTGTTGACTTGATGCTTGAAGTGATCCCTGGACCACAGTGGACTACTGCCTTTGGTTCTATCTATATCCAGACCACTGGTTTGCTATGAACTGCCTTCGGATGTCAGGTAGTGGTGATACAACACATGCACTACAATGAGGAGCAACCTTGATAGATTGCTACTATGCTGACTGAAACTAATATATACTTATGCTGAAGTGATAACTAGTTATGATGTGTGTAGAGTGGATGAGGATCCACTCAACCTTTGATGATGAGAAAGTATGGTTATATACCTCTTCACAGCGTCACCAGCAACGCTGCTCCTGCTCTCTCTCCAGAGAGTACCTTCTTCATTGAGTACTGTACAGGGGCCCCTCTAGCACTGCTCCTCCTCCTTGCTATCCTGCTTGCTTGGCACCCCTGTGTCTCTTGAGCTGTGTCGACTCCTTTGACACTGCTCTTCCTCCTTGCTATCCTGCTTGTTTGGCACCCCTGTGCCTCCTGAGTGGTGTCGACTCCTTCGACACTGCTCCTCCTCCTCAGGACCTGCTTGCCGGTTCCCTATACACTTGTCTCTCGAGCCCCTGAGTGGTAACCGTCTGCACGCTCCTTGAGCTTGGTCCTCTTCGTGGCTGTGCCTGGCCCTCCTCGCATATGGGCTCAGTCCTCCTTTGCATGTGAGTCCATAGGAGTCCATGGTCTCCATGGAGACTGCACTATGACCATGCTCTCTACTGTTATCGACTAGATCTCCGATACCTGTGCTCCTTCCATATGAACCAGTGACCCTCCTGCTTCTTGAGCATTCAGGCCCATGACAGTCACCTCCTTAAATATGCCATGGAAGAAGGCGATGAGGAACAGATTGTCTCTCCCATGTCCATCATGATTGAATGTATTGGTAGTCTTTACAAAGCAATGCACAATCTTGGTCCATTTGCCAGCTGAATTGAACTTGGTAGAGCAATAAGAACCAGGGTGAACAACTTCCTCACCAACAAGGAATGGGACACAAGCCAGATCCTCGATTTCAAAATCGAGGGCCTGATTGAGTGACAACACCATATCAAGATGGAGATGCCAGCATCAATCAGGGCCAACACCCCCATTTCTGAGGCAAACAACTTCAATCGCTGCTTGGTTGGTCACAATGCTACACCAGGTCCCACCCCTGAGCTCAATGCAATCACAAACCATCACCTAAAGGTTCTCTCAAGTCTTAATGAAAAGATGTGATGGGATGAGAATGACCTTCTTGATCCAAGAATGGCTTCTGTGCATGCATGGCAATGCAAAATTTTCACAATGCTATCCATTGTCCCTTTCACACAAAATGTCCTTGATTGGAAAATGACTATGTTCGAGGATGCCAACTCAATGCTCAGTTCGATCATCATGCAGAGCTTCTCTAACAAGCTGTGTACTGAATACTTTGCTGAGCATGGCAACAAGCCAATACCAATTGCTGTGGACCTCTTTGATTGGGCAATGAACAAGTGTACAGCTCATTCTACCATCAAAGGACATGAACTTCTTGCAGTGACCCATGATTTGCATTGGGATCAAGTGGGCAGCCATGCATATGACTTCCTCATCAAATGGGAGGCTCATGTATTGGAACTGCACACATATCTGCAGGACCCCTGGAAGCTGGACTACTGCTACAGGACCCTCAAACGAGCACTCCCTTTGGACTGGAATGCTCTGTTCAACTCTGTGTTCATCCTACACAAGAAAGTTCATGGTAGGGAGCAGACTGTCAAGAGTGTCTCCAATGTCCTACACCAGTGCTATGAACTTGCTGCTGAAAACACCCCTGCAAGTCATCATCATGTAGCAGAGGAGTCTGAACTCATTGCATTGTGAGCTGCCACCCTCATCAACTGTTGGGCATGTGGCAAGCTTGGTCATGCAGCCAATCATTGCCCCAATGATGTAACCCACATGCACTGGAGAGAAGGCAGGATGAAGGTACTGCCAAAAGGCCATGCCAACACATGTATAGTATTGCCACTTGTGAACTCTCAGGAGGAATAGGATGTAGTGCCAGTCTTGGCCTTCTTTACAGAGGTCAAGCCAGCACCAATCAATCTACCACCTCAGCTGATACTGTTTGTGTTCGATTCAGGTGTCATGGGCCTGGATGCTCGAGAAGCAGGAGGGTCACTGGTTCATATGGAAGGAGCACAGGTATCAGAGATCTAGTCGATACCAGTAGAGAGCATGGTCATAGTGCAGTCTCCATGGAGACCATGGACTCCTATGGACTCACATGCAAAGGAGCACTGAGCCATATGCGAGGAAGGCCAGGCACAGCCACGAGGAGGACCAAGCTCAAGGAGCATGCAGATGGTTACCACTCAGGGGCTTGAGAGACAAGAGTCAAAGGAACTGTCACCAGTCAAAGGAGAAGGAGCAGTGTATAGGACACCGGCAAGCAGGTCCTGAGGAGGAGGAGCAGTGTTGAAGGAGTCGACACCAGGTCATGAGGAGGAGGAGCAGTGTCGAAGAAGTCGACACAGCTCAAGAGGCACAGGGGTGCCAAGCAGGAGAGGCCCCTGAACAGTACTCGATGAAGAAGGTACTCTCTGGAGAGAGAGCAGGAGCAGCATCACTCGCGATGCTGTGAAGAGGTATATAACCATGCTTTCTCATCATCAAAGGTCGAGTGGATCCTCATCCACTCTACACTCACCATATAACTAGTTATCACTTCAGCATAAGTATATATTAGTTTCAGTCAGCATAGCAGCAATCTATCAAGGTTGCTCCTCATCATAGTGTGTGTGTTGTATCACCACTACCTGACATCCAAAGGTGCCCCATAGCAGGTTAGTGGTCCGGATATAGATAGAACCGAAGGCAGTAGTCCACTGAAGTCCAGGGATCACTTCAAGCATCAAGTCAACACACTGGACACTCATGTTGACACCACCAACCTTATCACCAACACCATCAACCTCATCATCATCAACACTCACACCAGACCTTGGTGTCATCATAACCTATGTATTGATATTGATCGTGCTGAGCTACCCCTGAATGGAGTGTCCACAGAGGTCAGCCGAAACCTACAATAGTATATACAACGAATGCCACCCACTGTCACTGTGCAACTTGATAGTCACCAAATGACTAGCTTGACGAGACAGATACCGAGACAATAGCTGTTGCACAGTTTGATAGTCACCAAGTATCTCGACAGACCGACCTGGGTTTCAGGCGCGAGACCCTGACACACAGCACCAGGGGCTAGATTATGACCAGACTTTCAGTCTGGTTATTCGCCTTCAAACAGTATGAATTCTACTTGCAGTCACTTGTTGATACAGGCTACATGCTATTCAGCTCGATGTTAGTATGGCATTTTTGAATGGAAAGATTGACAAGGACATATATGTCTGAATCCTGCCAACATTCGAGATGGAGCAGACCAAGAACAAGTGTTACAGGCTGAAGAAAGCCCTGTATGGACTCAAACAAGCTGGACAATTGTGGCATGCAGTGCTCAATGAACAGCTTCAAGCATTCGGTTTCAAGCACTGCAGAGCTGAACCATGCATATACATGCATGGTTCCAACAATGTGATGGTGTTACTTGCAGTCTACATTGATGACCTATTAGTCATTGGGGTGACTGAATCACACATCAAGTCAGTAAGGCAACAGCTCTCAAGTGTCTTTACCATCACAGACCAAGGTAATGTATCACACATCATTGGTTTAAACATGGAGTATGACAGGAAGGCTCATATGCTCTCGATCAATCAGAGTAGATACATTGAAGGAGTATTAACAAAGTTTGGGATGGACGAAGCGTGGGAAGCCTCAACACCGGCTACCGAAACCATCTGTCAGAGGTCGCATGCCCAAAACCTGATATCTGTAATAGAACCACATCTATTACAAATTCCGTCGAGATATGTGACAGTGCTTGTGGTATTACAATTCTTGGTGAGATATGTAGTAGAGACATCGCTATCACTTTTCTTGCTCAAAGATGCAGTAATGGCTTTGCTATTGCAGGTTTTGACTAACTGCTGTGAACACTCTGTCCAGAGGTAGCTCAGCATGATCAATAACTTGAATGTATTGCTCGACACCAAAGGTCTGGTGTGAGTGAGAGGACTGGTAGCACTGACACAAGTGTCCAGTGTGTTGACTGAAGGCTTGAGGTGATCCCCTGACTGCAGCAGATGACTGCCTTCAGTTCTATTGTTATCCAGACTGCAGGTTTCGATGAACTGCCTTCGGACATCAGTGAGCAGTGATACAACACATGTGCTATGATGGATGCAATCTTATTGAGATTGCAATGTGCTGACTGGATACTAATGTATACTTAGGTGTAAGCTATAACTAGTAGTGTATGGTGTAGAGTGGATGGAGATCCACTCACTTGCTATGATGAGGAGCATGGTTATATAACCATCCCTGTGGTGTCACCTGCGACACTGCTCCTTCCCAGGGAGGCCTTGTCAACTCTGCTTCTCCTCCTCATCCTTCCTATCCTGTCCACCCTCCTGGTGCTGTTTCTTCACCACTTCTCTCACTTCGTACAGGCAAATGGTTCTCATGCTACTTCATCATCATCAGGGGTCTGTCCCACCTCATCTGAGTGGCGACTTGCATCTGTTCATTACCCTCCTGTCATTAGCACCCATCTGTTTGCATCGACTTCATTGTTGTGCAAGGTCCCTACTTCATACAGTGGCAACTGTCCTCCCCTCATACAGTATCCTCCCCTCATCGTATCAGTGATGGGGTGCCTCCCAGACTGATTCTCATGAGACCTGTCATACTCAGCATGATATTGCAATCCCCACTGAACTCTGTGGTAACAGCTCTGTTCCTACTGATCCTGGCAAGTTATGCTATAGGATCATCTCTCCTACTGATCCCAATGAACTATATTGTAGGCACATTTCTCCTACTGATCTTGGTGAATTATGCCATAGACTCATTTCTCCTACTGATCTCAGTGAATTCTCCCTTAAGCTCCTGTGTAACCCAATCCTGCGATTCCTGCACTCCTTCATATGACTTCAACTTCTTCTTTCCTCCTGCGCATCCGGCTCCTATGACACCATCAATACCCTCGGGCCACGAGAAGGCGACGCAGCTAGCATCCAAGAAGTTCGTCACTATGCATTGCTTGTGGGGTCATTGTTGTGGATTGTGCAAGGCAGCAGACTGGACATCATGTTTGCAGTTGGCCACTGTGCATGGTTTGTCATGAACCTGTCAGGTGAGCACCTCACAGCAGCTAAACATATACTCAGGTACCTCAAGGGAACAATAGGGATAAATCTCTCAGTGGGAACACACACCAGCAGATGGATACTGGCCAGATGGGCTGACAGCAATTGGGCTGGCTCGCATAGTTGTAGGAGGTTGACATCAGGATATGCCTTTATTGTCGACAGTTTAGTATGTAGCTGGTCCTCATGGCTCCAGCTGATGGTGGCAAATGTCATGGGCCTAAATGCTCAGGAAGCAGGAGGGTCACTGGTTCATATGAGAGGGGCACAGGTAGAGATCTAGTCGATACCAGTAGAGAGCATGGTCATAGTGCAGTCTCCATGGAGACCATGGACTCCTATGGACTCACATGCAAAGGAGCACTGAGCCATATGCGAGGAAGGCCAGGCACAGCCATGAGGAGGACCAAGCTCAAGGAGCAGGCACAGCCACAAAGGGGACCAAGCTCAAGGAGCATGCAGATGGTTACCACTCAGGGGCTCGAGAGACAAGAGTCAAAGGAACTGTCACTGGTCAAAGGAGAAGGAGCAGTGTATAGGACACCAGCAAGCAGGTCCTGAGGAGGAGGAGCAGTGTTGAAGGAGTCGACACCAGGTCATGAGGAGGAGGAGCAGTGTCGAAGGAGTCGACACCACTCAGGAGGCACAGGGGTGCCAAACAAGCAGCAGGATAGCAAGGAGGAGGAGCAGTGTCGAAGGAGTTGACACAGCTCAAGAGGCACAGGGGTGCCAAGCAGGAGAGGCCCCTGAACAGTACTCGATGAAGAAGGTACTCTCTGGAGAGAGAGCAGGAGCAGCATCGCTGGCGATGCTGTGAAGAGGTATATAACCATGCTTTCTCATCATCAAAGGTCGAGTGGATCCTCATCCACTCTACACTCACCATATAACTAGTTATCACTTCAGCATAAGTATATATTAGTTTCAGTCAGCATAGCAGCAATCTATCAAGGTTGCTCCTCATCGTAGTGTGTGTGTTGTATCACCACTACCTGACGTCCGAAGGCGCCCATAGTAGGTTAGCAGTCTGGATCAAGATAGAACCGAAGGCAGTAGTCCACTGCGGTCCAGGGATCACCTCAAGCATCAGTCAGCACACTGGACACTCGTGTTGACGCCACCAACCTTATCACCAACCCAACCTCATTATCATCAACATTCACCAACCTTATCACCAACCCCATCAACCTCATCATCATCAACACTCACACCAGACCTTGGTGTCATCATAATCTAAGCATTGATATTGATCATGCCAAGCTACCCCTGAACAGAGTGTCCACAGAGGTCAGCCGAAACCTACGATAGTATATACATGAATGCCACCCATCACGCAACTTGATAGTTGCCGAGTGATAAGCTCATCGAGACCAATACCGAGACAATAGCTGTCACACAGTTTGATAGTCACCGAGTATCTCGACAGACCGACCTGGGTTTCAGGCGCGAGACCCCTGACAGCAAACAGCTCAGTGGAAGCCAAGTATGTGGCCCTAGCAGGAGCTGCCAGAGAGCTCCTGTGGACATCAATGTTCTTACACAAACTGCAGCAGGAAGTGCCACAGATGACAGGAATCAATGTCAGCACTGGGACATCGACCATCCACTCCAAAAATGGAGAACTAGCCTTCAATCAAAACATTCCAATCCTATATAGTGATTCTTCAGGAGCTCGCATAATCACAAATGATCCCCAGCACTTCAAGAGGAAGAAGCACATTGATATTGCCCATTTCTTTCTGCAAGATGAGGTTGCTAGTTGACAAATTGTAATCACCACAGTTCAAAGCAGTGAAAACATAGCTGACAATTTAGCAAAGCTGCTCACAACACCAACACTTGTACACATATGAGAGTTGCTTGGTCTGATTACATCAAAGGAGTCCACTGGATCAAGAGGGGGTGCTGGAATACATGAACCAATGATGATGCTGAGGAGTGATGCAAGGACAATGAGATCAGAGATTGGGGATAACCAATCCTGTTAAGGATTGGGTACAACCAAGTCCTGCTCATTGTCAGGCTGGGTCATTAACCATAGGGTCTCCCACATTCAGCATGTGCCACACTTTTGTATATATATCAAGCAGGGAGCACTAGGCTCTTTCCATGTTCACTTAGTCATTTCAGTATATTTGTTTCTGTCTATAACAGCAGTGACATCGTACTTAGACTCTCCCCGATCGCCAGTATCGGGACCGAAACGACTTCAGTTTCCAACAATATCAAGCTGAGGACACTAGCAACCTCACCACGTTCTTTATTCAATCGAGTATACATGTTTCTGCGCTAAAGTAGTTGCGACATCGTGCTATGACTCTACCCGATCGCAAGTATCGGGACCAAAACTTCTTCACTTCTATTATTCTATACCCACACACACAGCACTCACATATGCTTCGATGACAGTATCGGTGATCAGAAGCCGGCGAGATCATCGTGGCTGGCTCAAGGCGACGAGAGCTCATGGTCGGAAAAGGATGAAAGGTTGACAGCTTGGCCTTGCGAAAGACGGTTCGAAGCATAAAACGTGCGGAAACAGCTCAACACGTCGCTTGAAGCATGTTTCTTTGTACTCCATAATCAGATCAGTGACACAGCGCACAATGGCAGGGATAGAGATGACGTTGCATCGATATATCGTGTTATGGCTAGGAGGATTCCCACTCCTTGGCCTTGGCCCCGTGTAAAGCCTTATATAACCTCCCATAAGGCTCTGACTGCTTCCAGCCTTCTAGCACCTTGTCCCTCTCCGCCAAATCATACACTTCCACTCCCAATGGTCTACAACACTCCAGTGTGGGATCCTCCTCTCCTTGGGCAGCAGCCCCTTCACCCCACATGGCCTTACTCAAATCACCACCCGGGCACGTACTTAGCGCACATAACAGATCCGTCTCTGCAAAAAACTCAAAGTAATCGCCCTTCTTCGCCGGACATGTCTTCATAAAGTACTGATCACCCCCATTCAGGCCAGTACATTGAAAGACATTTAGCACATCATGCACATCTCCCTCTTCCAACCCCCACTCCCTCACCGCCCGTACTAGGTTGCTATGACAGTGATAGTCAAAGTCTTGGCCAGTAAGCATTCTGTTAACGTACGGGTCGCATCGTGTACCCAGCAAATCATGAACTCGACCTCCTTCAGAGTCAATGCCGTAGTCTGCTAGCGAATCGCCGGTGATGGTGCATAGTGGGCGGAGATACGGAAGGCAGGACCAGAGTCGGTCGTAGACAGAAACATGGGCTCGTTGCAATTGACGTGTTCGAGAGGCCCAGAATTTCTCTCGGGGGTTGTGGAGAGACCAGATGTTAAGATCGCCGACTTGGGCGCCAGAGACTGCTACGATGCGGCATAGTTGGCCTGCTTTAACGGACCATGCTTTGCCACTGCGGATAGGGAGGACAAAAGATGAGGAGAGGGTTTTGGGAGAGGAAGCGATGCGATCGTAGAATGATTTGTCGACGTCGAGGGGTGTGCCGGGTAGTGCTTGGTATGCTGCCTGAGTGAGGCGGGAGTTGGTAGCCACCATGCTGGCAGAGGTGCCCGCTCTGGATTCTTGGAGCCGGTGCTTGTGATGGTGTCTGGATGAGCAATGCAACTAGGCAGGCAGGATGGGCACAGAGCAAAAGGAGGAGGTCTGTTCAGAAGGCATGTCGTTGTCCGCACTCGTGCGACATCGGGCTATCTCGGAAGAAGGAAAGAGATAAGTTACGGCTTGTGTGTGGGGGGGTTGCGTGGGGGGAAAGTGAAGGTGGGTTGCCGTGGAACAACTCTTATTGGTATGTTCTCGCTGTGGCTTGCTTACTCGCTTGCACACCAGCACTGCTTTCCGTTGGCTGGAATGACTGTGGCTGCCGTCGACTCGTCTCTCTGTGACAACGTCGGGATCGAGGACAGACGGCGGAGAGAAAGGCTTTACCCGATTCTTGGCTGCATGTCGGCGAAATTCTCAAAGCCAAGAATCAGAAGAGGGGGAAGTCGACCAGTTCGTGCTTCTTCCTCCGGAAGTGTACAGAAGCCTGAGGTGGTGCTAAGGATCACAAACTTGCACGCGACCTTGCAGCATCCTCTTCCTCCCTGCGAGACTGTCGTGCCAGTAGTAGTGAGGTTTCAGTAGCAACGTCCACGCCGGACTGGCCTCGGCAAGGACCTCAAAGACCGAGTTGGGCGTTGGCATGTTTTTGAGAGGAATGTAACATATATTGCTTACTAATGATGAGTGCCCTTTCTCGGGCCCTGGGTTGGTGAGCTCATGCTTATTAATCACACAGACGCGTCATGTGAATAGTTTTTTATTTTTCATTTTTCAAATTGCGCAGTCCAAAAACCGAGTTGGTCGTTGACAATGTCGTTACTCCGAGCCACCACCATCTCCACCTCTCCGACGTACTCGCTTACGAGTTCGTCGTTGGCCGTAGGTAAGTAAACCGAACTTCTCTAGTATTATTGCAAGTTGTTACTCATAAGTGCATATGTTGCAGCCTGCGACTCGGCAAGGTGTATGCGGGAGAGATAGGGATACCAGTTTGGAGTGGGCGAGAAGGAGAGAGCGATGGATCTAATTGGTCGTCTCCGCCAGCTGGCCAAACTTCACTGCAGCTGTCAAAAAGGGACTCGTCTCTCTTCTTGTGTAACCGTAGTTTAGGCCACGAAAACTGCCCGAACCACAACGATTTGCAACCGAATCGCAACTCTTCTCGTGCTTTGCAGCTATGATCTGTATGGCCACATGACAATCTCTTTTGACGAAAATCTTCCGAAGTCCCTCCGGCGCTATTCCACTTTGTCGTCCCCACACTTGCAGCCCATAGAGCAACTTTGATTTGGAGATGGTGTACAACAAAAACGTGGCTTCCTTATCTCGGCCCTCCGTCGCTCATCGGTTCAAACGGCTTTGTAGTTGGGTCCGAACTTGCCCACCTCCCCCCAACTTTGCCCTCCTGTCTCCTTTTTTTTTTTTGTTTTTTACTTTTTTGTTTTTTGTTTTTTGTTTTTTTTTCTTTTCTTTTTTTTTCTTTTCTTTTTTTTTTCTTTTCTTTTTTCTTTCTTTTCTTTTCTTTTCTTTTTCTTTTTCGTCGGTTTCGTTCTTCTTCCGCCACCTGCTTGTCTCCCCACAGTAGCTGCGCAAGCGGACGTCAATGAGATATCGTTTGAACCAATCATGGGCTGTCATCGCCATTGTCTCGACGCCCATCGGCGAGTCATGTGGCACAAAACCTGCTCTGTTGCAAGACTTTGAGTGAATTTGTGCTCTTCTGCACCAGAACAACTCTTTTGAGATGTGTGCCACTCCGTGTCAAGTCAGGCCTCGACTACTGTATGCTGGCCCACTCTTTGTCTCTCGTTGTCGTACAATGTCATTCTTATCTTCTCGATCCCTTCTGAGCTGACTGCGCGACACTGGCGCAACGGACTCAAAGATACGGCGATGACCTCGAGAGTTGAAGACGCAAGAAACAAAGTCGTGCAGGATGTGTCCATTGTGACCGCTGACCTCGATTGTTTGCGCTATTGTCAGGGGTATCTTTTGCCCTTGCTGGGCAGCTATCAGTCAAACTGTGCGAGTCTTGCTGCTATCTTTCGAAACCCTTTCGTCCCTGCAACTGCTTGTCACCGCAATCTTCGTCGTGTGGCTTGTTCCCTCTTTGATGTGATCCTCTCCTCCCCCGCCCTATCAAATGTTTGGAAGAGTGGGGATGGCTGTTGTTGCATCCGTTCCTACTTTCCACTCGAGATGAATACATATAGAAATCCCGCACTTGTAGATAGCCAATCCTTTCCCCCTTCGTCCATCGCCACCTCACATCCTCTCCCTAATACCACTTTCACTCCTCTGTAGACTTCTACCATGGCCTCGGATGGACCCACCAAGGTGGTCACACCGCCTTCTCCCAGCGAGAAGCACTCGGATGCCTACCCCTCCACCGCTGTTCTCGAATCTGGCCTCAATCCCAGTCAGCCCCTCGAAGATCACGAAGAGTACGGTCTTCACAAATCCCTGAAGCCTCGCCACCTTATCTTCATCTCCATTGGTGCTTGTGTCGGTACGGGTATCTTCCTCGGTGTCGGGAACTCGCTCAAGAATGGTGGTCCTCTCGGTTTGCTCATGGGCTACAGTTTGATCGCTTCTATCGTAATCGCCGTCATGATCATGGTCTGTGAGCTCACCACCTTCCTCCCTGTTTCGGGTGGTCATATTCGTCTTGCAGGAAGGTTTGTTGACCCTGCTCTCTCAGCAGCGATGGGATGGAACTATTTGGTTTGCTGGACCCTTATCTTGGCCGCAGAGTTAAGTGCTGCCGCTGTGTTGGTCTCGTACTGGATTCCCACTACCCAGGTCAACCCCGCCGTATGGATTGCCATTGGTTCAATCATTGCATTGGGCCTTAACGCTTTCGGAGCAGGGATCTACGGCGAAGCAGAGTTCTGGTTCGCAAGTATCAAGGTCGTCACTATCCTTGGTTTGATCTTTGTTTCCATCTTTATCACCTCCAAAGGTGGTCCTAATGGACAATCGATCGGATTCAAGTACTGGGATGACCCTGGACCGTTCGTTCAGTTCCATGGTATCGATGGAACTACTGGTCGCTTCCTTGGATGGTTCAACGTCCTCACCCAGGCCAGTTTTTCGATGGTCGGCGCCGAAATGTTGGCGCTGGCCGCAGCAGAGTGTCGTAACCCTCGACGAGTCCTTCCTGTTTGCTTGCAGACAGTGTGGATTCGAATCGTCTTTTTCTACACCATCTCGGTATTCATGGTCGGTCTTATTGTTCCATCCAACAACCCCCGTCTTGGAGCCGATTCCACCGCCGCTGCCTCGCCCTATGTTATTGCTATCCAAACAGCACGCATCCGTGTCCTACCACACATCATCAATGCCGCAATCATCACGTCAGCACTCTCTGCCGGCTGCTCCGATCTCTACACCACCTCCCGTGCCCTCTATTCCCTCGCACAAAAGAAGCAAGCACCTAAGATCTTCACCCGAACAACTAAAAATGGCGTTCCTCACTACGCCGTTCTTGTCTGCTGGCTCGTTGGATGTCTTGCTTACCTCGGAAGCTCTACTGGTTCAGGCCAAGTCTTCAACTTTCTCGTCAACCTCACTGCTCTATCCGGCATTTTGACTTGGTTCTCGATTGCGATCACCTACTTGAGGTTCCGAGCTGGACTTAAGAAGCAAGGTATCTCCCGTTCAACGCTGCCTTGGAAGTCTTCCCTCTCTCATTTCGCCGCCTACTGGACTTTGGTGGTTATTGGACTGGTGCTTGTTTTCTCGGGTTGGGAAGTGTTCAGGCCAGGAAAGTGGAACTCGGCGAGCTTCTTTAGCAATTATTTGCCGCTGATGTGGTTCCCTGCTAGTTATCTGGGGTTCAAGTTTATGTGGAAGACAAAGATTGTTAGCACCACCGAAATGGACTTTGTTACGGGTGTCAAGGAGATTGAGGAGGATATGAGGAGGTGTGATGAGGAGGATGAGTTGAACAAGCCTACGACGACGCTGGGTAAGATCGCCAAGTATTTTGAGTAATCGTGGTGTTCTTATTTCTCCACCACAGCGTCCCATGTCCCGTGTCTCGGATCATGATAGTTTCTAGACAAGCCTTATCGCAATGACAGATGATACCGATATCTGCCGCAGTAGTCCGTGTCGTGTTACTCATCTCAGAGTATTTCTTCCCGCTGTGCGTGCTACCTGTCATACCAGCACCTCTTGCGATCACGTGATTGTACGATATCAGGTGAATTGACTCTCGACTGAAGTGCGCGAACAATTCAGCAATCTGATGGGTGGGAGGAGATCATACGACTATGTACCTTTCACAAATGCAGAACCAGTGGCCGGCTTTCAGCGATGATGCTTAGCGACTCTGGCGTCGTGCTGTTAGCTGGGCAAGAAACAGAGATACATCTCATATGCGACATCCTTGTTACAGACGACGTTTGCTGTTTACAAGTGCTGGCCGATTGATCGCGCGTGCCTGCTCCCGACCCTCATCGCCCCCCATCGCAACTCACTGTCCCATTACGCCTTCTGACCGACGACAACGGCAATCCACAAGTACCTCAATTAAGCCTACCAACGCAACTTGGCCAAACCATCATCAGGATTAAACACAGTCCGGGCAGAAACTAACGCTGATGATCACCATGACACCCCTTCCCATCTTCTCGGGCGGTCCCGGCGATGTACCAGTCGAAAACTTCATAAGGAAATTCAAACGTCTCCTCATCTTCCAGAATGCACACAGCAGCGATACAAAGACAACCGGGTACCTCTCGGTCCGCTTGGAGGGAGGCGAGCATATTTGGTTCAAGGAACAGAATTACGAATGCGCAAGGTCTTGGGATGCGCTTGAAGCCCAAATTGAAGGAGCGCTTCAGGACCAGGGACTGCATCACCAACATCGACGCACGTCTAAAGCCTTTCGGCTGATACCATTCGTCAGCCTGAAGGATGGCTGAAGTGGCTCAGCAAGTTTCAAGAGCTGGCTAGCCTCGTACCTTACGAGCACATGTCAACGCATGCCCTTGCCTACGAGATTTGGCTTCTGCCCCCTGACAATTTCCAAATTATGACTCTTCGACCACACGAAACAATGTCTGACCTCTTTGCATTCTATTGAATGCTTCCGAAGAGGGTATACGAGAAAGCGCTTAACGACGCCACGAATGCTCCCACCATCGCCAACTCCGCAAATGACACCAACGCCATGTATCGTCGCAGGACAAGCCCGACCCTCCTGTCAAAGCCTAGTTTGATCTGTACCTTGTAGGCTTCCCCTGTGTCGTCCCCTTTCACGTAGCAGCGAAGCTTTTCTTTGCATTCACCTGTGATGGTTTTGAATGGCCAGAGCGGCGAGCTTGAGGGCCTGTATGGAAGTATGAAGACGCAGTGCACGGTCCGTACCATCACATGCTGGCCCCCAAGTTTGGCTCCCACCTGTTTGCAGCAGAAAATTGCACGGTGGCTGAAATCGCGGGCCTCTACAAAATGAAGTCACCATGTCGACCGCATGTATTTCATCAAGCACCGTCCCTTCTTTCCTCTTCGCAACAATCGATCAGCATTGATACTCGATCCCACCACGACAAACTCAGCTGTGCCAAAACCATTTACGAAATGTAGCTCTGCCCTTGTCGCACCTTCATAAAGTGAGACACTCTCTCTTGGATCGGCTTCCTCTTCCTACTACCACCATCAATTCCTCTCACGACTTTGCTGAAAATGTCTCTCACCAACCGCCGTACCAAGTTCTCTTTTCTCTTTCTCTTTTTCGCGCTAGCATTCGTAATTGCGTCGGCACACGATCCCTCGGCTTCTGCTCCGACCCTCGAGGAAGCACCTCCAGGTGCCTCTCCTCCCTCTTCCGCCAGCAGCGATGGAGGTTCGATCTCCGCTCCAGCCGGTGGATCCGATGCCAAATCCATCCTAGCCGATCAATCTCACATGATGGGAACCATGTCTGACTCCACCGACGACAACTCTTCCGGTCAGAAACCGGGCGAGAAGAGCGGACCCATGCAACACGGTCAATGTGTCACCTCCTGTGCGACTAAATCCACCGATAATGCTGGTTGTGGTAAAGACCTCAGTAAACCCGATTGCTTCTGTAAGAGTCAGGACTTCATCCAGGGTACTTTTGCTTGCGTTAATGCAACCTGTCCTGCTCAGTACCATGGTGCGGCTGGGGTAATCACGGTAAGTACCACACGCTCTCCTTTTGCTTTTGTTATATTGTTTGGGAGACATACTGATAAGAAACTATTTGTCTGGCTTGGGATGATAGAGCATCTGCGCAGTCTCAGGAGCCCCCGGATTACAGATCCCAGGCTACGCTGGATCGGACAACCTCGAGAACATGCCCACTGTCAACAATGACGACGCGGGTAAAAAGGACGCGACCAATGGTTCAGGTGCAACTCCATCCACTTCGGAAGGAACCACTCCGACCGTAGTCAAGACGGAATCGTCGCGCATTCCTCAGCCGAACAGCGAGGTTAAGAACGCCAGTGTTGGTTCGAGTGCTGGTGGAAGCAGCGGTACAGGCACTACATCGGGTGCAGGTGCTGAGATGGTGGGTGGAGCGGTGGCGATGTTTACCGCTGCTGCTATTGTGGCTTCAGTTGGCGTTTGGACTTTGTTCTAGGCTTGGCCGCTCAGCTGCTCCGAGAATGTCTTACAGTCGTCCTTAGTCTAGAATCATGGTGTAATTCTGCCCGTTCACATCGTTCTCGTCGCTTTTCGATGAAAGATGCTGTTTCTATCCCAGCAATACACACACCCACACTCATTCTCGTTGTTGACAGTTTCGCACGCTATAAGCTGGTCTGTTGTTCTGCTGTGTGACGTTTTAGCCGTCCTTTTACTGAGCCATGACACTATACAAGACGCTGTGCATCTCTCAGATAGAGAAAGCACCCGAACCAATAATCCTACTCGGCTTCATCTCTGCAAATTCTCTCGTAACCTGATCCAGACCATCCCTCCCACTTCTCCTTTGCTGCGAGCTCCCACTGCCGCTCCCAGCCGGAGTCAACTTGAAAAGCTTGATACCATGCTTCGCCACTGTCACCTCTCCCAAACTACCCTTGAACAAACGATCCCCAACCTTGATCTGCTCGATTCCTACCTCTTCTTCTTTACTCGGGTCCTTACTAAAGTCGACTCCTTTCCACAGATCATAGGCGTTCCAAGCATCATCTTTCAAATCCTCCCCTTCCAGATACTCGTCAAAGGGATACATCATCCATACTGATCTCCATCTTCTTTTCCGACTCACTCACATTGATCGCTGCAACAGCATAGGTGCCGTTGATAAGTGCGATCTTCCACAATTGAGTGTTACCGTCGTTGTGCTGTTTCTTCCAGAGTCGGACTGCGGGGGAACCCTTAGGGTCTTGGGAAATGTCGATGACGTGTTTGTTTTTGATGATGGCACGGGTTTGGTTTGTCATTTTCGTGAGATCGTTGCCGAGAATAAGTGGGCTTTTGACCATTGCCCACATGGAGAGATGAACTAAACTTTCGTCGATCGACAGACCTCGATTACCAACATGCAGCATATCAAGATCGTCCCATGCTCCTGGCTAGGCTTTCTGGCCTAGACCTGCGGCAAAGTCTAGAATCTTGGCGATAGAACAGTGATATCCTTGCAGATCACACATGGTGATATCGGTACAGGGGCAACGATCGTCATCCTTGTTGAAGGAGGGGTAGATGTCGCCTGAGATGCGCCAGGAGTTAGCGATCTTGGTCGCGAAGAGCTAAGGCTAGTCTTCGCCCCAGTTGCACATCGAGTAGAGAATTGGGTCCCCAGAAGTCTTGTTAAGGGCTTGGGACATCGCATTGTATCGATCAAACGAGATTTTTGGGTTCCCGAACTGCCCTTGCGAGAAAGAGTTGTGATACTTCAAATACTCGAAACCATCGTCGGACCAAGCCTTCGCATCTACGTCTTCGTATCCAAGCGACCCAATGTGATGACCACAAGTCATTACGCCAGCGGAAAAGTAGATACCAGCCTTGAGCCCGAGACTCTTGATCTCGTCGACGACTTTCTCGAGACCGCCAGGGAACTTGCCCGGGTTAGCGGGGAGGACCTGCCAAAGGTGGCGAGTACTTCTACTTAGTGATCTAACTTGACAACGAGCAGGGTTAGGGTTGTACCCGATCTCTTGTCAGATCGGATCTGCCAAATCTCCGATTAGATTGACCTAGCCCGATCTCTTCACCATCGGCTTACGTCAACTTTCATCATCATATTGGATGGATACCTTTGTCAAGCGACGCTTCTTTTCTTAGCTCAACTTAGTTGAAGTTTTCGTATGATTTGATGATGATAATGGGAGAGAGAGAGAGCGAGAAGTGAAAAAGGAGTCTATATATATACAAAAGAGGAGCAGCAGAGAGCTGCATCAACTGCAGAGCAAAACAAAGCATTTGTCTTGAGTAGGTTGTGACACATGTGGCCCATGCTCGGATGCTCAAACCTTTTACTCAGCTGTAAGCACTACCTCCACAGTCTCTACACTTTGTGTAGCTTCATCTACTTCAACTCCCCCTCTCAACAGCATATGTACCCTGTTCATTATGCTGTTGTTTCAAGGTATTGTCATGGGCCTGAATGCTCAAGAAGCAGGAGGGTCACTGGTTCATATGGAAGGAGCACAGGTATCGGAGATCTAGTTGATACCATTAGAGAGCATGGTCATAGTGCAGTCTCCATGGAGACCATGGACTCCTATGGACTCACATGCAAAGGAGGACTGGGCCCATATGCAAGGAGGGCCAGGCACAGCCACAAAGAGGACCAAGCTCAAGGAGCATGCAGATGGTTACCACTCAGGGGCTTGAGAGACAAGAGTCAAAGGAACTGTCACCAGTCAAAGGAGAAGGAGCAGTGTATAGGAAACTGGCAAGCAGGTCCTGAGGAGGAGGAGCAGTGTCGAAGGAGTCAACACCACTCAGGAGGCACAGGGGTGCCAAACAAGCAGGATAGCAAGGAGGAGGAGCAGTGTCAAAGGAGTCGACACAGCTCAAGAGGCACAAGGGTGCCAAGCAAGCAGGATAGCAAGGAGGAGGAGCAGTGTCAAAGGAGTCGATAGCTCAAGGAGGACAGGAGTGGTGCTAGAGGGGCCCCCTGTACAGTACTCGATGAAGAAGGTACTCTCTGGAGAGAGAGAGCAGGAGCAGCATTGCTGGTGATGCTGTGAAGAGGTATATAACCATACTTTCTCATCATCAAAGGTCAAGTGGATCCTCATCCACTCTACACACACATCATAACTAGTTATCACTTCAGCATAAGTATATATTAGTTTCAGTCAGCATAAGTAGCAATCTATCAAGGTTGCTCCTCATTGTAGTGCATGTGTTGTATCACCACTACCTGACATCCAAAGGCAGTTCATAGCAAACCAGTGGTCTGGATATAGATAGAACTGAAGGCAGTAGTCCACTGCAGTCCAGGGATCACCTCAAGCATCAGTCAACACACTGGACACTCATGTTGACACCACCAACCTCATCACCAACACCATCAACCTCATTATCATTGACATTCACCAACCTTATCACCAACACCATTGACCTCATCATCATCAACACTCACACCAGACCTTGGTGTCATCACAACCTATGTATTGATATTGATTGTGCCAAGCTACCCCTGAATGGAGTGTCCACAGAGGTCAGCCAAAACCTACGATAGTATATACAATGAATGCCACCCACTGTCATCACACAACTTGATAGTTGCCGAATGACTAGCTCATTGAGACCAATACCGAGACAATAGCTGTTGCACAGTTTGATAGTCACCAAATATCTCGACAGACCGACCTGGGTTTCAGGCGCGAGACCCCTGACACTGTCCATGGCTGGCAGAAGGTCCTCCACCACGGTCTCCGATCTGGTCTCCTCCTCCACTGTGGTTGGTGCAGCACCCTCCTCCTTGACTTCCATGGGCTTGCATGCCTCCTGCTGGCGATCACTCCATCCTTTGTCTTCATGGAACATTGCTGAGTTGCTCCATTGAATTGATGTGGGCTGGTCTGGGTTGCAGAACTTCCATGCTTTGTGCTCATCGTCATACCCAATCATGATGGCTGGCTTTGCTCTAGCCCCATACTTGCCTTGCTGGTCCTTCCGTTGAACATGGACCCATGCCAGGCACCCAAAAACTCGCAGCTGTTGGGCCAGTTTGTGTGCAGTGGTTCTGTAAAAGGCCTCATGGGGAATGGTCTTGGTGGCTGAAGGGGTGAGGTTCATCACATGTGCTGCTGCTGTGATTGTGTATGGCCACAACTCTCTGGGGCAAGCTCAACCAATCAGCATTGAGTGCATCTTTTCTTGGACTGACCTGATTGCTCTCTCTGCCTGTCCATTTTGGATGCTGATCCCCAGGATGCTCTTTTGCCACTTGAAACCCTCTTGAGTTTGCCAGTCTTCAGCTGCTATGCTGCACCATTCTCCTCCATTGTTGCTGCAGAGTGTTTTGAGTTTCCTGTCCATTGCCCATTCCATCTTGGCTATCCACCTCCTCAGCACTGTGAGTGCAGTGCTCTTGGTGCAGAGTGGTTCCACATAGATCAGAGAGGAGAAGTTGTCCACAGCAACTAGTGCATAGTGGTAGTTGGCATGTCCTTTGAAATCTGTCATCAGGTCTATGTGTACCAGCTCTAATGGTGCTTCCATTCTTTCTGACTCTGATTGGCCCATCCATGCTCGAGTCTGTTTTCCTTGGCTGCATGCATTACAGCACTTCGACTCATGTTCCATTTCCTTGTTGGTACCTAGGTAATGAGCCCGGATTTGTCTCGTTTTGTCTCGTCCTGGGTGTCTGAACCTCTCATGCCATAGGTAGCTGTCTCGATGCTTCATGTCCTTATTGCCCTCTGGGGCATTATCTAGTTTTCCTGTGTTCTGGTTGTCCTCTGGGACGTTGTTGAGTGTCTCTTCCAACTCCAGGGCTAGTGCCTTTCCCTGTACTTTGAACCACCCTTTTCTTCTGTTCCTCTTGTATTGTATTTGTGTGCCATCATTTTGCTTAATGATGGTTCCAAACTCATTGAAAGTTACCTGTGCACCATTCTCAATCAAGCCTTGTACTGATAATAAATTAGAATTAAGTTTTGGCACATAGAGCACATCCAATAGTTGAATGGTTACATCACCAACCCGAAGGGAGGCATCTCCTATGGCCTTCACTTGAAGCCTTTCATTTCCAGCTGTACAGATCTGACCATCCTTGCATGTCAAGGTGAGCAGCATTCTTTCATTGTTCACCATGTGGTGCATAGCACCCGAATTGATGATCCAGGTGTCCGATGTTGGTTGCTCATCCCTGCCGATCACTAGGAGGGTGCACCCGAGTTCCTACTGACTTGCTTCTTGTGCTGGATTGGTGGTGGGTCTGTCCATACTCGGTGCAGGGTTGTTGTTGGTGTTTGTGCAGTTCCAAGCAATGTGATTAGGTCCTCCACAAGCATAGCACTTTGGAGGGGCCGAGGGGTTGTGAGGATCATGCCTGCCCCTGGGTCCTTGCTCCACCTGGTTGGTGCTCCCCTGTTCCATGCTTGTGGCAACCCTTGCTGTTCCTCTAATATGGCCAGTGACCTCACCATCCTGTTGCTTCTTTGCTAATGTGTGGTAGGCTTCATCATACTTACAATCTGGTTTGGCTGTCTTGAGAGCATCAACAGAGTTGGCATAGAACCAATCTTGTGCTGTGCAATGGTATAGGGTGGATTTCTTGAGGTCCTTGTCAAGTCATTTCCCAAGTCATGCAGCATCATTCCAGATGGAGTCCAGTTCCTTGCCTAGCTTGATGACATCACGATTGTACAGACATATGGTATGGATGTGGTCCTGCAGGCCCACTCATTTTACCACATTGTTCAACATTAGCACCTTCTTGAGCTTAGCATATAGTGTACTACCAAGTTGGACACATTCATCCACACCCCTAACAGTGTATGTATCAATGTGGCTCTCTGGACTGTGATCACAGGAGGCATGGATAAGACCTACAAGTGCCTTGTCCAAGTCCTCATCATACCCCTTGCTTCCCAGTGCTATCTTGCCATACAGGATTTCCTTCATGTTGCATACTTGTTGCAGACAGTTGATGAAGGTAGGCTCCCAGGTGTGCCAGTTGCTATTGCTAAGTTTCTTAATATGGGCAATTGAGCTCAAGACATCCTTGGGAATCTTTTCCATCTCTCCTTGTGGGGTTTGATTGCTAATGGTGACAAGACCCATCACCCACACTATTGCTTCCTCCACCGTCAGTGCTGGGTTTGCTAACTGTAAGATTCTAACTACCTGCATGAGCCAACCCTCCTCTTGACCATTGCCTGCAGCTGCAGCCGCTTGATCATCATCTCTTCTAGTCTGCCCTGCTCTTGTCGATGGCAGCATTGTGCTAAGCATCAGACTCTTAATCTGAATGTCATGGGTTCGAGCCCCATGTTGGGAGCCAGTTGAAGTTTTCATATGATTTGATGATGATAATGGGAGAGAGAGAGAGCAAGAAGTGAAAAAGGAGTCTATATATATACAAAAGAGGAGTGGCAGAAAGCCACATCAACTGTGGAGCAAAACAAAGCATTTGTCTTGAGTAGGTTGTGACACATGTGGCCCATGCTCGGATGCTCAAACCTTTTACTCGGCCGTAAGCACTACCTCCGCAGTCTCTACGCTTTGTGTAGCTTCATCTACTTCAACTAACTTTGCCGCACACAAACGACGGCCAATTCGTCCCAACCTATTTCGCCGATCTTGGGCGGTGGTAGTAAGCGCGACCTAACAACGACGCAAAACGCCGACGTGTGGAGTCGAGAAAGGGCCCAAGAAATGCACGCACGGATGCTGCCGCATGACTTTGCTTCCCTTCACGCTTTAGCTACCATCAACGAGCTCATCGTCCACTCAACTTCCCTCGCGCAGCGGACATACATAGCAGCTTCACGACTGATCATGACGGCAGCTGCTCGTTTCAGTTGGCCTCGGACATGATGGAAGCAGAGCTAGCAAAAGAGCTGCGTGAAGCTACCGACCAGCTCTTAGACCTTGGACCCTTGAAACCTACCGCGTTCACACCCTCACCTCACCTACTGCAAAGGCGACAAGCGACACCAATCAAGGCCGTTGTACCTTCTCCAACGGTACTGCCAGCATCTTCTGCAACGTCCAAGCTTGAGGTCATCTACTCGCCCACCGATGTTCGACCTTTTCACTGGCCTGCTCCACCAACGTCTGCGCAAAGCAGAGATGTGCAAGACAGCCCATCCATTTTGTCAGCAGGTAGATCAGATGAGCCAACCAAGGTCGAACTCGGAGGTAGCTTGCTAGATGACGCGGATGACAATCTCCCAGCAAGAGGGCTGAGCAGTCGAATGGAGTCGTTCAAGGCTGCTACCGCTCAGGCATCGAACACGACAGATTCCGTCGTGTCGCGTCTGCTAGACAACATCGACGGGCAGGAAAGATCAGCTTCGCCAAGTAAGCTGCGAGTGCGCACACCTATCAACGACATCTACATCAACCAATATGGAGAGCGTATAGTCAATGGCAAAGTGGTCGGCCGAATCCTAGGGGGCAGACCGCGTCCAGCCTCACGAAATCAAGGCACCCCGCAGCCAAGCGGAAGCACCTCGACGGACCGAGTCTTGAGCCCGAATCCAGCACGCTCATCATCGCCGCTCCGCCCTCCTTCCGACAATGCGTCTGCTTCAGAAAGCGGGGCGAAAGCAAACGCGACCAGCCCGCCCGCGTTCTTCCTCGAATCCTTCCCAGATGCCTTCTCACCAGCACCAACTCCTACTCTCCCAGCACCCTCCTCTTCCCCAGGCAAGAAGAAAGAACGCAGACCCTCAGCAGGCCATCGACCACCTAGCATTCTCAAAGGCCCTCGAGCTGTCTCTGGAGCACTCATCCTCTCTCATGATGACGAGTTCAACGAAGCGGTTATGGTTCGCCACGCAAGTTTCCACAGCACGGCGTCTGACTTTGGCTCTCCTTCATCGTCTTCCTCCAAACAACTCTCGCTCTCGCCAATACCACGGAAAGCAAGACTGTCTTCCACATCTTCGAGGGTAGATGCTGATGCAGAGGTCACCACTGCACTCAAAGGCTTGCAACTACAGGGTGTGGAAGCTGCTGTGGAGGAGGACGAGGGCAAGGGGTTGTTGTCACCGAATCAAGGCGGGTCAATGGTGGACAGTACGAGATTGAAGATCGAATTGCCGACGATGAGGAGGTCGACACCGACGATTGAGTTGAGTCAGGCGAAAGTGGAGACGGTGGTGCTTCACGGGAATCGAAGACAGGCAAGGGCGTCAGGTTTTGTGGTCGACGCGGATACGGACAGTGGCTCCTGGAATGGGTCGCCGGCTATGTCTACCCTAACAAGGACTTTGGCCTTGCCATCTTTGCAGCCTCGCACTCCCAGCACCGACGACATCTTCGAGCCAATAAGCGGGACAAGATCAGCCGATCCAGCGCAACGAGACAATCCTTGGGTCGCGTCCGAGCCTACGAGGCATCCACGCCATGGATCAGCCTCAGAACCAGCCAGCCCACTCAGGTCATCACGAAGTCTCGACAACCTGCTAGCGGCCGGGGACAATGCTGCATCCGATGACGGCGACAAAGCATCCCTCGTCTCCCTCCCAGTCTCCAACCTTACCTCTTCCTCCCGTTCTGCATCTCACACATCCATCGAACGTCGATCTCTCACCTCCCGACGTCGTTCCTCCTCCCATCGTCATTCCTCATCCCCAACCGAAGTCTTTGCTCGTGAGGTCCGCATTCGAGGCTGGTCAGAAGTAGGCTCCCAAGCTCGTGGTTGGGTAGTTTTCGAACTCCGCATCCTCACGAAACAAGGAACTGCCATCATCACACATAAACGTTTCTCCTCGTTCCTCAAACTCAGACGGACTCTGTTGGAGGAATGTAAAGACCAAGCGAAATGGTTGCCTCAACTACCGACAAGAAGAACAGGCTTGTTGAGCAAATACGATGCAAAGTATCTGGAAACGAGGAGGAGAGCACTGCAAAGGTGGTTGGAGACTGTTGCGTTGGACAGAGTTTGGGGTGGAAGTGAGGGGTTCAGAGAGTGGGTGTTGGATGGTGATTAGAGCGGAGCCTGATCAATAAATCCCCATCGACTCATAAAACTGCTTCTGTGCACCTGTTTGTCTGTGTATGAAGGTGCTCTTTGTGTCTGTCTCTGTGTTTCATTGGAGTGAAGCGTTGCAATCTTCTGCCTACTCTGTTGTGAATTAGCCTAACGAGCTTTTCGAGAACACAGTGGTTGCTAGCCACACAATTGGACATGAACGAACGGGATCAAATACTATTGCATGTCTTCTGAATTGATGAACACCAGCGCGCCCCTTACTCCTCACCAGCCTTAGCAGCTGGAGCAGCAGGTTGGTTACGAAGCAAAGAGTCCTGTCGAGTCTTTCCGCGAAGCTCCCATCGGTCCTGCAATTCATAATATGGACAGTCCAATTTGTCAGTTCCGTTCCGTTTCCAAGCGGAAACAAGATGAAAGAATTCCGTTCTCAGGCGAAACCCAGATAGAGAGGCACAGTCCTCGAGCGGAAATCGAATAAAGCGATGAGAGTAGACTTACATCAGTGTACGAGGCAGCGTAGTAAGTGAGGACGGGAACAGTGAGACCCCAGAGGAAGACTTTACGTGCATTCGAAGGTGTCAATCGAAACCTTTGGTACATGGTTGAGTGCTATTTGATGCATCGTTGGCGAGATCGACAGAGGGTGTTGGTTTCACGACGTGTATCGGGAGAGACGATCAAGGTGTCAGTGACTTGTATGGAGTGAGTAGAAATTGCTACGAAATGAGAACGTACCATGTTCTGCCATCGGTCAAGCGCCGGGTCGGCCTTGTATGGGTCTGTCCCGAGTCAACAGAGATATTGTCATGCGGATGTATCGTCAGCTATCTGCGTCCTTCGATGTGGTATATCCTCTTGCTTTCGAGATCTCTTCTTTGTTGTCTTCTCCTATCGAAGTTTCTACGAACGACTCTTCTCCGGCTGTACTTACGGTATCCTCCGCCTGCCATCTTGACTAAGTGTGTCTGCTGTCTGTTTTAGATTCGAAGTCGATGCTATATCGTCCGTGCTGTTCTGCTGGCTATTGTCAGATGAGGTATTGTGTGGTATGATGGTCGTGTTGGAATGACTGAAAGCTCGAATAACGCGATGTTGCGCTCGGATCCGTGCCAATTTGCTTCTCAACACCTAGATTTTCTCGGGCGAGACAATTTCCACCTCCACTTCGCTGTTGAACTCTTCTTTTTCCCCGAGCATTGCCTTTCACTGTCTTCTGACTCTCACTCGACCATCAATCCATCACAGAAAAGCAAAGGCAAGATGAGCGGCCGCAGACCTCCACCACCACCGCCGAGACCTTACATCGACGATTCAAGAAGTGGCTACAGAGAGAACAGGGGTGAACCATCTGATCGAAGAAGACGCAGCCCAAGCCCCAGCTATTCGCGATCATCACGAAACAATGCTGGTCAACGGGACTGGAGGAAGGACGAACGAGTACCACCGCCTCCGCGTCGAGACGAAGAAGGCCGCCCAGATCGAGCGGGGAGAGGAGACTACAGATCAAGAGACAGAGACGACCGGTACAGGGACAGACCACCCCGTCCAAGACCTTCTGCGTACGATGATGATGGTCTCCTACCTCGACCTCGCTCACCAAGAAGGCACCGTGATGAGCCATTGCGCAGTAGAGATGACCGCTCTCGCCCCTCAGCATCAGGTAGAAGAAGCCGTTCACCGCAAGCTCTAGCGCCGTCTGCTCCGACACGTCATGGAGGCAAAGCAGCCACCTCCACAGAAGGACAGAGTGGAACCTCGCAGGGTATCGGAGCAGAAGCAGGAGAGGAAGGCGGGGAAGAAGGGGACAGAGATGAGGCAGAAGGAGATGAGGATGCTATGGCAGCGATGATGGGATTCGGCGGCTTTGGCACGACAAAGGGAAAGAAAGTAGCAGGAAACGCCGCGGGAGCAGCAGAAGTTAAGAAAGAGCGTACTTGGCGTCAATACATGAACAGGTACATACAGGCAGCCATTCGACACGAGACTTGTTGCAGGGAAAAGTTGTTCTGACTCTTGCTTTCTGACCTCTACGGCTTGCATTCACATCAACAGGAAGGGAGGATTCAATCGACCACTCGACAAGATCAAATGAGCTCAGCCTACGTCTGGCTCAAACATATATCACGCCCACTGTTGCACGCCCACTGTTGCAATAAAGACATTGTGACACATAGAAGTACAGTTCAATAACTGTTTGCAAGACTGGTGTATCTAGTTTGCGAGAACAACCTTGAGCATCTCGGCTCCGACCGCACCTGCCTCCTGGAACCTATGCTCGAAAAAAGACCTCGTCTCCTCAAATCTCCTCTGGTAGCTGTCAAAGTTGCCAAACTGCACTGCTTGAGCCCACCCTCGGGAGGCGATAACAAACTCGGTATCGTCCGCCCTGAAGCTGTGATCCCTGGCCGCAGCATGGCAGGCCTGTCGCAATCTCTGCGGTGAGCGGAAGAGATACTCGCAAACACCGATCCAGATCCTAAATATGGGCGTTGCTGCCAAGTCAAGATGGTCGTAAGGGTTAATGCCGAGAGAGCTCCAGCAGTCGACGATTGCCAAGAGTGAGAGATGCGAGTTGGGTGGAGGGTGTGATTGTGCGATTGCGTCCCTTTCGCCAGAGTCGCTGTTGGCTGCAGAGGTGGCTTTGCGTGCTGCCATGTGGAAGCGGTCGAGAAGTTTGTCGCTCATAAGGATGGGTTTGCGCTCCTCCTTTGTGCCTGAGCGAGAGATGACGCTGTTACTCTCTTCGTCCTTCTCCCAACCGAAAACCTTGTTGCGTGCTGCAAACACACGTTCAATCAGCTCCTCCTCGCGCTCTGCCACCATAAGCTTGAATAAGTCGGTGCAGCTCTGTGCGAACTGTGTTACTTGCGTTTTCGCCGCTGGGTTGAGGAGAGCCAAGCCTGCATAGACGTGCCATTTTGCAGAGTAGATACGGAGACAGATGTTGATCTTGACGGTCTCAATACCACCAGGGTAGCGCTCCGATTCCCATGGATATTGGTGAGAACAGCACCAGGCAGTGCCCATCGAGAGGAAAGCGGCGTGTGTAACAGCCTGAGTGTTGGCAGTGACGGTGTCGTGCTCGTCGTAGGTGAGGTAGACAAAGTTGGACTTGAAGCAGGACATGATCTTTTCGACAAGTCGAAGCTTTTCGTCTGGTGCACGATGCTGAATGAGGATGAGCGGTTGACCGGTGGGATCAACCTTGGGGCCATGCATCGAGTGGCAGGAGATGATGTAGGCATCTTGAGGGAGATGCTTCTGGAAAGCTTCCTTCTCTGGCGTCTTGACCGAAGTTTGACCTGCGACGATGGCGCCAATCTTGGTGGATGAGCCGTACTGCTCGACGACCCTGTCAATGTAGGCAGCTTCGACCGAGTAGATGATGTAGTCACTTCGCCGCGAGACAAGGTGACCATCTCGCAGCACATTGAGGCCTGAGCCTTGGAACTCTTTGCGAAGGCTCTCAAAGTTCTCAGGTCGATCGCAAACGTTGACGCTATTTGCTCATTACAAGCAAAAGAGATGCAAGAGAGAAGTCAGCAACAAGCTCCGGCGGAAGTCGACATAGGAAGATCTGCAGCAATGTCTCGGCGTCACACTCACTTTTTCCAGCCAGCATCGCGGATCTTTGTAGCGTATAGACGACCCATGTCGCCCATGCCGATGATGCCGATCTCGATGGATTCCATCTCTGATGTTGACGATGACGCCATCTCGATGACTTGCAGGGATTCTATTCGAGCTGTCGAAAGGATGTGGATTGACTGGGCAGAACTCGGTCGAAATGAAATCAAGGCAGCAAACCTTTGCTAGTACGCTGGTCGATGGCACCGACACTCTTGGTGGTGGAAAGGAGGTGTAGCAAGGCAAGGCGTTGAAGGATGCTGAGTCCAAGATGCGATCTGCCAACCCGAAGTGATGGATGACTCCTGAGGGGAAGCAGGGAGAGAAATCACAAGGGTCGAAAGCGCCAACGGACACTTGATCGGCTCACGAGTCCTTGAACCTGACAGCGAAGAGAGCGGAGGAGAGTGTAGGATGCTCAAGATAACGATCCAAGTAGGACACGATCTGAAGACGAATCTGGGGAAAGTCGATCTGATTCCCAGATCGGGCATGCCGATATGATGGAGATCGGGGACTGGGACTGGGGTTTTCTTTATTCGTGTTAAGTTGAACTTTCTCGGTTTTATTTCGTGCGATTGAGTCCAGACGGGATAGAATTTTCCCGAGGCTAGAAGGCTTTGGACCCTGAATCAGAATCTTTTATATCGACTCAGCATTTCAATAGGCCACCTTTCACAGCATCTCTTTCTCGCAAATAGCACCTTGGTACGATGACATTCTATGTCAAGACTGACTGACTGCGGCAACCAATCTAACTGACCTTCCTTCCGCACCATCACTTTTGCTCAACACGTTGCAAGGGGTCGTGACGCCAGTTGACAACAGACCATTCCATTCTTTCCGCACTCAGCCTTCCTTCCAGCATACGGACCTCTACCAAACATATCTACCGCTCTCTCCAAACGCCACTGCCATCATCAGCATCCAATCGAATCGCTCATTTCAGCTCCAAATGCAACATCGTAGCATGTCCGATTCATAGCTCCTCCACCGCCTTCCCTCTGCGGCAAGATGGCCTTCTCTCTCCAGGAAGCTCTCGAACAGATCCGCAGCGACAAGATCAAGGAACGTCAGCAAGGTCTCGAAGCACTCGAACACATCTTCTCCGACCTGGACAATGTTTACAACCTCGAGTCTAAGCAGGATGGCAAAGCATGGCTCAAGGTCTTCCAGTCCCTCTTCGCCTGCGTGCTCGCCGAGAAGGCGGCATGTATACGCAAAGGCTCCTTCTCCGATGCGCAACCGGTGGCTCTGGCTCGGCTGCAACGAGCAGCGCAGGTGCTTCGCTCTCTCGTTCAAGGAGCCGCATCTCTGCTCACTCGCAAGGTCGTCAAGGCTCTCTTGACACACATCCTTCAGATGCTCAACCACCGCGGAACTCTTCTCCGCCCTATTGCTCCTGCCTACATCTCTGCACTCTGCGCTATCCTCAAGCATCAGCACCATGTCGATCATCTCGATCCCGAAGATTGGTGTACTGCCTCTTCGCTCTGCTTCGACATTCTTCTCGGACGAGACCTCGAAGGCACAGCTGCCGCCACCAATCCCCAAGAATGGCTTGCATTGATTCCTGCTCCTCCCTCCGCCAGTACGAATCGCCGTACTCTCAGTCTCGAGGATGCAGTGACAGCAGAGTCTCTTCGACACCTTATGGCCTCCACCGTCGCTCCTCTCCTTGGCTCTCATGGCTATGGTCTCCAGCTCCTCGCTGATTATACCCGATTCTTCCTCTTCTTCGACGTCGAATCATCCGCTCATTTGCCTGCCATGACTGCTTTCGTCACCTTGATCGAGCATCTTGAGCTCAATCACACCCGAGAGGTCATCTACTCCACGCTCGTCTTGCGTCGCATCCTCTTCTATCTCTGGGACACCAAGAATCGTCTCTTGAAAATCCAGCTTCTCCTCTTCCTACGCATCGTTTCCCCTCTCATCGCATCCTGCGCCACTAAACAGACTGAGGTCGGCCTGTCCCAGGACCATCCCAACTTTGCAGCTCTGCGCATCGAGGCGGCTGACTTCCTTGAGCTCGCTTACGACACCCTCCTCCGAGATCCCCAAACTCGCTGGGGCCTCGAGCCGATGAGACTCGACGCACTTGTCTTTCATTGGCCACAGCAGTCCCAAACGGGCTCCTCTAAATCATCTTCCGTCCTCTGCAACTCGGCCTTTCATCTGGGTCCTTACTCCGCCGAGCAAGATACTTTGGCATGGTGTCGTCTTACCCTTCAGGTCGATCTTCTCGAGGCTCTAGTTTTGATGGATCACCTTTCAGAGGAGAACGGCACCTCTCCTGCCAATCATCGCGTTGGCGCAGCCGACGAGCCCGCCCCATCTCTGGCAACATCCAGCCAGCCTTCATCCACTCCAAAGAATGTCTCGAATGCGAAACGTGGAATAGGCCCTACAGCTTCCAGCCCACAGAAAAGGAGAAAGATGGAAAGATCCATCAGGTCTGTCAAATTCTCCTGGCTTCGGCACCTGCTCAACATCATCACAGGCACCGAACAGACATCTCCTCCGACATCTGCTGCGAGGCTCTGTGCTCTCCAGCTACTCACCTTTGTTGTGCTCACTCATCCCGACTTTATCGGACACGACAATGTTGGAGACGGCGTTCAGAAAAGACTCCTTCAACTCCCGACCAACACTGATGCACATATCATATCCTGGAGTTACGTTGCTCTCGGTGCTATTGCGATGACCTACGATACGGCAAACACCAAGATCACTGATAGCAACTTCAACTGGATCAAGACTCCATCAGGCCGATTTGCTTCGTCACATGCGATGCAAAGTCTACAGCTCGCAGATACTTGTCGCGCTGCAGCGTTTCTGCAAAGCATCTTGCTGGTCAGAGGAGCGATTCCCGAGGATGGGGAGGTGTCCGCCCTCTCTCGCTTCCTCGCCGAAGTCGACCTTCAGGGGCCACCGATTCTTTGTGATAGCGTCTGCCATCTGATGGCGCTGGTTCTGCTTCGCACTGCCTCCGACCGCAAATATCAGCATTTGGATCCGAAACGAAAGATCGGAGCTTGGTTTTCCAACACCTACTCGCCCGTAGATGCCTTTCGCTCAACATCGTCGACATCGAATGGTCGATCTGCAGCCATGTTTCTCCCCTATCACGATCTGCTTCGTCTGTTAGACTGCATCGTCACCGAACGAAGGTCTGGCTATCCAGACACAACATGCATGAGCGACATCACCTACACTGACAGCATTGCTGAGTTCATGCGCCGTCGCGCTCAATTGCAACCTTTGCGCGACCTCACACTCAAATCCTGCATCAGTGTGGCAGCAGAGGCGAACAATCCCGTACCCAAGGAAGCACCGGAAGACACCCCACCCCTGTTATCGGCGGAGTCCTATGAAAGAATGATCTCGGTCCTGGACAAAAAAGTCATGGCTTGTGCTGAGGCGCTCAAAGGACTCGTAGGCGAGCTCGGCTCCCAGCCCTCAGCCTCCTGTCAGGCTGCGATATCAGCCTTGCATGTTGCCATGCTTACTGTCGAGATTCGGGCCCGTTCGCATCCGCGAAGCAGTGTGTCTCGCCATCCGCGCATCCGTTCCGACTGCCAAGTCATCATGAAGCTTGTCGACGTTGCCTTTACTTCGAAGAGCATGTGCGTTGACGAATGTAAACTGGTCATCCAACAACTGGGTCTCCTCGTCCCGTCTGGCATCCTCTCAGCTTCAGGTGATGCACCATTCACCAGTCTGCTTCGCATCCCTGGCGCAGCAAGCGGCATCGCAGCCAACAGTGGTATCACGCCTTTTCAATCCCACACAGCCGTGTCACGATCCCTTGCCTTCGACGATTCCCACAAGCGCTTTTGGGTGGCGATCCAAGATGCCGAAATGGCGGAAGCAATGATGTCATGCTGCGAGCGAGTCCTCGAACGCGCACTGCTCGGTGATCAACAATTGGAGAGTCAGCTGGCGTCCGCATCTGGAGCGAACAATCGCGACGCCTTCGATGACATGCCCGAGAGCGGATCGTCGAGCCAGAGGCGTGCATGGAGCACCGAGGCACAGTCGTGCATGCAATCAACGCAGCACATCGTCAGCGTGGTTCTCCGTCTGCTTGGCGAGGTACCCAGGATCGTCTCGGGAAATGCAGACTCGCAACGCGACGAACGAATCGTCTCGCTGTTCTTCGACTGTCCCGTGGAAGCCATCATCTCCCTGGCACCCGTACTCCTCGAATCGCGAAGCATTGGTACGCTGTGGATTAGCCAGCGCGACCTCGTCGATGCTCTCGATCGCATTGGCTCGGAGCTACTGACTTCGTATCACTTCGCCAAGCTACCTGCAGCGAGGATTGCTGCAGTGAATGCCGTGGCCCATGCTGTACCTTTACTGCTCGAAGAGCTGGACGAGCAGTCGGATTTGTTCGACAAGGTGCAGAAGCTGGCTATCTTCTTCGCAGATCAGATCGGCAGGACCAAGTGGCCAGCTCCATGGCAGGTTCAAGTGGCCTGCGCTGAATTTCTCGCCACTTGCCTTCGTCTCGATCCGGAGGGACGCATGTGTCAGTCCGGCAGCGCACGTGGACCCGCCTTCTCACCGCTCAACGCATTGCTCCAGGTCAATGCCGACGCCGACATTCGCGTTCGTGCCCTAGGATCATCGATCGCTTCCACTGCATTCGACTCTGTGTCAAGCGACGAGGCGCATATTGCCGGCATCTACTCGACGTTTCGCGATGGGCTACCGAGTGATTCGAGCATCCCTCAGAAAATCCTCACTCGAGCCCTAAGCTTGTGCAATGTGGCCATCGCCAATTCGTCCGTTCGTAGGTCCTCGCTCTTCCATCTACTCGAGATCGTTCTGGCGACCGGCATGTTGCCAGTCACTGTTCAGCAATTGTTCGCACAGGTTGCTGTACGTCTAGGCTTTGCAGATGCACCGAGCTGCTATCAGGCCTTTGCGGCGCAAATAACTTGGGGCATGGCGACTAACGCTTATGATCCACTGCAGCTGCCTTGGAAGGTGCTAGGCTTCTCCAGCAAGCGCGAATGTCTGGAAGCCACCTTCGCTGCCTGTGGCAGTATGCTCCTCGCCCTTCAAACCCCTGAGGGAAGAACGCAGTTCGACACGCTCGTGCATCTTACTAGGCGAACATCTCAGCAAGCCCTGCAAGAATGCCTCCCTTTCCTAACAGCTGCCTATCTAGGCTTTGCCGTCGAAGCAGGCCAGAGAGATGGGCCAACCGATCTGCCCACCATCTGCCAGCAAGCATTACACGAATTGTCAATGCTCGGCTTTGCGGAGAGTGACAATCACTCTGAGCTGCGTCAAATGATCACCAATGCCGACGACCTCATTGTGACCACGCTGCTGTCGCTCTACCACGAACCGGGCGTCGATATAGCAGGGAGCCGGCGGTCAGCCGTGCAAGCCCTCACGCAGCAAGGAGCCGCATTGGGTGAGGCTCTTTCGGCTCTGACTCCAGCGACGAACGGCTCTGCTGCATCTCTACACGAGCCAAGCCGACCTTTCTTCCCATCTGCTGTGGTCTGCACGGCACTGTCAGCGTTGCCCGGCCTCGGGATCGAGCCCTTCCGCAAGGATGTGATCTACAACGTGTTGCGCCATCTTTTCTATCAGATCGCATCCTCACGGTTCGTCAACGATCAATTGCGACTGTGCGCTACCTTGCGAATCTACCTTGCTATGTGTGGCGACGCATTCTGGACAGATCAACTCAATGCACGCCTGCTCATCAGGAGCATTGACCAGCTACTCGACCAGCCTCATCTGCGGGACGACTTTCGACCCATTCTTGTTCATGCCTGTAACCATTCGCAAGTCGCTGAGCAGTCTTCAGAAGCTTTAGTGTCATGCATCCTTACCTGGTCCAATGCACTGTCAGTCGAGCTGGATCAGAAGGCCGACATTGGCGACTGGCTATTCGACGCCGCTCGTGCGGTTGCCAAATCATCATCCGTGGCGACGTCCGCCATAGTGCTCCTGTGGCCTGTCCAAGTTACCGCGACAGAGCTTGTGTCGGTTGAAGGACTGATCGACGTCGACACCTTGTCTTTCGCCCTCGACGCGTGTCCACGCACTGCCCTCCAGATGGCATCGCTGCATCGCATTCGAGCCGTGCTCAGGAAGACGAACAAGTCGCACCTCCGTGCTTTCTGCCGCCAGTCAGCATGGAAGCTGTTGCAGCGCATGGCTGACTGTCGAACCGCCGATCAGGATCGTGCCAGCGGTGAAGCGCAAAGCGATGTGATCAGCGACATCTTCACAATCGTCATGAGTAGCGGCGAGGTGGCATCGTTCGAGCGGAGTGGGCGCCGCGGGATGGGTAATGGTCACCAGATACCCTGTGATATGTTCCTTAACACTGTCGACACCAGTCAGATCAGCGGTCTTTATGCCGCAGCTATCCTTGCAATTCATCAGCTGGGGCATAGTTTTATCCTGGAGCAAAATTATCAGGCCTTCGAGACGTTGCGCAACATCGCCGCAGCCAGCCAGGGCAGTCTTGTAGCAGCCCATTCCACCAAGGTACCCGCACAGACTCGACAGGAACTCGATCGGATTCGCCCCGGTATCAGTCCGCTCGTCCCCAGCGGAGCACCACCGCAGGCTGACGATCTGCTGGAACCCGACTTGAGAGACACAGCAGCTTCTCCCAATCGTTGGGTCTGCAACATTGCCTCCTTGCTATGTGATGTCCTCTTTGCCGCACGACGTCAGCCCATCTTCCGTCCCATCGCCTCATTTGTGTCCAACGATGCCGAAGCAGCGCGAGCTCTTCTCCCGATCTTACTTCTCTGCTTCACAAGCACCGACATCGAGCTAGAAACACCGTCACCACCGACCCGGTCCAGTGCCAAGAGACGTACCTCAGGGAAGCATTCGCAACCGCCAACACAAGAAACCATACGCGAGAGCTTCCGTGCAGCAGTAGCGAAACATTTCGAGCAGGTACTGAAAACAAGCACTTCCGACCCGGCATGCAGCGAGATCATCGTAGAGTCTCTCTTGGCGGTGAGGTCGTTTCGCCCGATGCACGAAGAACCGGACAAGGTTTGCTACTGGTATAACGTCGACACGAACCTACTTGCACAGCGATGCATCGCCTGTGGCATGTTCTCGGCAGCCATCTTCTTCGTTGAGCATGGTTCATCGCACCAGGGCGGGAGCCCAGCATCTGGCGAGCCTGCCGTCCGAACAGGGACGAATTTGCTCCACGAAGCGTACATGAATATTGATGATCCTGATGCATTTTACGGAATCACAGATGGAGATGTGCGAGAGTTGCTTCTTAAGCGGCTGCACCATGAAGGACAGTGGCTAAGGGCCTTTCAGTACCACGCCGCTGACTTTGAGGCTTCGAGCTCGGATGGCGTGCGTCGATTAGGCTCCGAAGGTCGATCGCTTCGTCAGAGCCTTTCGTCGCTAGGATTTAATCGCCTATTCGACAGTGTCGGTCCGCGTTCAGAGGCTGGACTCAGCCTGGCCGTCATCCCTTCATCGTACTATGGCATCATTGGAGGCAGTTGGGACCTACCCGGAGCTGTACCGGCGGCGACCAGCAAAGACCATAATCTTGACACTGTGCTCCAGGCACTACGTCAACTTGGCTCAGAGAACGATGCAGATCGGGCCTTATCGATAACGATCCCATCGCAATTGCAGGCGCTTTGCTCGACGCCCATCGAGAGCATCTCAGCCATGCGGGCTATTGAAGGTGAGCTGCTCGCCTTGAGTCAAGTCAAAGAATGGCGCAAGGCTTCGGCCTCGCTCGGAGCTGATGAAGCCGTTGCGCATCTTCGAGCTACCTGGACAAGCGTAAACAGCGACCATCACTTTGATGTGACGGAAAAAGTGCTCAACACCCGTCGGTCGGTGCTACAAGCGGCGCGACAGCGTTTATCGAGGATGCAGATCGGCGATGCTCTTGATGGCCCAGCAGCGGAAGCAGGAAAGGTGGAGCGTTCACTGTTGGTCCTGCTCAGTCGACAGGCTCGTGAGCATGAAAATCTGCAGAAGGCCATCAATGCGACCGCGAGAGCAGAGAGGATCGAAAAGGCGATCGACGATGGTGCCAACGTAGCACGAGAAGAGTTTGCTGCTGTGCTTTGGGAGCAGAAGGAGCACTCGCCTGCCATGCAGCTGCTCTCACAGATTGTCGACGATCTCAGTGTCAAGGCCAGTTCTCCAGCTCCTCAGAAGCGTCGAGGCGCACGTTTGCTGGCGTTGCTGGCGCAGTGGCGTGCTACTGCCCGTTCACAGCATCCTAGGGAGATCGATCGAGCGTTGTTCGAGCCGGCTCTGAGGCTCATCGCATCGTCGAACACGCCCGAGACGGCGACATCGTTGAGAGATCCAGCTGCAGCAGGGGAGCAGTGCGAGATTGCTTACCGGTGGGCGCGATTCGCAGAGGAACACCATCGCGGGTCCGATCTGGCCGAGATCACACGTCTTCGTCTCTACATCGATCGACGACTCGAGGAGATTGCACAGAACCAACGCGAGTGCGAAAGGACGACCTCGAAAACAGAGCGTGGCAAGTTGCTTCAATTTCAGCGACAGGCTGAGAAGATGCTTCGGCAGGATCAGACTCGTCTGACGGAGCTCGAGGCATCGAGGACACACTTCCTGCATCGCAGTGTAGCCATGTATGCCAGAGCGCTGGCGTCTGCCGACGCCCACGATGATGCGGTCGCAAGGCTCATCTCGCTCTGGTTTGAGAACGCAGCCGAGGCTGGTCTCAACCGCCTGTTGACCACCTCCCTCTCCTCGATTGCATCGCGCAAGTTTGTCGCACTGATGCACCAGCTCTCAGCTCGATTGACGGAAGTATCGGATTCCAGCGACAGCATGACGCCCTTCCAGACCAATCTGGCGCAGTTGCTGCTGCGCATGTGTCAAGACCATCCGTTTCACTGCCTCTACGCTGTCTTTGCTCTGATCAAGACAGGGGCAGACGCGAAGGCGTCTACGCAAGGCCCAAGCCCCAGGAACTCTTTGGGTCCTTCGGAAAGCTCATCTTTATCGCCTTCACCCCAGATTCTACGGTCCACGGCTGCGGAGAAGATCTGGAATCACATCAAGCGGCGTCCTGCGCTCAGCAAGAGGATCAAGGCATTCGAGGAGCTATGCTTGGCCTACGTCGAATGGGCCGAGTATGATCTCACTTCACGCCCGGATCGCTATTTTCAGAGCAGTGGAAGCGTCAAGAAGGGCGCGCTACGCATGCCACCCTCGGGCGAGTTGAGGTTGGCCCGCATGCGAAGTGTAGATGTGCCAGTTGCAACTGCGCGTCTCGAAATCGATCCAACGTGCCGATACGAAAGCTTTGTGTCGATCACAAGGTACAGCGACACATTCACAACTGCCGGAGGCATCCATCTGCCCAAGATCAGCGAGTGCATCGGCAGCGACGGCAAGCGATACAAGCAACTGTTCAAGCGTGACGATGATCTGCGACAAGACGCTGTGATGCAGCAGGTGTTCCGCGTGGTGAACGAGCTGCTTCACGCGGACCGCAAAACCCGAGAGCGTCGTCTCACTATTCGAACGTATGCCGTGCTGCCGCTTGGTCCACAGTGTGGCATGCTCGAGTTTGTCTCCAATACGGTACCGCTGGGCGAGGTGCTGCTCGCGTTGCATGAGAAGTATCGAGGCAATGACCTGACGCCACTGCAGGCAAGAGCCAAGATTCGTGATGCGCAGAGTCTGCCGGCCGAGACGAAACTGGAAGCATTCCTGGACGTGTGCGAAAGGATGCGCCCGGCCTTGCACTACTTTTTCAGTGAGGCTTCCAGGATGCCGAGGGACTGGTACGAGACGCGGCTGCGCTACACTCGGAGTGTCAGCACCAACTCGATCGTAGGGCACACGCTGGGACTGGGCGATCGACATGTCTCGAATATCCTGCTGGATAAGGAGAGTGGAGAGTTGGTGCACATTGACTTTGGCGTTGCCTTCGACCAAGGCAAGCTGCTTCCGATCCCAGAGCTGGTGCCGTTCCGACTGACACGTGACATTGTAGATGGTATGGGTGTCAATGGCGTCGAAGGCACATTTCGACGTTGTTGCGAAGAGACTCTACGAATGCTCAGAGCTCACCGAGATGTTATCAAGACGGTGCTCGAGGTGTTCCGGCACGATCCACTGTTCGCTTGGACATCAAACCCGATCAAGGTGTTGCAAAGGCAAGCGGAGGAAGAAAGTTCATTGCCGGCTGCTAGCATAGAGCGATCGGGCGTAGTTGCGAGCGGTGGAGGCCGATCTACACCTGCACCAACGCCAACAGCAATGCTTACCGTCGCACGTGGATCAAGTTCGCGATCAACTACACCGTATGGCATGCACGGCGAGGTGGCAAGTGGGATCGGGACCGATACGGCCGAGTTGAGTGCAGATCGTGCGATCACATCGGTGATGGCCAAGCTCTCCTCGTCGCTGAGCATCGAATACACGGTCAACGACTTGATCCAGCAGGCGATGGATGCAGGCAATCTATCAGCCATCTTTCATGGATGGCAGGCAGCATTGTAATTGAACCTCGACACCAACACCATGTCGGAAAAGAATGTGAAATGCGGGGTAAGGCATCATCGGTTGTGCAGAAGCAGCGAGGGCTTGGCTAAGAAGTTTGCGGTGCAGAGAGACGAAATGCAGCAACTCAGCAGGATCAGAGCTGGTCTCGGAAGGTCTTGGAGACACACAGAGTTGAATCAGGTTCCAGTATCGAGAATGGTTTGCGCGTCGTCAGCGTGCTTCAGACCACCTCGCGTGTGAAGCCGGGTCCAGGCTGGTTGGATGATGAGGTCAGGGCTCGAGCTCGACACGATGCTGTTGCGGGGTCATCACGGTGGGCTGAGAGGAAGCTTGATTACCAAATGAATGGGTTTTCTTTTTATGAAATCTTAAGGCGGAAGGGTGATAAGCCGCTGACATCAGGAGAGGCAAAAGCTGCTTTCACGTTCGAAGGCAACGGACGAAAGAACAAGAGGCTTTGAATAGCGTCATCCACGTTAAATCGGCAATTTGCAAATGATTGCGGGCCTCTGCGTCGGCTGCACACCTCTGCCCGCTCAAGCTGTACGATGAAATGGCCCTTGGACTTTTTCATCTGGCGCTCACATGTCTGAGTGTGGCAAAAACGTTGACCAAGCTGATAACGAGTAGGGTGTTTCAAGAGAGCGACTCAGAGAGAGACCAAGAGACAAAGACAGCAAAAAGGCAACATTCTTTTCGGGATTTCTTTCTGACGAATTCCTCTGGGTCGGGTGGAATTAGCGAGCGGCGCTAAGTCGATTGAGTCTGACAGCCATGAACTTGAACTCAACTGAACCGCAAACAGCATCGATGCTGATGATGATGCAACCTTGACGCAGAAGAGCCTTTCAACGACTTGTTTGCTCTTGGGACCGCGGATCCTTTTGCCTCCTCCGCTGCATCCAATCAACTGCTTTGCTTCTGAAAGAAAAGGCTCTGCGGTTGCCACTCCATTGAGCCTTGGGGCTGGCCCCTCATCACACTGCCCTAGTGCCCCTTGGACGAGTAACGGCGGTGGCAAACTGCTTTCTACCTTCGCTGTCGACCTGTCATGCCCAGATGATATATACACCCCCCCCCCCCCCCCCCCGCACTCCTCACGGGCCCTTCCCCACGCACGACAACAAATCCTCTCTTCACCATGTCTGCCGCAGTACACGACTATCCTGAGGAGGCCGGTCGCACCCCTACCACACGTCCACCCATGGGTGATCAGAAGCTCACTGGCACCGAGGGCCCATCCATCGCACCTGACAATGCATGCGATGAGCCATCGCCGTATGCACCGGGCGGCTATGGCAAGAAGGCCATCGCTACTGACCCCGTCACCGGCCAAGGTTATGATAAGGTTTACGGTGTCCGACCCAAGACGACATGGCATCTGAAGCCAGCAGCTGAGCGCAACCTCTGGGAGTTTATCGCTTCCATGGATCTCGCTCCCGATGTCTGCTATGCCAAGCGTGACACTTCGGAGAAGCTGCGCGGTCCTCCTCCAACCCAGCCAATCTGGAAGGAAAATGTCTTCATCCTCACCACCGCATCTCTCGCTCCTCTCCTTCACACTGTGTGGAATGTCGCCTTGCCCGACCACACGATGCATTGGGCACCGGCGTGGCTCATGTATCACACCTGCTTTATCCTCTTCGCCATCGCCATGATCAAGCGTCTTCACTGGTACATGGCTGAATATGGTACTCTTGACGAGCAGAATCGTGGTCGTGACATGGTCGACGACAAACACGTCAATCACCTCGGCCAGTCGATCTTCATCTACACCATCTTCCGTACTCTCGGCCCTTTCCTGCTCGCATGGCGTGGTGACATGACCAACATCTGGTCCGGTCTCTCTTGGGCTACTCCTCTCAAGATCGGATGGTGGGAAATTGCTCTCGACTACTGGTTCTACCTATACCACCGTTCATGTCACGAGTTTGATGTCCTTTGGTTTGTGCACAGACAACACCATGCAACTAAACATCCCACGCCCGTCCTCTCGATCCTTGCCGACGACTACCAGGAGGTGCTAGAGGTGTTTATCGTTCCTTTCCTTGCAACTGCCGTTTCGCCCAAGATGAATTTCATCGAGATGTGGCTTGTTATTTGTTACACTCTTTATGTCGAGGCGCTCGGTCACTCTGGTATTCGAGCTTACTGGGCTCATCCTGTTCTCGGTGCTGTCCTTGCCCCCTTTGGTATGGAGTTGACTGTTGAAGACCACTCGAACCACCACTTGTACGGCAAGGCTGGTATGAACTACGGAAAGCAGACCCGTGTTTGGGACAGACTTTTCGGTACCGTTGATCCTCGCCGTGAGACTCAAGAGGTCGGTATTTTCGCCTCCTGAGAGTCGTTCATCACTATACTCCAATCCTCATTCATATCTGTCCGCTTAGTTTAGTACCACATAATCCTATTCATACTTGACCAAACATCACACGTCTGATGATCGGACAATCTAACAAATTCAGCACTAACGGCTTGTCTGATGAATGATTATTGTCTTGGTGCGGTGTAGCAGTACACCATTTTGGGAAAGACGTCGGCGAGCAAGTATGCTGTTCGATGGGCGTCTCTCATGTCAGCTCCCTTCTCTGACGGAGGTTAGCATCGCTCAACCCTGAGATAGTCCGCTGTGTGAGGGAGACCTTCGACCGCAAGTCTGTCCTCTGGCTCGCTCCAAGGTGTCGACGGCGGTGTGATGCTGTGTGATGAGCGAGGTGCGTTGAGCTATGCATGTAGGCGATAAAACCACGCCGTTTGAGCAACTCAGCGGTCTTCTCGATTAACGATCGTTGGCAGTTGGATGCTGTGCAGCAAACTAGAGTACAATATGGCACAAGACGGCATGAGCTACGAGCGGGATCGGGTAGCAGTCCCTGGTGTTCTTCTCTTGGACGATGTTGGTGCGCCGGCGATTGATCGTTTTCGTTTGGGCGTTTTGGAGTCATCCTCGGCAGGCAAAGTAGCGTCTGTAGCTTGCTCTGCGTCTGCAGCTGTCACCGTTGCACCAGAGGTTGTCGTGGAGGTATTGCTTCCACCAGCAGCACCGCGTTTGCTCTTGGCGATAATGCGGTCAGCCTCCCAGTTGAGGTATCCCTCACGTCCACGTTCCCAAGCTCTGGCATCCGCGCCTGCACCGTCGTCATCTCCTTCACCGTCGCCTGCATTTCGCTTGACAGGCCCAGCAGGCGAGTAGAGCGGTGCACCCAGTGGATCAGCAGCACGAAGCTCTTGAAGTGCTCTGAGAAGCGGGATGGTGTCGGCTTTGAGCTTGCCTGCGTGTTGGCCGAAGGTTTCAGTGAGCACAGGGACTGCTGGCTTGAACTTGTCGGAAATGGTGGAGATATTGGCTTTGTCGTCAGCGTAGAGGACCGCTGCGAAACGTTCGGCGAGCTGGATCACGCGATGGAGACTCTCTTGTGTTGCCTTCTGCGCTAGAAGGAGCTTGTGCTGTGTTGCTCTCGCCTGAAATCATAAGGAACGAGGTGAGGGTGTGTCAGTGTCAGTGTCGGCTGTGAAAATGCTCCGATGTTGAGTGGATAGATACTGACTGCAGCAATTTGGCGCTTGAGCGAATCTTCAGTCTCTCCAAGCTGATAACTTGTTTCCTTGGCACTGAGATTCGACCAAGCTCCGACGAGACTCTTCCGCGATGGCTTGGGCTGTGCTTTGGAGGTACTCGCTCCACCTGCCTGTTGCGCTCGGAGATCCAAGCCGCGATGATGATCCAAGGTCATATATTTGGCCTGACGTGGGCGAATGCCAAAGACGGAGCGGAAGCAGTAAAGCTCAAAAGTGTCGAGCGTGTGGTCCAATGCGTTCTCCATGAGCGTCAGGATTCCATGGATACCTTGCTCCGCTTCGAGCTCCCCACTGTCGACATCTTTCAACAAGTTCATGACGACATTTTCGAACTCGGTCGCAATGCTGTACAGGTGTTCGTTGGAGAGGTAGACGAGCGCGTCGATGAATGACTTTGGGTTGTAGCCAAAGTGCTCGGTGAGAAGTTCAAGGTGTGCGTCGGTGGAGGCTTCTTCCTTCTTGTCTTGATGAGATGGGGACGCTGAGGGCTGGTTTTTTGTTGTAGCCGAAGGACATGCTTTTGCCGGCTCTGGTGTCGATGGTGCTGTTGCTGTGGAAGCTGCTATTGCTGTCGAAGCTGCTAAAGAGGAGGACGCTGCTGCTTTTGCTGTTTTGTCGTTGGACTTAGCTGAATCGGTCGATGCAGTCGCTGCCGTTGCGGCTTGTGAGGATCGCCGCGCCGAAGGCATCGTGTGCGAGCTGCGCCCAGTCCCTGGCGAGACTGAGAGTACGGATATATGGTCGCAATGATGACCGAACGAATGGACAGCTGAGCGCGACGAGACAGAAGGTATAAAGAGGAGGAGGAGAAGGAGAACAACACAAAGGCCTCTCTGGGTGTCGCGTCTAGCAGACGCGTGAAAAAAAGTATCGCTGTTACGTCATGTCTGCAAACATTTCTGGAATTAGAATTCTCGGAAGCTGATCTGAGGAAAGAGAGAGGAAGTGCAAGTCGATCACTCCACATTAACACCCAAACCGCTCAGGAACGGCAGAGAGAGGTTGCGCAAGTGCCACCTTGTTGCGAGTTACGACACTCCAACCAACACTTTGGCTCCCTCTTATTCTTGATTCTATCCTCGTCTCTTCAGGTCTCCACCGCCAGCATCGCACAGCCTCTGTTTCCGCATCGCGTGCAGGTATCCCATCACTCAAAGCAAGTCTCGCATCCTCAGACCACCTCAACTTAGCGCTGCAGCTCCACGATCCGCACCACTCGAAACTCTAGGCACGAACTGCACTTGCCTCCTCACGTCAAGCCCAACGTCTTCGCATACTCAAATCACGAGCTCATCGACCACTTTCGCACGCTTCTCACCATCTACATACTTATCAAGATGGAGTGCTCCTTCGGTATCACAGGCAAGGGTTACACGATCATCGCTTCGGACTCGAACGCCGCCCGTTCCATCGTCAAGATGAAGTCCGACGTCGACAAGCAAAAGGTGCTCAGCGATCACCTCGTCATGACATTCTCGGGAGAGCCAGGTGACACTCTTCAGTTCTCCGAGTGGATCGAGCGCAACAGCAGACTATACAGCATCAGGTAAGTTCAAAGTGGCACTTGTGCAGTTATTCATCGCATCCACTCTGCCATCTTCCGCGCATGAAGACCTGAATTGCTTACACTACTTATCCCTTGGTTTCTTGATCCCGCTCTGCTATCGTCTCCATGCCCTTGTCATCATCACCGCCACTACAGGAACCACGTCGAATTGAGACCAAAGTCCGCAGCATCATGGATTCGCAAGGAGCTCGCCGAGTCACTGCGATCCAGGAACGCTTATCAAGTCAACCTCCTCCTTGGCGGCTTCGACTTACCCAGCTCCGAACCGGCATTGTACTGGATTGACTACCTTGGAACGCTAGCCACTGTTCCCTTCGCAGCGCATGGCTACGGTGCATTCTTTGCCATGTCGACGCTAGATCGATATCACCGTCCCGATATGTCACTCGAGGAGGGTCTGGACTTGTTGCGCCGCTGCATCAACGAGCTAAAGCAGCGTTTCATTGTCGATCTCGGCACTTTCACCATTCGTGTCGTTGATCGCGAGGGCGCTCGCACTGTTGAGCTCTGAACGGTGCACCTGATCTCATTCGACACCATGTTGACTCGAGCAAAGCCAAGTCTGTTTTTATTGTTGCATTGTAATAGTATCAATTTCTGCCTACGTTTCTTTGTCATGCTGTTGTGAACCTCCTTGCTGCTGGCGTGCCTTTGGGCCTTTGGGCTCTTCCTGAATTACACCTCGGCCGCACTACGTCTTGCTGATCCGCTTCCAGGGTTTTACCTACTCAATATGTGACGTCGAACAGCATACGGTAAGCTAGTGATCAAAGTAATTCCACTCGTACACGTCTGAACACTGAGCTGCAGCGGCTTTACCTCGGGCACGTTATACAGTCTTTGCGAGACTTGGGGTCGAACATCACTATCAAGCCGGATAGCAGAGGCACGCAATGTTCAAGCGTATCACCAATACCCAACCGTAGCAGGCAGCTAAGCTTTCGTTGCCGAGTCTTGCGGTCACTCGTAGCCTCCGTAGCCATCTTCATCGGCGCTGCTGTTATCGTTGTCGTCGTCGTCGTTGTCGTCGTTGTCGTTGTCGTTGTCGTCGTCGTTATCGTCATCGTCTACATAGTCAAATGACTCTGTGGCGACGAATCCTTCATCGTCATCGCCACCGCCACCACCATCGGCACCATCAGCATCGGCGCCATCATGATCCGAGCCAGGCGGAGATGGAGGATCTGGCGAGGTCATCGAATTCAATCTGTAGGTGGGCGGTTTCAGAAGACAAGAGAAAGGAAGGAATTCGGTGTAAGCCACCGGCAAACCAGTGCTTGTTCTGGGCAAGTCGATGAGGCGACCGAATTCCCACGGGATCCGTGGACTGGCACGTCGATGTGATGCTGCGAGCGGACAACTCTTCTGCGCTGCTGACTACTCATTGAATAGAACAGGGTCGAAACTCACATGCGAACAAGGGGCTCGGATACTTTGGCCACCTCGACCAGTCGTTGTCGGAAGTCCTTGCGCAATACCTCGGCATCAGAAAAGCTGGGAGAGGGAGAAAAGCGAGGGTCAAAGGGAAAGATAGAGTGTCAGCATGCGAACATTTCCATGCTGTCCGAGCATGAGCCAAAGTGTAAGCTAGAGCTAGCCTAGAGTCACTACGCTTTGGATATCAAGGAGCATCTGGCAATCTGGTAGGCACTCGTGGACTCGCCACTCACTTGTGAATGACGCAGAAGCTGCGGAGCTTCAGCCAGTCGATGTCTTTGTGCATCTTGTCAACACCAGCGATCTTAGGCGCCACCTTCAGTTGGTCGTCGCCGCCCCAAAGATTGCAGCGCTGTTGCTCTCGGGCGCCCTTCTTCGTTCTCGGCTCTGTTTTGCTCGTCTCGCCTTTCGGTGCGCCGAACCACTTGGTGAACGCTGTCTCCCTGACCGCTGCTTTCAAGGCCTGTGCTTCAGGTGTATCATGGAGAATGTGTTGCCGAATCACTGCCAGGTCCTCCCTCTCCGGTTGCCAGCGGCCTGCGGCGATGAAGCTGCGTCCACCTGGCTTGATCAAAAGGTGGTAGCCAGCGAATGGACCCTTCCTTCCGCCTCGCGAGAAGGAAGCCATGAGATTCGTCTTGTAAGGCGTCTTGTCATTTGAAAATCGGACATCGCGGTAGATTCGATAGGCAATGTCCTTCGTTGGCAGCCACGGGAGCGTAGAATCGACCTTCTCCATGAAGTCGTTCAGCACAGCTTCGGTGAACTCGGCGAAGTTCTTCGAGCAGTAGCGATACACTGCGTCATGACGGGCGAACCAGTGCCTCTCGTTGTTGGCCTGCAGATCTGAGAGGAACTTGAGCACGTTCGGACTGAGTTCACCACGAGCAACGTGTCCGGATTGAGGCGGCCCAACGAGTTTTGCTACAACACGAGTGACGCCGGGTTGGCATTCATCGCCTTTGATGCTCGTCGGTGCTGCGCGCTTGGAGGGAGTTGAGGTGTTCTTCTTTCGACGTTTGGCAGGTCGGTCGCGTTGCTCCTCTTCTTCGCTTGGATCTCCGGACGAGCCGTCCTTGAGCACCTCATCAGCACTTGTCGATCCGCGGTCTCCCGCCTGATACTCGTCCTCGGTCAGATGGTGGACTGCATTCTCTTGGTCGGATTCCTCCCGGTAGCTCAGACGCTTGCCTGTTGAGACTCTTGCAGATCGTCGGGAGCTCATCTGGGCTTGCTAGACCGCGTGCAGGCGTTGAGTCTAGACTTGTATACCCGCGATACCCTGAGCCCTCGAAAAGCAAGTTGGGTGCGATGATGTGGATCTGTTCACGTTTGAGGATGGCAAAGTTGCAAAAAAATGACCTCTTGTGATAAAAAGTGAGGAGAACGGGTCCCGATGATCAACGATTGGTGAGAGTCGCAGCATGATGTCACTACTGTTTTAGCGCAGAAACATACAGATATATACTCGATTGACTAAAGAACGTGGGGAGAGCGTGGTACCTGCCAAAGGTGGCAGTACTTCTACTTAGTGATCTAACTTGACAACGAGCGGGGACTGTGTTGGACCCGATCTCTTGTCAGATCGGTCGTGCCAAATCTCCGATTAGATTGACCTTGCCTGATCTCTTCCGTCACGGCTTATGTCAGCTTATATCATCCTATTGGCTCGTTACCTTGGGCAGCGTTTGGCCCAGTTGAAGGGTCCAAGCCGCAGGAGAGCTTTGTTGGCGCGACGCACGGGCCACTTTCAAACCTGTCAAAGCCCTGATCACCGACAACTTGCTCTCCCAGCTGTTCTTGCAAGAGAATCTACTCAAAGGATGCAAAACAGTGCTCCATATACTGTCTGCTCCATATACTGTCTGTTGTATCTACTCTCCCACAACTATGCAGCATTTTTTTTGGATACAATACCCTGTACACTAACTGATCACAATCAGAGCTTTCCAATGGTATATATGTTAAGTATAGGTTTGTGTCACAGCGACCCAACAGCCTGTTGACTTGCTCTCGACACAAAGAGATATGACAGCCTCTTCCTCTTCAACCAGGCCAAGGCCAGGCAGCTCAGCTTTTTTCGCCCGCATCACCAACTGCGCCAGCTTGCGATACTTCATATACGTGCGTCTGCGCACAATACGACCCAAGTTATATAAACCGTGGGTGTCTAGATAGGCCATTCCATTTTCCTCGTGCCTTTCTCTTCTCCCTTTCCCTTCCTCTGCTTCCACACCTCCCAAGCTCGATTTGTCGCTCACTTGGTTCTCAGACTCTTATCCGAATCTCATTGTTCTCCATACGCTTTACATTCGTCCCGCGATAAACTCGGCGCTCCGTAATCCTTCCTCTCAACAAAGCCTTACAACCCTCCATAAGTCGTTCGTCCTTACTCGTCACGCCGTAAGTTCTTGTTGACCAGCCTCGAGGGCAGTCGAAAGAGGTACTAATCCCTCAGCCAATTTGGTGCTCTCTTCGCACAGTCACCTCTGCAAGATGGTTGCCAAACGTGGAGGCGCTCAAGAGGCGCTCACCCTTTACGGCGCCGCGCCGAGGCCCGACAATGGAAATAAGCAGGGTCGTTCCATGCAGCTCACGACAAACCTGTTCAAGGCTACTCTCAACCTCAAGGGTCTGAAGAACGTTCAGCTCCTCTCCGTCGAGATCAAGCCCATCGACGACCCCGGTGCCGCTCGTCGACCAGGCGCTCGAGAGTCGCTTCCGGTCCGATTGAATCGCGAAATTCTCGTGCATGCTCTTCAAGATGCTGCAAAGAACGGTATCCTCGGTATTACCCAAGACTTTGCCCGCCTCTTGGGATACGATGGTAAGGCGCTTGCCTACACCATGCGTCCTCTGCCCGCTGACAAGCTCGAGTGGGAGACCACTCTGCCGCCGAAGTCCGACTTGCCACCCGTTCCAGGTGCGCCTGGAGCGGTGGCCCCTCGTCCTCCTGCTGCCCCTGCTGGTGCTGAACGAGACTCAAAGCGCCGCTTTAGGATCAAACTCGCTTTTGCTCGTAGTATCGACTTCGGACTCATTCTCGAGGCTTGCCGCGGTGATCGACGTGCCATCATGGCCCAAGCCGCGAATCCCGCCGAGCTGATCCAGGACGGTATCCAGGCGCTCGACATTGTGCTGCGTAACATGCTGCACGACCGTTACCTCTCTGGCACAAGTCAAGCCGCTCAACGTAAGTTCTACGACCCATCGAAAGCCATCCCCATCAGCCAAGGCGCTGAGATCTGGCCTGGATTCTTCCAGTCGGCTCGCCCTTGCGCTGCCGGTCTTGTCGTCAACCTCGACCCAGCTTTCTCGGCTTTCGTTGGCGGCGGTGCCTTTGTTGAGGTCGCTGCTAAGCTTCTCAACCTTGGCGGCGGCGGCGGCGGCGGTGGAGGTGATTTTGGCGGTCGTGGCGGTCGTGGCGGTCGTGGTGGCCGTGGTGGCCGTGGAGGCTTCCGCGGTGGACGTGGCGGATATGGTGGCGACTTTGGCGGCGGTGGCACTGCCCTCACTTCACTTACACAGCAAGATCAACGACAGCTCCGAATGCGCCTCAAAAACATTCAGATTCGCGTTACACATCGGCCCACCAACAAACTCGAGTCGTTCCAGGGCTTCACCGCTCGTTCAGCCGAAGAGACCATGTTCGAGACAAAGGAAGGTAAGAGCTACAGCATCGCTCAATACTTCCTCGAGAAGTACAACCTTCGTCTCCGCTTCCCCCGCCTTCCCTGCGTACGTATTGGTACCCAGAGATCCGCGGTGCCCATGGAATTTTGCGTGGTCGTTCCTCAGGGACCCCTCCCAGCTACGAGCCTGACCCCAATGCAGTCGGCCGATCAGATCAAAGTTTCGGCAATGAAGCCTTCCGACCGCAAGCGCCGCGTTGAAGACATTCGCCGTGAAGTCGACTACGATACCAACCCCATGCTTCAGGGCTGGGGGATCACTGTCGACCGCCAACCTCTAACGACTGAGGGTCGTGTCATCGCTGCTCCTGAAGTTGCTTATGCTCCAGGCTCGCAGCGCCCTCGTGTTGGCGTCGGTTCCTGGAATCTAGTTGGCGCCAAGTTTGTGACTCCTGGCGCAGAGCTGATCACATGCGGTGTCCTTGACTATAGTCAAGCTCCTCTCGGCGCGGTCCAGGGATTCATCGCCGCCCAACTCGATGCTTGCAAGAAGCTTGGTCTTCGCGTCACCAATGTCCGACCTCAGATCGTTAAGCATCGTCCCGATCCTTACTTAGTTAAGGAGCACATGAACGAGCTCGGTAGATCAGCTTTCGCCGAGGCTAAGCAGAGGATGGGCGCCGCGAGGAGACCGCCTCCGCCTCAGATCTTCTTTATCATCCTCGATCAACAAGATCAGGCCTTCTACAATTCGGTCAAGAGGGCTGCCGCCCTCGAGCTCAGCACTCCGGTTGCGACGCAGTGTTTCAACGCTCGCAAGGCTTTCAACGAACGCGGGCAAGCCCAGTACGTCGCCAACGTTGCCATGAAGATCAACGTAAAGCTCGGCGGCACCAACCACATTGTTTCTGGCGAGCGCGACTTGCCTCGTTTCGGAAAACAAACGATGCTTGTGGGCGCCGATGTTACCCATCCTGGTCCTGGCTCGGATAAACCCTCGATTGCTGGGTCCGTTGCCACCATCGACGGCGGTGCTAAACGATACTCGAGCGAATTGCGCAAGCAGACCAATCCGCGTGGTGGAGTTGCCCAGGAGGTGATGCTCCACTCGAAGGGAATGATGCTCGGCCACTTGAAGAAGTGGCAGGCTGCCAACCAAGGTCGCTTGCCTGACTCTATTGTCTTCTTCCGCGACGGTGTCTCTGAGGGACAGTATCAGGCTGTCCTCGACCACGAGCTTCAGGCGCTCAAAGATGCCAGCCGAGAGATCCGCCCTGACGCCAAGATCAAGGTAACCTTTATCGTTTGCGGCAAAGGTCATCACGTTCGCTTCTTCCCCCAAAATGAGCAAGACGTCGCTGGCGACCGCTCCGGCAACCTTCCTCCTGGCATCTGCGTCGACAAAGACATTGTCTCTCCCTTCGGCTTCGATTTTTACTTGCAGTCGCAGGCGGGTCTCGTCGGTACCGCTCGTCCTTGCCACTACGTTGTCCTCCGCAACGAGATGGAGTTCTCGAGTGAACACCTTATCCGCTGCATCAACTCGCTTTGCTACACCTATTGCCGCGCGACTCGATCGGTTTCAATCGTCCCACCTGCCTACTATGCTGATATCCTCTGCGAGAAGGCTCGAGCCTTTGTCTACGGACCCGATGATGGAGAGACTGTCGCCTCTTCCGAGAAAGGTGACATTGAGATGCCCGAGATCAGCGAGCACGAGGCAGGTTCGATGATGGCCCACTTTACCAAGTCGCCTACCTTCACCGATTGCTTGTGGTTCATGTAGGCGGCTCGCTTCATGGGTTCCTCTCTGTCCCTTGCGCGCTACTCTCGCCACCGTGTCCCTCTCCCAGCCCGATCCCTTGGAATTGACATCACAGAACCTCGGTTGGCATCTTCCGAGTTGATCCTTAAGATTAGTCCGCAGCAGCTCCCTCGTCAATGAGCTAGCATTTCCAACCCTTCCCTCGTCTTGCTCCCTCCGAATTCCAGTCTCTTCGTGGTCCGCCAATCGCGTTTGTTTATAGCTCACTATGTCCATGCCCATTTGGTTCTGAACCACTTGGATAAGCATTGAGTTGTCCCGAGAGACAGACTCGGGTAATTGATTTCGCTCGACGTCGACCGAGTGACACACTGGATTGAGTGCTCTGTAGAAAGACCACACCGCCTTCCAGACAGGCACTCGAGCAGGCTGCGACTGATGATGTTATCGATTGACTTCAACAACTCAAAAGAGGCCGGGAAAAGGTCGAAGCGTGAGCGGAGATGCTATCATGAAACATGCTATGGCGTCAGGTAACCATTGCGAAGCTAGCACTGACATCCCAAGCGAGTAGGAGAGGCTTGTCTATCCGAGGTTGTATCCGATCTCTGATCAGATCGACTTTGCCCGATCTCTGATCAGATTGACCTTTGCCCGATCTCTGATCAGATTGACTTTGCCCGATCCCTTTTCGTGTCCGCTTACGTCAACCAAGATCATCATATTGGATCGTCATCTTCATTTATAAAGTTCGCCTATTTTCGGAGAGTCCTGGAAAAGGGCCTGTTCGCCTCTGTGTCCAAACAACAATTACTTCTCCGCAGTCGATCCGCAACCTCATCTTCCTTCTCAGCGACATCAAACCTCATCACCGTGTCGACAGCAGCCACACTCTAGCTATGAACCTGCATTGATTCGAAGCATCGCAACCTTCCGATCGAACGAGCTCCTATTGCGCCTCGCAAAGTTGGTCAGTCAACCATAGAAACCTCCACCTCAAGAACGGGCGCGACCCTCGGACAAAGAGCTTCCATCACCACTGCGCCCTCTCCAGCCAGCAAGCCTCCAACGGCAGTCTGACGAGACGTAGCAATCGCTGCTCTCCTGCGCTTAGCTTCACACCATGTCACAGAGGGACGCGCGCGCTGCTGCGCTGCTCGAGCAAGGGCGCAGACAGAAGGCAGAACTCGATCGCATGGTCAAGTCGAGCTTCGCTCATACCTCCTCATCGTCGTCCAACAGCACTACCTCTCGAGCCGGCAGGATGCATCCTAAGGATAGCAGCGCCAAGTTGCTCGATGCAGAGATTGACTTCGCCCGCAGAAACCTTCGCAACACATGGCTCAATCTTCTGTTCACCTGCACATTCACGCGCGAAGCACAATCTGTCGATGGATACATCTGGAACGATACCTCGTACAGCCTCATCTCTGCCTACCGATCCTATATCTCATCAGCGCAAAAGTCAGTCGATCCGACCGTCCAGGCACCAGGTCGACGCGGCAAGTCGGCTCAGGATGCAGCGCGGGTCAAGTCAGAGTATCGCAAGTTTCTGCTGGATGAGGAACTCTTCTGGCATGAGCTAGTTGGCAGACTCGTCCGCCTCTTCTCACTCGATGAGGCACGCTCCAATCTCCAAGTGCTAGGCATTGACGCCGACAACGACGGCAATACCTCTGTCTCATCATCGCTGCCCACTGATTCCTACGCATCGAGAGCAACACGGCAGGCCAGTGAGCCCGACGAGACACTATCACAAGCAGCGCTTTTTCCCGCCAAAAGAACTCACCTCATCACCCTGCTGCACAAGTTCCTCATCTTCTGCGGTGACCTTGCTAGGTACCGCGAAATGTCATCCCACGATCACGAGAATGATTTACAAGGCAGCCAGAAGAGCAAGGGCCTGCTCAAGTATGACTTCAGCCGCGCTTCTGCCTTCTACGAGCAGGCGCGCCTCATCTTGCCAGACCAAGGCAACCCGTCCAACCAGCTTGCTGTTATCTCGACCTACAAGGGCGACACATTCGGCTCCCTCTACTACTACTACCGAGCACTTTGCGTCAAGACGCCCTTCGCCAAAGCCAAAATCAATCTCGAGAAGTTGCTTGCCAAGCCCACCTCAGCCTACCTCGAGGAAGCAGCACGCTCATCTGATGGTGCTAGCCCAACATGGGATGCAGCCAAAGACAGGCAGGCTCGAGATTCGCAGCTGATCAGCCGGCTCTCGACCAATGTGGAGGAGGCGCAACAGCTCGCAGATTCTTGGACAAAGCAACTTGTCATTCTGCACGGCCTCTTCTACCGACGCAATCACCTCGACCACATCATCTATCTCTCTCGCTCGGTGTTGGCCACCTTCTCGACCTTAATGCGAGCTAGGGCGCTGCGTGCCGACCAAATCGTTCAATTCCTCGTCACTGCGCTTTGTGCCTCCTGGACCACCCGACTCTGGCGCAGCGCTCCTGCTTCGGCAACTCGAGACTCGTCAAGACCCTCATCTGATGGCTCAGAGGACCGACACCGACCCCGAGCGATCCACGGCGAACGATCTTCCAAGAAGCGAGCACCGTCCCCGGAAACAGGCAGATGCGTCGAGTTTCAAGTCACCGCCCATGTGCTCGGTGTGTTCCGCGAGCTGGCAGAAGTAGGCACCTCTGAAAGTCGACAAGCAACCGAAGCCAACAAAGAGGCTGGGCTGGCGATGCAGCAGATGGATGGCCAGGCCAACCCTATCCGCAACCTCACCGCAGTGACTCGCAGAACGTTGCCCGCCTTGCGCATCGTGACCAAGTGGACCAAGACACATCTCGAATACATGCAGCGCATCGAGAAGCGTGCACGTGATGCTATGGAGCAGTCTGGCGAAACGGATCCTGTTGTGGTTAGGTCCGAGATGGAAGTGTCGCCGGACTCGGAGCGTCCGAACCCACATCTCGTCGCATATGCAGACACGCTCGAATCGATGGACCGATGTTGGTCGCAGTATGTGGACCTCATCAACAGCCTTCGATATGCATTCCCCTTTGACTCGCTGCCCAACATTGGTAAGGTGGGTGCTGTAGGCGCACCTGCCTTGTGCCTAGAAGAGGACTCGGATATGAGAGGATTCGCTCCTACGCGCAAGGCAACCCAGTCGACGATTCCAGGCGGCACGACGATCAGCGTTGGAATGGGCGAGGCGTGTGCCAACATCGAGGCGGTAAGGCCAAGCCAGGTGCATCCGAACGAGGAGCAGCTGATGCGAATTGCAGATCTCATGATCGATGCCAAGGTGGTGGCTGAGTCGCATGCAAGCCCCATCCACTTTGACGACAACAACAATGTATTTCTTTACCTGAAAAAGGCTGGTGGCGTGACGCAGACAGCTTCGAGATCGGCTGCAGCTACTACCGCCGCCGCAGCGCTTGCAGAGCAAGCTTCGGGAAACTCGAGTCGATCGGACTCACTGGACGACCCAGTTGAGGCGGCGATGCGTGCTGCGATGGCACATGCCGAAGGGTCCAAGAACGGTGCTGGTATTGCAGATGTTGAGTCTGTGGAGCAGTCGATGCGCGGTGTACAAGTTCGAGACACTGGCGTCGCCGGAGAACAGCTTCTTGTCCCATCGCAAGTCAAGTTAAAGCCGCTCAAGAACAAGGACGACTTGGCTCGGCAGCTGTTTGCCGCCTATCCGATACCATCGCAAGGTCCTCAAGGAGCAGCAACCAGTCAAATGACGCCTTTGAGCTCCAACTCCTCCGCATCGACTCATGGACCTGGGGCTGGTAGCAATCAGGATGCGTTGCTACAGATGCTATCGCAACAGGCTGGATCCAGTCATGCAGGCCTCAATCAGGGCAGCAACAACAGTAGTCATGCCAACATGTTGCTGTCGAACGGAGCTCCTATCAGCTCGATCTGGGCCCCCAATGCATCCGACCTGCCGCCGCATCTCCAATCATATGCGGGCGGTGCGCTCGACATGTACCAGCGACAGATGCAGCAGCAGCAGCAGCAGCAGCAACAGATGGGAGGTCAGCTCGGAAGCGGGCCGTACCAGCACCAATGGGGCAACAACGCTTATCAGCAGCACCAAGGCAACTTGGCAGACGTCTACGGCAACACAACTCCAGATCCGTTCAACCCGCATGGATACGCAGGAGCACAGCAATTGCACCAGCAGCAGCAGCAGCAGCACACCGCATTCTCGCCTTCCCTGCACCCTCCGCGGCAGCGAACGACGCCTCAACCTGGCAACATCCACGGCGACAGACTTGGGTTTGGAGGTGCAGGTGCGATGTCGAGTCCGACGATGCGGGATCCGTACTATCCCGGACCAGCTGGTGAAGGTGGTGCCGGAGGTGCTGCTCATTCGCCTCGCTTCTAGACGTTCAGGAGGGCAACAGTGCTTTGTCTAGTCTCCACTATCTCAGTCTTAGTGCGGTGCTGTGCTCTAATGATAGCCGCGTTACTGGTGCATTCCATTTCGTGCAAACGTTTTCTGGAGTAGCCATGAGCGTGGAGCTCAAGAGTGCCAAAGGGTGATGATGAACGAGAGTTTGCATTTTTTTTTCGTGCGAGAATATGTGTTAGGAAGATCTGAGAAAGCGAAAGACTGCCAACTTTGCTGTTGCAGGCCTGAGCCGTGCGAAAAAAAGAAAAAAGAAAAAGGGCTGCGAATCACAACCCACAATCACCTCCAGCCAGGCGAGCCTTCTCCTTTCCCTACTCTAACCCCCTGACACTCATACCTCAATACCTCTTTGCCGACGCCAGGGCTAACCGACAACCATGCCCACCGTTACCGTCGACAAGGAACACTTCTACAAGGCGCTTGGCCGCCCCTACACCACTCAGGAGTTCGACGAACTCTGCTTCCAATTCGGTATCGAGCTTGACGATGACACCACCGAAGAAGTCACAAAAGCTGGTCTTGGCGAGCGACCGCAATTGAAGATCGACATCCCTGCCAACCGATACGATCTTCTCTGTCACGAGGGTATCTCCCGCGCACTCAATGTGTTCTTAGGCAACATTCCTCAGCCTCAGCTCAAGCTCACCAGCCCTGATCAGATGATCCAAGTCAAGCTCAGCCCCGACGTCGCTCGCATTCGACCCTACTTTGCCGGTGCAGTCCTTCGAAACATCAGCTTCAGCCCAGAGAGCTACGCCAACTTTATCGACTTGCAAGATAAGCTCCACCAAAACTTGGCTAGACGTAGAACGCTCGTTGCTATCGGCACACACGATCTTGATACCATTCAAGCGCCCTTCTCCTACGAGGCTTTGCCACCGAAAGACATCAAGTTCGCCCCACTCAACAAGGAGCACGAGTATGATGCTAGCCAGTTGATGGAGCTTTACGAATCCGATAAGCACCTCTCTCGCTATCTTGACATCATCCGAGACAGCCCTGTCTATCCCGTCATCTACGACACCAACAGACAAGTACTGTCCATGCCACCTATCATCAACTCGAACCACTCCAAGATCAGCCTCAACACCAAAAACGTCTTTATCGACACCACTGCTATCGACGAAACCAAGTTGGGGATCGTGATCAACATCATCGTAGCTATGTTCTCGCAGTACTGCGCTGAGCCTTTCACCATCGAGCCTGTCAAAGTTGTTTACCCTGATGGCCAGATCAAGGTCACTCCTGATATTTGCAGCACACAATTCCTTGCGAGCGTGGACTATATCAACAGGTGTACCGGTCTGAAGCTTTCGCCAGAGGAGATGATTGGGTATTTGAAGAAGATGGGTCACACTGCGACCGTTGACCCTGCTTTTCCTGCGGAAAGGCTTATTGTGTATGTACCACCTACTCGACCAGATATCTTGCACGAGTGCGATTTGATGGAAGACGTAGCAGTGGCTTTCGGTTTCGATAACCTGCCAAAAACTTTCCCGGCCACCAACACTGTTGCTGCTCCTTTACCGATCAACAAACTTGCGGATATTGTGAGGAGGCAATGCGCATACTCCGGTTGGATCGAAGTTCTTCCCCTTATTCTCTGCTCTCATGATGAAAATTTCGCTTGGTTGAATAGGAAAGATGATGGCAAGACCGCCATTGTATTGGAGAACCCTAAGACGGCCGAGTATCAGGTTGTTCGATCCTCTCTTCTGCCAGGGATTCTTAAGGCTGTTCGCGAGAACCGCAAGCATGCTTTACCACTACGAACATTCGAAGTTTCAGATGTTGCCTTCAAAGATGAGGTCGATGAGCCCGAGCGTTGCGCACGCAATGAGCGCCACCTTGGTGCGGTCTACTGTGACAAGACGGCAAGTTTCGAAGTTGTACACGGTTTGCTCGATCGCTTGATGCTCAGTCTAGCCATTCCACGCATTGCTGGCAAGGAGGCTAAGGAGGAAAAAGGGTACTGGATTGAAGAGCTAACAGAAGGAGAAGAGGCAGGAACCTTCTTGCCTGGTCGTGCAGCAAAAGTTTTGCTCCGACTACCTAAGGAACAGTACAACCCAGGTGCTGCTACCAATGCCAAACCTGTTACTGTTCAAGGGGTAAAGGAGAAGACAGCTAGCGCTTTGGACACTGTCAAGGAGGCATTTGAAAACCTTCTACCAACAAATGACGGCAAGAGCGAACAAGTACAGGCTGACCAAGTAGTGGGACAGATGGGTGTCTTGCATCCTTCTGTGTTAAAGAATTTTTCCATCGACTATCCTTGTTCTGCGTTCGAGTTCAACTTGCAACGCTTTTTGTAAAGTGACTGACATAAAGGCAGAACACCTGTAGAAAACGTGTGCAAATCAAACTCCACATTTCACTCATGCCCCATTGCACCACACAAGACGACGAGAATGAAAGTGAGATGAGACATGAGATTGAGAAGGAAAGCGTGAGATAAAATGCAGTGTTGAAACCCGTTGCTGTGATGAGAGAAGCGAAACCTAGGGGAAGGAGGAACCGTGGGGGGAGGGGTGGGGAAGAAACCGATTGTTCTCAAAAAAGAAAGGGGGGGGGGGGGGAATATACAGGATGAAATACGTTGAAGCATCACCATCCCTTCCTAAGACCTAGGACGAGGTATCTAGCGAACATATATCTAGTTAAGGTAATCATCAACAGAACCGCACTCGCAAACCAACATTCTGTCGCCAAAGGCATCGTCTATCCTAGCGACAGGAGGCCAGAACTTGTTATTCTTCAGATGGTCGACTGGGTAGACAGCGCGCTGCCTGGTATACGGCCTATTCCAATCGACCTCTGTGATGTCGTGAATGGTATGTGGTGCATTCTTGAGCAAGTTATTATCCTTAGGCATCTTTCCTTGACGAATCTCCTCAACTTCAGCCCTTATGCTAATAAAAGCTTCGATCAACCTATCGATTTCCTGCAGCGACTCGGACTCTGTAATCTCAATGAGAAGACCAGTGGAGATAGGCCAAGAACAAGTTGGTGGATGGAAACCATAGTCAATCAGACGCTTGGCAAAATCCATAACTTTGAGACCAACATCTTCGAACTCAGCTACATCGATGAGTAGTTCGTGCGCAACACGACCTCTGTCACCGGTGTACTTGAGCTTGTAATCGTCCTTTAGACGGTGTGCGACGTAGTTGGCTGCCAGCAGAGAAGTCTCGGTGGACTTCTTGAGACCTGCCCAACCGAGCATCTTGATGTAAGCCCAAGCGATGGTGAGGATCGAAGCTGAACCCCAAGGAGCAGCCGAGATTGGGTCGATGGCCATTTCACCACCTGTAGAGGCGAGCGGGTGGCCGGGCAAGAAGGGCGCCAAGTGTTCAGCGACACAGATAGGGCCCACACCGGGTCCTCCACCTCCGTGTGGGATGGAGAAAGTCTTGTGCAAGTTGAGATGTGTCACATCAGCACCCATGATGGCTGGGTTGGTGAGTGCCACCTGAGCCTGAAGGTTGGCACCGTCGAGATAGACCTGTCCACCGTTGTCATGGACGATCTGGAAGGCCTCCTGGATGTCCTTGAAGTAGCAACCGGTAGTAGCAGGCTCGGTGATCATCGTTGCCGCCAACTCGTTCTTGTGCTGCTCTGCCTTGGAACGTAGATCGTCTAGATCGATCGATCCATCAGCCTTGGTCTTGACGGGAACAACCCTCATACCAGCCATGATAGCCGATGCAGGATTAGTACCATGCGCACTTGTCGGGATCAAGCAAACATCTCGCTTGCCCTCACCCTTGCTTTCGTGATAGGCCCTGATGATGGACAGACCAGCGAACTCTCCCTGAGCACCGGAGTTGGGCTGCAGCGAAACAGCAGGGAAGCCAGTGATCATGCAGAGATCCCGCTCGAGCTCGCGGATGAGAAGATCGTAACCCTGAGCCTGCTCCTCAGGTGCAAAGGGGTGCAACTGCGAGAACTCGGGCTTGGAGATGAGCATCATCGAGGAAGTCGAGTTGAGCTTCATGGTGCATGATCCGAGAGGGATCATTGCGTGGACGAGGGAAAGATCCTTAGCCTGGAGAGAGTGGATGTAGCGAAGCATCTGCGTCTCGCTGCGGTGGGCAGAGAAGACTGGCTGCTGGAGGAACTTGGATTTACGGCTAAAGTCAGGGACAGCGGGCAGGTCTGAGGAGTCCCAAGAAGCAGTCTTGAGTGGGGAGGAGATGGTGAGACTCTCGGTGGAGGATGCGTCGAGGCCGATGCGAGAAGCGATGCTGAGAAGGTCTTCGGGCTTGTAAGGCACCTCGCCGGACTTGGTGTTCCTGAGAGCGAAGGCGAAGACGTTGAGAAGGTCGGTGAGGTCTTCAATTCTAACCGTCTCGTCGAGGGTGATACCGACACGGGTGTCGCTGATCCTGCGAAGGTTGAGACCGGCCTTCTTGGCCTCCTCGTGAACTCGAACGGCACCTACACCAGCCTTGGTTAGGTCGATAGTGAGAGTGTCGAAGAAAGCACCGTCGCGGTTCACGACGCGAACACCCAACTCGGTGAGCTCGTGCTTGAGCAAACGCGTGAGGGCGTGCACCTTGGCCGCAATCTTGCGCAGACCGTCAGGACCGTGATAGACAGCGTACATGGCCGACATGTTGGCGAGTAATGCTTGGGCGGTGCAAATGTTGGAAGTGGCCTTCTCGCGACGAATGTGCTGCTCTCGAGTCTGGAGAGCAAGTCGGTAAGCAGGGTTGCCACGAGCGTCTTTGGAGAGACCAACAAGACGACCGGGGATCTTGCGCTTGATCGAGTCACGAACAGCAAAGAAAGCTGCGTGGGGACCACCAAAGCCAGGAGGGACACCAAAACGAGCAGCATTGCCGAGAGCGATATCGGCACCCCACTCACCAGGAGGCTTGATCATGGTCAAAGCCAAAAGGTCGGTGGCAGCAATGACCATACCACCGAAAGCCTTGATCTCCTTTGCGAGCGCTTCCCAGTCAGTGATGCGGCCATCGACGTCAGGGTACTGAACGAGGGCACCAATAATGTCGTCTCGTGGAATCTGGTCGGCGGGAGGGAGACGATGACCCTCTGGAGTGCGAAGATCGGTGGCAACCACCTTGATGCCGAACCCTTTAGCTCGCTGACGAAGAACAGCAAGAGTCTGAGGCAAGACACCACGGTCAACGAGGAAAGTCTTGCGCTTGCTCTTGGTCTGACCGTAAGCCAAGATCATGGCCTCGGCAGCTGCAGTACCTTCATCGAGCAAGGAAGCATTGGCAAGATCGAGAGCGGTGAGCGACTTGACCATGGTCTGGAAGTTGATGAGCGACTCGAGACGACCCTGGGAGATTTCGGGCTGGTAAGGGGTATAGGAAGTGTACCAAGCAGGGTTCTCGAGGACGTTTCGCAGAATGACAGGTGGCACTAAGGTGTTCTGGTAACCCATACCGATAAGGCTCTTGAAAGGACGGTTCATCTTGGCGATCAGATCGGCGCGCTGAGCCAATTCGCTCTCGGAGAGAGGCCTGATCTGGTCGTAGAAAGCAGCGTCTTCAGCAAGACGAACGCTGGGCGAGAGGGTGTCAGCAACCAACTGCTCCATGTCCGAGTATCCGAGTGCCTGGAGCATCTTGCTTGAGTCTTGGTCACGGGGTCCAACATGACGAGCCTCGAAGGTGTCGAGAGGGGCAAAGATGGATTTTGCGACGTGGCTGGCGCGAAGCTCGGGAGCGTTCTCGGTGGAGCTGAGTGTAGCGAGACCTCGAGGGTGAGCGCGCAAGGTGATAGCAGAGGTGACAAGGCGTGCTGCTGCGGAAGCAAAACGCGAGCTCGACGCGATCGGCTGCGCAGTTCGGATGGACCGATGGGCGGCGACGCGCGAACGTGTTAGAAGCGACGTGGCGATCATCTTGACTGTATGAAATCACCCAAGCTCGTGCCCGATCGATTCGGGACGGATGGGAAACCTAAGCAATCGACGCACTCGACGCAGTCGATGGTGGTAGAAGTGGCGGCGGGTTAGGAGATGAACAAGCGTGGAACACTTGTCAACTATAATCGAGCTCGTCTGTTGCAGGTCAAGCTCGCCCTAGCTTGAATGCGAGAGAGACAAGGAACCGAGGCGCGATACGGAGGAGGATACGAGGATGATCGTGGTGGCGACACGACTTGACGATTGCCAGCTTAGACACCGCTAGCAACTCGTCCCTACAGATACGGGCTATGGCATTCCACACAAAGCACCTCCCTCAGCCACCAATCAGCTCTTCCAATGTGGGAACAACAATCACACATCAACTGCCAGTTGCTCTAACACAACTGAAAGGGCGTCCAGCACTTTTTCCACAGCAGAGCGCAGTCCCTTTTTTTCTTTTTTCTTTTTTCTTTTTTCTTTTTTCTTTTTTCTTTTTTCTTTTTTCTTTTCTCTTTTTCATACGGAGTCAGTCGCGGATTGCAGGCGTCCGACAGGTGAACCGGCGCGGGGGTGGAACCAATCAGTGCAACTGCGCTTCTGAATTCGCTCGAGATAACGAGGAAGTTGAAGATGCGTCGGCATCCTAAACTGAATCACATGGTTCGCAGAGCACAAGCAAGACACCAGTGAGTCAGAGCTGCATGTCAACATGCATTGATATGCATGTGGGACATATAAGTACTTCAACCATAACACTCAGGAGATGGCAACACTCAGGAGGTGACAACACAGGGGTGATATGAAGAATAGTTCATTATGATCTAGTATGGGCTAAGGGTAGCAATCAAGTATATATATGTTCACATTGTAGCACCTATCAATTAAAATATAACAACCATTATACACCTGATAAGTTGAGCTTGCTAGTAGCTCCTAAACAGTTGCATTTTACCAGTAATCTTCAACTGATTAAGAGTCTGAGGCTCTACTGCCTGAGCTAGCCAAGACCATCAATAACATGGTACAAGAAACCAAAGCTCAAGCCATAGCAAGCAAGGCCAAAGGAGGAAGAAAGGGCAATGCAATGCAACCATGTGTCACTGATAACGAGGCCACCAACGAGTCAGACACCAAGGTGATCAATGACAATGCCAATGAAGAAACTGACTCTGACTCGGACCATGACAATGATGGCAAGCAATACAACTTTCATACCCTAGCAAAGCTACTTGAGCCAGTTCCAAAACTCACATCACACAACTACTATAGTTGGAGTGCCCATATCAAGTCCTTCCTACGATGTGTCCCCCATGCTATGAAGCATCTTGATGGAGCATATGACAAGAAACATCCCAAGTGGAACTGCATGTTCGATGATGCCTTAATGAATGCACTACACAGTACCATCGATACCACTGGAGAGTTCAACATAAATTACTTGATTCTTGACATCATCAGGGAACATCATACATTCCATAATGTATGGAAGAAGATTGAAAATGGACTCACCAATGAGGCTACTGCCATATCTCATTGTATTGCATTGATCGCTCAGCTAGGAGAACTCAGGATGTACAACTCAGATGTACGAAAGCTCATCCAAGAAATAAGAACCATCCAAATGGAGAGCAGCTTACTGGGAAAGCCATTTGTCAGGGGTCTCGCGCCTGAAACCCAGGTCGGTCTGTCGAGATACTCGGTGACTATCAAACTGTGCGACAGCTATTGTCTCAGTATCAGTGACTATCAAGTTGTGCAGTGACAGCAGGTGGCATTCGTTGTATATACTATCGTAGGTTTCGGCTGACCTCTGTGGACACTCCATTCAGGGGTAGCTCGGCACAATCAATATCAATGTTATGATGACACCAAGGTCTGGTGTGAGTGTTGATGATGATGAGGTTGATGGTGTGGGTGGTGAGATTGGTGATGTCGATGATAATGAGGTTGATGGTGTTGATGATAAGGTTGGTGGTGTCAACACGAGTGTCCAGTGTGTTGACTTGATGCTTGAAGTGATCCCCAGACCGCAGTGGACTACTGCCTTCGGTTCTATCTATATCCGGACTGCTAACCTGCTATGGGCGCCTTCGGACGTCAGGTAGTGGTGATACAACACACACACTACGATGAGGAGCAACCTTTGATGGATTGCTGCTATGCTGACTGACACTAATATATACTTATGCTGAAGTGATAACTAGTTATGGTGAGTAGAGTGGATGAGGATCCACTCGACCTATGATGATGAGAAAGCATGGTTATATACCTCTTCACAGCATCGCCAGCGATGCTGCTCCTGCTCTCTCTCCAGAGAGTACCTTCTTCATCGAGTACTGCTCAGGGGCCTCTCCTGCTTGGCACCCCTGTGCCTCTTGAGCTGTGTCGACTCCTTCGACACTGCTCCTCCTCCTCATGACCTGGTGTCGACTCCTTCGACACTGCTCCTCCTCCTCATGACCTGATGTCGACTCCTTCGACACTGCTCCTCCTCCTCATGACCTGGTGTCGACTCCTTCGACACTGCTCCTCCTCCTCATGACCTGGTGTCGACTCCTTCGACACTGCTCCTCCTCCTCATGACCTGATGTCGACTCCTTCGACACTGCTCCTCCTCCTCATGACCTGGTGTCGACACTGCTCCTCCTCCTTCGATCAGTGACAGTTCCTTTGGCTCTTGTCTCTCGAGCCCCTGAGTGGTAACCATCTGCGTGCTCCTTGAGCTTGGTCCTCTTCGTGGCTGTGCCTGCTCCTTGAGCTTGGTCCTCCTCGTGGCTGTGCTTGGCCCTCCTTTGCATGTGAGTCCATAGGAGTCCATGGTCTCCATGGAGACTGCACTACGACCATGCTCTCTACTGATCTCGACTAGATCTTCGATACCTGTGCTCCTTCCATATGAACCCGTGACCCTCCTGCTTCTTGAGCATCCAGGCCCATGACACCATTCACTGATGACACCCTGTTTTCTAATCTACAAAAGTGCACCATCCAACACCCAATGTACAAAGAAACTGTTGCTACCATAAGCCAGCTTAGTTTCAGTGCCCTCGCCACTGCCCTATCCATCCAGCAATCAGCAATCGAGAACAACCCTGCTTTGAGGGTTGATCCCCATCAAGCTAGTGCCAGAGTTGCTGGCAGCGATGATCAGGATGAGACACCTGGAGAGGATGAGAAGGATGAAAAGGATGCCAACAGCACCAGCGCCAAGGTCGCCACCAGACCCCAAAGGCTTTGATGTTGGGTCTGCAAAAGGCCTGGACATGGGATCAGTCAATGTGATGCATCAGTGACCATACCAGAAAATTCTCCCCTTGCCAGGCCCAAATAGGAGATCTGGTGCTCCCTCACACATAGTTGGCCAAGCCCCCTAGATTCAAAAGAGACTTCTCATTGGATCTTAGACTCAGGTGCCAGCTATCACATGGTAAACGACTATAGCATGCTCATTGGTCCAAGAACCTGCCAAAAGCACATACTCACTGCTGGAAGCGAGGTTCTGGAAGCAACTGCTATAGGAGATGCTAGCATATCAACAAACACTGGAGATGTTCTTCTCCAAAATGTATTGTATGTTCAGCATCTCAATGTTAACCTATTGTCAACAAATTCTCTGACAGATGAAGGAGCACAAGTGATACTAGATTCAACCAGAGGGCAAATATATCTAGCAAATGGCATGTTACTCAAGATGACCAAGAATCGCAAGCGAGGACTTTTGGAGTTCCGAGGCGACACATGGCAGGAAAATGCAATGATCACATCAGCATCATTATTTGAAGGTGTTGATGAAGATTTTGAGTGTATTGAGAACAAAGTCAAGATACCCAAACAACAATTATGGCATGAGTATCTAGGGCATCCAGGCTGAGACAAAATGAGAGCCATCATCAACCATCTAAAAGGCGACCACCCAGCAAACCTAAATCCAAATGCCACTTTGACATGTGAGCATTGCATCTGAGCTAAAAGCACAGCAGCTCAGATGGGTCAGGGTGGCAGAGAAAGGTCTGTCATGGGCCTGGATGCTCAAGAAGCAGGAGGGTCATGGGTTCATATGGAAGGAGCACAGGTATCGAAGACCTAGTCGATACCAGTAGAGAGCATGGTCGTAGTGCAGTCTCCATGGAGACCACGGACTCCTATGGATTCACATGCAAAGGAGAACCGAGCCACATGCGAGGAGGACCAGGCACAGCCACAAGGAGGACCAAGCTCAAGGAGCAGGCACAGCCACGAGGAGGACCAAGCGAAGGAGTCGACACAGGTCATGAGGAGGAGGAGCAGTGTCGAAGGAGTCGACACAGGTCATGAGGAGGAGGAGCAGTGTCGAAGGAGTCGACACCACTCAAGAGGAACAGGGGTGCCAAGCAGGAGAGGCCCCTGAGCAGTACTCGATGAAGAAAGTACTCTCTGGAGAGAGAGAGCAGGAGCAGCATCGCTGGCGATGCTGTGAAGAGGTATATAACCATGCTTTCTCATCATCATAGGTCGAGTGGATCCCCATCCACTCTACTCACCATAACTAGTTATCACTTCAGCATAAGTATACATTAGTTTCAGTCAGCATAGCAGCAATCTATCAAGGTTGCTCCTCATCGTAGTGTGTGTGTTGTATCACCACTACCTGACGTCCGAAGGCGCCCATAGCAGGTTAGCGGTCCGGATATAGATAGAACCGAAGGCAGTAGTCCACTGCGGTCCGGGGATCACTTCAAGCATCAAGTCAACACACTGGACACTCGTGTTGACGCCACCAACCTTATCACCAACACCATCAACCTCATTATCATCGACGCCACCAACCTTATCATCAACCCCATCAACCTCATTATCATCGACATCACCAATCTCATCACCAACACCATCAACCTCATCATCATCAACACCCACACCAGACCTTGGTGTCATCATAACATTGATATTGATCGTGCCGAGCTACCCCTGAACGGAGTGTCCACAGAGGTCAGCCGAAACCTACGATAGTATATACAACGAACGCCACCTGCTGTCACTGCACAACTTGATAGTCACCGATACCGAGACAATAGCTGTCACACAGTTTAATAGTCACCGAGTATCTCGACAGACCGACCTGGGTTTCAGGCGCGAGACCCCTGACATTAGAGTGGATCGTTCAAGCAGCTCCTCACGATCACCATGACGGACCCAGACCTCAACAATAAGCTCGATAGACTACTCACTCTATTGGAAGCACAGCTAGAGCTTACCAGACAGGGTCATCGAGAGGAACGATTACAACGAGCTCAACTGAGCAGGGAGGAGACAATGGACCTCTCTCACTCAGAAGATCAAGCAGGAGGAGGAGATGAGTCTATGATAGGAGACCCACATACTCCTACTCCAGCTCCACGACCAAGACGATCAGTCTCATTCAACCTGGATGAGCAGGAGGACATCAACTACGAGAAGTATGCTTCACCTACTGGGCCAAGATATGTCAAGACTAAGCTGGACCCCTACAGCAGGACTAGGACGGACCCTTACCCCCTGGACCACGAGGAGGATACCAGCATCATGGCAGAGCTTAACCGGTCAAAGCCCATTGCCACCCCCTTTCCAAAGTTCAATCCCCGAGACATGGAGATCTTCATTCTAGAAGCCGAAGCATGGTTTAAGTTCAACCAGGTGTATGAGCAGTCTAGGATGATCAATCACATGGGTGCTCAACTGGAAGGGACAGCAAGAGAGTGGTGGACCTCCAAGCTCTGTATTGATAGAGCTAGAGAAGGAAGGTTGTTCAATGATTGGCACTACTTCACAGAGCGACTGTCAGAGCAGTTCAACCCACGCAATGCTAGGATGGAGGCATACAACAAGCTGTTGGCTCTCAGACTCACAAGTGATGCTCCTGGTGCCGCCACACGTCATGTAGAGCGGTTCAGAGACTTGGAAGGACAGGTCAACCTAGATGACAATGAGCTAGTGATTGATCTCTTCAGAGGTAGTCTCACTCGTAGCATACAGGAGAAGTTCGAGAGGAATCCACCTGGGAAGAGATGGGAGTGGTATCGAGAGGTCGAGGAGATCGATCGACAGAGGATGCTACTACAGCAGTCCTCGGCTAGACACTCACTCCCAAATGCCACATCACCTCCACTAAGAACTGGGTCTCGGCCAAATCAAAGTTCGATCCCCATCCGACAACCCACTCAACCTTATCCAGCTCGATCACCATCACAAGCAACTACACAAGCAACTATACAAAACCTAAACCGACCCCTTCCTCATCATCCCACCCAACCCTCGAAGCAAGGAAGCCCTGCTCCATCAGGTATCAACACCTGTCATGTATGCAAGGGTATCGGCCATTGGGCCAGAGACTGCCCCAGCAGGAGGGTAAACCCTCTTAGCTCTCGACCCATGGGACCAAAGGTTATGGTCACCACAGCAGACCCCTTCGAGGAGGCCACCGACTCAGGAGATGGCCACACAGGCAGTACTGAGACGGGTGACCCCTGTCATGGGCCTGGATGCTCAAGAAGCAGGAGGGTCATGGGTTCATATGGAAGGAGCACAGGTATCGAAGACCTAGTCGATACCAGTAGAGAGCATGGTCGTAGTGCAGTCTCCATGGAGACCACGGACTCCTATGGATTCACATGCAAAGGAGAACCGAGCCACATGCGAGGAGGACCAGGCACAGCCACAAGGAGGACCAAGCTCAAGGAGCAGGCACAGCCACGAGGAGGACCAAGCGAAGGAGTCGACACAGGTCATGAGGAGGAGGAGCAGTGTCGAAGGAGTCGACACAGGTCATGAGGAGGAGGAGCAGTGTCGAAGGAGTCGACACCACTCAAGAGGAACAGGGGTGCCAAGCAGGAGAGGCCCCTGAGCAGTACTCGATGAAGAAAGTACTCTCTGGAGAGAGAGAGCAGGAGCAGCATCGCTGGCGATGCTGTGAAGAGGTATATAACCATGCTTTCTCATCATCATAGGTCGAGTGGATCCCCATCCACTCTACTCACCATAACTAGTTATCACTTCAGCATAAGTATACATTAGTTTCAGTCAGCATAGCAGCAATCTATCAAGGTTGCTCCTCATCGTAGTGTGTGTGTTGTATCACCACTACCTGACGTCCGAAGGCGCCCATAGCAGGTTAGCGGTCCGGATATAGATAGAACCGAAGGCAGTAGTCCACTGCGGTCCGGGGATCACTTCAAGCATCAAGTCAACACACTGGACACTCGTGTTGACGCCACCAACCTTATCATCAACCCCATCAACCTCATTATCATCGACATCACCAATCTCATCACCAACACCATCAACCTCATCATCATCAACACCCACACCAGACCTTGGTGTCATCATAACATTGATATTGATCGTGCCGAGCTACCCCTGAACGGAGTGTCCACAGAGGTCAGCCGAAACCTACGATAGTATATACAACGAACGCCACCTGCTGTCACTGCACAACTTGATAGTCACCGATACCGAGACAATAGCTGTCACACAGTTTAATAGTCACCGAGTATCTCGACAGACCGACCTGGGTTTCAGGCGCGAGACCCCTGACATTAGAGTGGATCGTTCAAGCAGCTCCTCACGATCACCATGACGGACCCAGACCTCAACAATAAGCTCGATAGACTACTCACTCTATTGGAAGCACAGCTAGAGCTTACCAGACAGGGTCATCGAGAGGAACGATTACAACGAGCTCAACTGAGCAGGGAGGAGACAATGGACCTCTCTCACTCAGAAGATCAAGCAGGAGGAGGAGATGAGTCTATGATAGGAGACCCACATACTCCTACTCCAGCTCCACGACCAAGACGATCAGTCTCATTCAACCTGGATGAGCAGGAGGACATCAACTACGAGAAGTATGCTTCACCTACTGGGCCAAGATATGTCAAGACTAAGCTGGACCCCTACAGCAGGACTAGGACGGACCCTTACCCCCTGGACCACGAGGAGGATACCAGCATCATGGCAGAGCTTAACCGGTCAAAGCCCATTGCCACCCCCTTTCCAAAGTTCAATCCCCGAGACATGGAGATCTTCATTCTAGAAGCCGAAGCATGGTTTAAGTTCAACCAGGTGTATGAGCAGTCTAGGATGATCAATCACATGGGTGCTCAACTGGAAGGGACAGCAAGAGAGTGGTGGACCTCCAAGCTCTGTATTGATAGAGCTAGAGAAGGAAGGTTGTTCAATGATTGGCACTACTTCACAGAGCGACTGTCAGAGCAGTTCAACCCACGCAATGCTAGGATGGAGGCATACAACAAGCTGTTGGCTCTCAGACTCACAAGTGATGCTCCTGGTGCCGCCACACGTCATGTAGAGCGGTTCAGAGACTTGGAAGGACAGGTCAACCTAGATGACAATGAGCTAGTGATTGATCTCTTCAGAGGTAGTCTCACTCGTAGCATACAGGAGAAGTTCGAGAGGAATCCACCTGGGAAGAGATGGGAGTGGTATCGAGAGGTCGAGGAGATCGATCGACAGAGGATGCTACTACAGCAGTCCTCGGCTAGACACTCACTCCCAAATGCCACATCACCTCCACTAAGAACTGGGTCTCGGCCAAATCAAAGTTCGATCCCCATCCGACAACCCACTCAACCTTATCCAGCTCGATCACCATCACAAGCAACTACACAAGCAACTATACAAAACCTAAACCGACCCCTTCCTCATCATCCCACCCAACCCTCGAAGCAAGGAAGCCCTGCTCCATCAGGTATCAACACCTGTCATGTATGCAAGGGTATCGGCCATTGGGCCAGAGACTGCCCCAGCAGGAGGGTAAACCCTCTTAGCTCTCGACCCATGGGACCAAAGGTTATGGTCACCACAGCAGACCCCTTCGAGGAGGCCACCGACTCAGGAGATGGCCACACAGGCAGTACTGAGACGGGTGACCCCGAGGCCATGGACCTCAGCTCATACCAGCAACCCATGGACCCCGATCACGAGGAGGAGCACGATGATGATGACGATGAGGGAAACGTCAGTGGGGTGATGCACTGATGGCATGCATTGCTCTACAAACCTCCTCGCCATCACTCTGTATATATCAAGATTGTCAAGTATGTTTCTCTACCAGTGGAGGCAAAGCAGTACTGGAGCTCTCTGGAATGGTTCAAGACCATCCTGCTCGGATACTAGCTGATACCGGTGCTGGTTTGTCCATAGTCTCAGATTCTTTCATTAGTAAGTACCAAATACCCACAAAACCCATAAAAACAAGATCGATCCATGGTGTCACCGGGCACCAACTCTCCATCAATAGTTCTGCGAGCATGCAGGTATCTATTGGTACACACAATCTGGGTGTGGTCGAAGCTTCAGTGGCCGACACTGCAGACTATGACCTCATCCTGGGGTTCACTGAGCTACGGAGGCTCAAACCCACCATACAATGGGATATGGGCCAGCTGGAGTTCAAGACTCAGGAGCAGGACTGACCCCCTAGGAGACCCCCTGAAGCAGCAAGAGCAGGGGACCTAACCATGAGGAGACCAACCCTTCATGGTAACGAGTTTGTCTCAGCAGAGCGCATACTACGAGCAGCTCTGGAAGATGGACCCATAGGGTTCATGCTGTTAGAGGAGCCACCATCATCACTCCCGGCCTTTGGTTTTGTACCTACAGGCGCAGACAAAGGAGTCGAGATGGAGGTGGAGGTAGATAAGGTGGTGACGGCTGCAGACATACCAAAGCCATACCAACACCTGCGAGATGTGTTTGATGAGGTGGAAGCAGACAAGCTGCCCCATCATACCGAGCATGATCTCCACCTCGAGTTGATAGAAGGAGGTAAGCCACCTCAAGGGCCCCTATACCTTAAGGGACCCAAGGAGATGTCCGAGTTGAGGAGATACTTGGATGAGAACCTCGAGAAGGGGTTCATAAGACCATCGAAGAGCCCGGCACGATCACCAGTGCTCTTCGTACCAAAGAAGGATGGAGGTCTCAGACTCTGTGTGGACTACAGAGGTCTCAACGAGATCACTGTCAAGAACAGGGCACCATTGCCCCTCATCGAGGAGCAGCTGTTCTTACTCAGGAAGGCAAGGATCTATACCAAGCTAGACCTTAGAGCAGCATACAACCTCATCCGGATTGCTAAAGGAGATGAATGGAAGACAGCTTTTGGCACTCAGTTGGGACTCTATGAGTACCTAGTGATGCCCTTTGGCCTAGCCAATGCTCCGGCTCACTTCCAGTCATTCATCAATGACATCTTCCGAGACATCATTGGAGTATATGTAGTGGTATACTTAGATGACTTCCTGATCTTCAGTGACACTGAAGAGGTACATGTGAAGCATGTCACCGAGGTCCTCACTCGCTTAAGGAGCAACAGGCTCTTTGCTAAGCTGTCGAAGTGTGAGTTCCACACCAAGACAGTCGAGTTCCTGGGGTACATCATCAAGCCAACGGGCATAGAGATGGACCCAGAAAAGGTGCGCATTGTCAAGGAGTGGCCAATGCCAGAGTCAATCCATGACATCCAGAGGTTCCTGGGTTTTGCCAACTTCTATCGAAGGTTCATAGCCCACTTTGCTCGCATAGCCAAGCCCTTGACAGCACTGGTAAAGCCTATAGAACGGTTCAAGAAGTTCGAGCTACCAGAGGAGGCCCAACAGGCCTTCCACAAGCTCATCCAGGCCTTCACATCAGCAGGAGTGCTTCAGCACTTCGACTACCACCTTCCAACAAGGTTGGAGACTGATGCAAGTGACTTTGCTATAGCAGGAGTACTCAAGCAGGAGCATGAAGGACGATGGCATCCAGTGGCCTTCTACTCTAGGAAGATGTCTTCTGCCGAGAAGAACTATGAGATCCATGATAAGGAGCTCCTAGCTGTGGTCGCCTGCCTCACTCAGTGGCGACACATGCTAGCTGGACTACCGAACCAACTGGTCATCCTCACTGACCATGAAGCCCTCAAGTACTTCAAGTCACAGAGACGCATCACAGGTCGACAAGCTCGATGGGCAATACTACTAGCAGACTTCGACTTCATATTGCAGTATCGACCAGGAGACAAAGGTGGTGAACCCGATGCTCTCACCAGAAGGACAGACATGCAACCAGCCGGTGAAGAGCAGGATCACAATGTGAGGCAACTACTGCCTCCTCGAGTGTTCAAGGAGACAGCAGACCATGACTCGCTCCTAGTGGCCCCCATGATCTCGATGGAGTCCATAGCATCAAAAGGTCTCAAAGACCTGGTCAAGATCTTCCAGCCTTTAGACCAAGAGCTACAGGAGATACATAGGAAGAAGCCTTTCGAACTCAAGGATGACCTATGGTACAGTGGAGGAAGGTTGGTCATCCCCAAGGTGATCATGCCAGGGAGGACCAACAACCGACACTCAAGGAGTGCCAAAGAGGTAGATGGACAGTCTCTCTCTGTAGAGCATCTGCGATTCATGGTGATGACCCAATGCCATGATGGTATCACTGCTGGACACGTAGGAAGAGATGCTACCATCAAGGCAGCTCAACGACATTACTGGTGGCCAAACATGACAGCTTGGATTGCAGACTATGTAGCAAGTTGTCCTGTATGTGCTAGGTACAAAGCTCCTCGTCATCGTCCATATGGTTTGCTACAGCCACTAGCAACCCCAGACAGGCCCTGGGGCTCCATATCCCTCGACTTCATTGAAGGACTACCACCATCAAAGAAGTATGACTCCAAGACCTATGACTCTATCCTAGTCATCATCGACAGGTTAACCAAGTTTGCCATACTAGCTCCAACCCATAAGACAGTCACAGCCAAACAGACTGCAGTATTGCTATATGGACACATGGTTAGACTCTTCGGATATCCAGATCACATGGTCTCGGACCGAGGCAGGCAGTTCATATCAGGAGCATGGAAGGCATTTGCAGAGCAAATGGGTGTGAAGCACTCACTTAGCACGGCCTACCATCCTCAAACTGATGGTCAGACAGAGAGAGTCAATCAGGTCATAGAGCAATATCTCAGGATGTACTGCAACTATGAGCAGAATGACTGGGCCAACCTGCTGGACACTGCGGCCTTTGTATACAACAACACGGTCCACAACAGCATTGGTGTCTCACCATTCTTTGCATGCTATGGATGGAACCCCAAAGCTCATCCTGACATCCCTCAACGACTAGGAGTCAATGATCCAGGTCGCTTCAAGTACCTCATGGATGGAAAGGAGCGTTGCAAGTACCTCCAGGAGCAGATCAGAGAGGCACAATGGAGATCAGTAGACCAGTATAACAGGAAGCACAAGGACATTGAGTTTAAGGTGGGTGATATGGTCTATATCAACCGCCGAAACTGGAAGACACGGAGACCCACACCCAAGTTGGATACCCGGTTTGCAGGACCCTACCCCGTTCAGGAACGAGTAGGACGCCGAGCTTACCGAATCACATTGCCAGCAAACCTTAGGGTGCATGATGTGTTCCATGTCTCCATGCTCGAGCCAGCAAGAACAAGTTCTCTTCCTCAACGTGCTGAACAGCCCACCATGCCACCACTTCCAGATGAGGACCTCGACTTCGAAGTCGAAGCACTCATCGACAAGCGTTCACACAATGGGACTACAGAGTACAAGGTGTTGTGGAGGGGGTACTCAGAAGAAGCTGCTTCATGGGAACCAGTAGAGAACCTCAACTGTCCCGACCTCATCCAGGAGTATGAGGAGTCGGAGGGGGGACGAGTGAGTAGACAGAGTGGAGAGAGGAGGAGAGAACAGGAGGAGTAGAGAGAGGAAGAGGAAGGAGGATGACGTTGAGAGAAGGAGGAAGGATGATGTTGGCGATGTTGTCAAGGAGGAGGAGTCAGCATGAACCAGACCAGAGCATGCCTCGACGGAGCTCGGCTCTTAAGAGGGGGGTAGTGTCATGGGCCTGGATGCTCAAGAAGCAGGAGGGTCATGGGTTCATATGGAAGGAGCACAGGTATCGAAGACCTAGTCGATACCAGTAGAGAGCATGGTCGTAGTGCAGTCTCCATGGAGACCACGGACTCCTATGGATTCACATGCAAAGGAGAACCGAGCCACATGCGAGGAGGACCAGGCACAGCCACAAGGAGGACCAAGCTCAAGGAGCAGGCACAGCCACGAGGAGGACCAAGCGAAGGAGTCGACACAGGTCATGAGGAGGAGGAGCAGTGTCGAAGGAGTCGACACAGGTCATGAGGAGGAGGAGCAGTGTCGAAGGAGTCGACACCACTCAAGAGGAACAGGGGTGCCAAGCAGGAGAGGCCCCTGAGCAGTACTCGATGAAGAAAGTACTCTCTGGAGAGAGAGAGCAGGAGCAGCATCGCTGGCGATGCTGTGAAGAGGTATATAACCATGCTTTCTCATCATCATAGGTCGAGTGGATCCCCATCCACTCTACTCACCATAACTAGTTATCACTTCAGCATAAGTATACATTAGTTTCAGTCAGCATAGCAGCAATCTATCAAGGTTGCTCCTCATCGTAGTGTGTGTGTTGTATCACCACTACCTGACGTCCGAAGGCGCCCATAGCAGGTTAGCGGTCCGGATATAGATAGAACCGAAGGCAGTAGTCCACTGCGGTCCGGGGATCACTTCAAGCATCAAGTCAACACACTGGACACTCGTGTTGACGCCACCAACCTTATCACCAACACCATCAACCTCATTATCATCGACGCCACCAACCTTATCATCAACCCCATCAACCTCATTATCATCGACATCACCAATCTCATCACCAACACCATCAACCTCATCATCATCAACACCCACACCAGACCTTGGTGTCATCATAACATTGATATTGATCGTGCCGAGCTACCCCTGAACGGAGTGTCCACAGAGGTCAGCCGAAACCTACGATAGTATATACAACGAACGCCACCTGCTGTCACTGCACAACTTGATAGTCACCGATACCGAGACAATAGCTGTCACACAGTTTAATAGTCACCGAGTATCTCGACAGACCGACCTGGGTTTCAGGCGCGAGACCCCTGACAAGGTCCATCTCTCTGCTTGACCTCATTCATATTGACTTGATAGTCGATTCATCACATGCAACAGAGTACACATGCACTTTGGTCTTGGTTGATGACCACAGCAAGTATGTGTATGTATGACCTCTATTACAAAAGAGCCATGCTTTTAAGGAGCTAAAATCAATAATTGTGTACCTAGAAACACAGGCAGGAAAGAGTTTAAAAGCAATATGGTCTGATCAAGGTACTAAATGGAGGAGCAATGATGCCCATGAATGGGCACATGACAAAGGTATAGAGTGGCAAATGACAGTAGGATATGATAGCAGACAGAACGGACATGTAGAAAGGATGAACAGGAGCATAAGTGAGAAGATGCAGGCCCTACTCATGCAGAGACAATTGCCGAAAAGGTTCTGGCCATATGCAATATGGGCCATGGCATTTAAGATGAATCTCAACCTGAGTATAGATGGCGAGTGTCATGGGCCTGGATGCTCAAGAAGCAGGAGGGCCACTGGTTCATATGGAAGGAGCATAGGTATCGAAGATCTAGTCGATACCAGTAGAGAGCATGGTCGTAGTGCAGTCTCCATGGAGACCATGGACTCCTACAGACTCACATGCAAAGGAGGACCGAGCCATATGCGAGGAGGGCCAGGCACAGCCATGAGGAGGACCAAGCTCAAATGGTTACCACTCAGGGGCTCGAGAGACAAGTGTCGAAGGAGTCGACACCAGGTCATGAGGAGGAGGAGCAGTGTTGAAGGAGTCGACACCACTCAGGAGGCACAGGGGTGCCAAGCAAGCTGCAGGATAGCAAGGAGGAGGAGCAGTGTTGAAGGAGTCGACACAGCTCAAGAGGCACAGGGGTGCCAAGCAGGAGAGGCCCCTGAGCAGTACTCGATGAAGAAGGTACTCTCTGGAGAGAGAGCAGGAGCAGCATCGCTGGCAATGCTGTGAAGAGGTATATAACCATGCTTTCTCATCATCATAGGTCGAGTGGATCCTCATCCACTCTACTCACCATAACTAGTTATCACTTCAGCATAAGTATATATTAGTTTCAGTCAGCATAGCAGCAATCTATCAAGGTTGCTCCTCATCATAGTGTGTGTGTTGTATCACCACTACCTGACGTCCAAAGGCGCCCATAGCAGGTTAGTGGTCTGGATCAAGATAGAACCGAAGGCAGTAGTCCACTGTGGTCTGGGGATCACTTCAAGCATCGAAGTCAACACACTGGACACTTGTGTTGATGCCACCAACCTTATCACCAACACCATCAACCTCATTATCATCAACACCAACCTTATCACCAACGTCATCAACCTCATCATCATCAACACTCACACCAGACCTTGGTGTCATCATAACCGAAGTATTGATATTGATCGTGCCGAGCTACCCCTGAATGGGGTGTCCACAGAGGTCAGCCGAAACCTATGATAGTATATACAATGAACGCCACCTGTTGTCACTGCACAACTTGATAGTCACCGATACCGAGACAATAGCTGTCGCACAGTTTGATAGTCACCGAGTATCTCGACAGACCGACCTGGGTTTCAGGCGCGAGACCCCTGACAGGTGTTGATGATAATGAGGTTGATGGTGTTGGTGATAAGGTTGGTGGCGTCAACACGAGTGTCCAGTGTGTTGACTTGATGCTTGAAGTGATCCCTGGACTGCAGTGGACTACTGCCTTCGGTTCTATCTTGATCTGGACCACTAACCTGCTATGGGTGCCTTCGGACGTCAGGTAGTGGTGATACAACACACACACTATGATGAGGAGCAACCTTGATAGATTGCTGCTATGCTGACTGAAACTAATATATACTTATGCTGAAGTGATAACTAGTTATGGTGAGTAGAGTGGATGAGGATCCACTCGACCTATGATGATGAGAAAGCATGGTTATATACCTCTTCACAGCATTGCCAGCGATGCTGCTCCTGCTCTCTCTCCAGAGAGTACCTTCTTCATCGAGTACTGCTCAGGGGCCTCTCCTGCTTGGCACCCCTGTGCCTCTTGAGCTGTGTCGACTCCTTCAACACTGCTCCTCCTCCTTGCTATCCTGCAGCTTGCTTGGCACCCCTGTGCCTCCTGAGTGGTGTCGACTCCTTCGACACTGCTCCTCTTCCTCATGACCTGGTGTCGACTCCTTCGACACTGCTCCTCTTCCTCAGGACCTGCCTGCTAGTGTCCTATACTCTTGTCTCTCGAGCCCCTGAGTGGTAACCATCTGAGCTTGGTCCTCTTTGTGGCTGTGCCTGCTCCTTGAGCTTGGTCCTCTTTGTGGCTGTGCCTGCTCCTTGAGCTTGGTCCTCTTTGTGGCTGTGCCTGCTCCTTGAGCTTGGTCCTCCTCGTGGCTGTGCCTGGCCCTCCTCGCATATGGCTCGATCCTCCTTTGCATGTGAGTCCATAGGAGTCCATGGTCTCCATGGAGACTGCACTATGACCATGCTCTCTAATGGTATCGACTAGATCTTCGATACTTGTGCTCCTTCCATATGAACCAGTGACCCTCCTGCTTCTTGAGCATTCAGGCCCATGACATCGCCTTTCTGTTGAGTACATTTCTTGCAAAAGGGATGATGGATAGCATTGCGAAAATCTTGCATCGCCATGCATGCACTGAGGCCACTCTTGGATCCAGGAGTTCATGATCATCCCATTGCATCTTTTTGTTCAGGCTTGATAGGACCCTAAGATTATGGTTATTGATTGTGCTGAGTTCAGGAGTGGGTCCTGGAGTAGCTTCATGACCAACTAGCTGATGATCGGAATAGTCCATGTCAGGAATGGGAGTATCACCCCTAATTGACCTGGGAGTTTCATCCTTGATGGGGGGGTGTGACTTGGGGTTGTCCACATGCTCAATCAGACCTTCAATCTTGAGGTCAAGGATATGGGTCACATCCCAATCTTTGTTAGCCAGGAAGAGAGTCACTCTGATTCACATGGCTTTACCGAGCTCAGTTCAATTAGTGAATGGACCAAGGTTGTACATTGTTTTGTAGAGGGTACCAACACATTCAATCATGATAGACAATGGTGAGATAATCTGTTCTTCATCATTGTCATCCATTGCATACTTCAGTAAGTGACCAGTCTTTGGAGCACTTGGTGTACCATAGACTTCATTGATCATAATCTGGTTGAACTGGTTCTGTACTATCATAGGCAGTTGTGGTAGGAGATCCTGCATGGGATCGATGAAGTTGTCATAGGTCGAGTAGTCTAAGTTAGACATTGTTGAAGGTGTGTTCAAGGATGTGGTAGGGCTGTTTGGGCTCATAACCTGTTGCAAGTAAAGAAGTTTTATGGTCCTGATACTGGTGATCAGGGATAGTTTAAGTACAATGTCACTACTTTGTTACAGCAGAAACATATACTAAATTGACTAAGAGAATGTGGCAAGAGCCTAGTGCTCTCTGCTCAATATATATACAAAAGTGTGGCACATGCCAAGTGTGAGAGTCTCTATAGTTAATGACCCAGCCTGACAATGAGCAGGACTTGGTTGTTCCCAATCCTTAACAAGATCAGTTATCCCCAATCTCCGATCTCATCATCTTTGCATCACCCATTAGTGTCATCACTGGATCGTGTCCTTCAACATACATGTGTCACTTCATTCCACATACACACATACAGACCATCAGTAGAAGCATATATACCTGGCATTGCTTTGGAACTAGTCTTCTCCTAGAATAATGATTTTGCTATCTACTTTGCCGCCCTCGCTTGTGCATTCCTCAGCATTGTCAATCCAGATCCATACGCTGTTTTTTGCATTGAGCCGTGCCATTATCATCATCTGTTGCTGCTGCTGCTGCTGCTGCTGCTGCTGATGGTGGTGGATTGGATGCTCCAGTCGCCGAGATCGAGGGCAGCGCAGGCTGGATGCGATCGTTCCAAATCGGATTGGACACCACATTGAACTTCTCGAAGGTGGGTATCATGGCAAGAGTGGTCAAGATTTGCTCAAAGATGGCTCGGATCTTCAAAATGTCGAGGCAAGGATAGGCGTGCTTGTTGGTCACACCTTGGATGCAGAGTCGAGGGCATTCAGTGCCATTGATCGTCTGCACTTGCGGGCGGGATCCTTTAGGTTTGCTGGCAAATGATGTTGAGGTGCCCAGGTCAAGCAGAACGCAGAGCAGAGCCCTTTCGGTGAGTGGCTTTTCACCCGGCAGTGCATGCGAGGTGCGCATAATCGATGGTCCAGCGAGCTTGAGCATTACATCCGGCTTACCTGATCCAGCTCCTGGCTGCGGTTCGTCGCGATTCTTGGCCTCCCATGCAATGTAGGTCATGTAGCATGCGGCGTGCATCTCGATGCTGGTGGCAGCATCATCCTGCGTGCCAGTGGGAGTAACAAAGGGCCGATCGAGGTTGCCCATAAAGACGGGGAGGATGCCGTCGATGCCATGCTGCGAGTGTGCCATTTGCAGTCCAACTCCACGCTTCCAACAGTACCACAGGTATTCGGGAGAGATCTCGGTGATATGTTCGGGCAGCACATCAAAATGCGTAAAGTTGGTCCATGCCACTGTTGATGCTGCTGCTGCCGATGTTCCAGCCCGCGGTCGTTGCAGCGCCGGACAGGTGGACGAGCCATCCTGCTGCACTCTTTCAACGCGTTGGCGCAATTGGTCAGCGTTGGCCTTGTCGAGGTTAGCAAGCTCTGAAAGGATGGTTTCGAGAGGCACCGTGCGGGTCAGCACCTTGACATGCTCCGATGTTTTCTGTTGCTTGAGCGCGTCCAGCTCTTTGCGCTTTGCTGCATCCCAGGCGACAACCAAGGCCATGTGCGAGGCTAGCTCTCCATACATCCCCTTGAATCCGGCAATTGCCGAGTCCACAAGGCATCAGCCTTGGAAGTTTCCCATGATGGAGCTGTACATGTCGACTGGCTTCGACCCAACATTTTTTGCGCCAGTGCACAACATGATGAGCGAGGCAGCGATTGCCAGCACGGGTTCCGACAGAGAATTGACATACATGGTGGCATCGTTAGATATGCGGCTCACCATATGCATGTGCCGGTCCATGGTCTTGTCCATGAAGAGCTTTTGCTCGCCAAAGAGGGCGCCACTGCCTTCATGCACTGGGACAAGGCCCAGGGCAAGCTGCGAGGCCATGACACTGAAGCACTGTGCCGTGTTGTCTGCGGAGAAATTCTTTTTGCCTTGAAGCTTGGCAAGGACGCTGCCCCAGAAGTCACCACTCTCGAGTGCGGGCCAGAGTGGCCGTCCATATCGGATGAGGTGGTCATGCGAGGACGCCTGCGAGGCACAGGAGAGGGCACGTTGCTCCTCGGCAAGCACATCGACACCGACGCCAACAAACATATGCAAAGGCGCCGAGTTCCTTCGACGGAGCGAGGCCTGATCGTCAACGTGTTTGACGAGATAAGCGGCACTGCTGCTGGTGCTCATGAGCACCAACCAGAAACTCAAAGTCTTGTATTTATCCTGGAGCATACCAACGTAGTTCCAAGCACGGCGAAGGCTGTTGAGCTGATTGTTGGGCATGTTGGGATCGGTGACAATCATTTCGATGCATTTGTCAAAGGCTACCAGCACTGGAGGCACTGGCACTTCGGCTTGACCCGAGTGCAGATGACGCGACACGGCAATTAGCTGCTTGTTGAGATCGATAAGAGGCTGCCGGAGAGCCACGTCAAAGATCGTTTCGTAACTGGGTGTTAGGAAGGATTTGGAAGCTTTCCCCTCTACGAGCTTGAGTACAATTGGGAGATCGCTCTCTGCGAGCTCAGATATGGCCTTGAAGTGGTTGTTGCGGGGATAGCGGTCAAGAGGCTTGGGCAGACCATTGTCACGGGTGACTGGTTCGAATCGATTGAGATCGCAAAGATGTTGATACTTTTCGGCGTCGGTCTTCCAAGGTCTCAATGCTTGGGCAAGCATGGTGAACCAGGCACAAAGGAAGCAGGCCACTTGAAGGTCGCACCTGCTGGAATAATCGCGCTGTGCATTGGCAAAGTAGGTTCGGACGCCTTGGTCTGGGAGTGGATAGCCAGCCTTGGCGTTGCTCTCGGCGCTTCTGTTGCGAAAGCAGACGTAGAGGAGGGGGGTTCATTGCTGACATTCATACACCATGCGTGTCTTGCCTGTACCACTCGACTGAACAATGGGGGTGCTGCGAAAGTAAGGCTGGGGTTCGTTTGCATCGAGTTTGTCATAGACAGCATTGAGGTGAGAGACAAAGGTGAGGAAGCGATTGGGTGCGTCACCACAGTAGGGTCGATAAAACCCGTTTTCAAGATGAATGCTGGTACCGATCACCTCTGGATCTCGGGAGCACTTGACATGCGATTGTGTGAGGTGAACGATGACCACGGCAAGGGCCTGGTTGGGGCTATTGAAAGTGGGGAATCGCGAGGTGAGGTTGTTGTAGACAGTGGCAAGCTGGTCAACGACGGGGGTGGTAACATCGTTGAATACGTTTTTGAGCTCTGGTATGACTGCACAAAATTTAGACTGTGTCATGGGCCTGGATGCTCAAGAAGCAGGAGGGTCATGGGTTCATATGGAAGGAGCGCAGGTATTGAAGACCTAGTCGACACCAGTAGAGAGCATGGTCGTAGTGCAGTCTCCATGGAGACCATGGACTCCTATGGACTCACATGCAAAGGAGGGCCAAGCACAGCCACGAGGAGGACCAAGCTCAAGGAGCAGGCACAGCCACGAGGAGGACCAAGCTCAAGGAGCAGGCACAGCCACGAAGAGGACCAAGCTCAAGGAGCAGGCACAGCCACGAAGAGGACCAAGCTCAAGGAGCATGCAGATGGTTACCACTCAGGGGCTCGAGAGACAAGAGCCAAAGGAACTGTCACTGATCAAAGGAGGAGGAGCAGTGTCGAAGGAGTCGACACAGCTCAAGAGGCACAGGGGTGCCAAGCAGGAGAGGCCCCTGAGCAGTACTCGATGAAGAAGGTACTCTCTGGAGAGAGAGCAGGAGCAGCATCGCTGGCGATGCTGAGAAGAGGTATATAACCATGCTTTCTCATCAATAGGTCGAGTGGATCCTCATCCACTCTACTCACCATACAACTAGTCAATACTTTAGAAACACAAGTACTCATTAGTTACAGTCAGCATAGCAGCAATCTATCAAGGTTGCTCCTCATCGTAGTGTGTGTGTTGTATCACCACTACCTGACGTCCGAAGGCGCCCATAGCAGGTTAGCGGTCCGGATATAGATAGAACCGAAGGCAGTAGTCCACTGCGGTCCGGGGATCACTTCAAAGCATCAAGTCAACACACTGGACACTCGTGTTGACACCACCAACCTTATCACCAACACCATCAACCTCATTATCATCGACATCACCAATCTCATCACCAACACCATCAACCTCATCATCATCAACACCCACACCAGACCTTGGTGTCATCATAACATTGATATTGATCGTGCCAAGCTACCCCTGAACGGAGTGTCCACAGAGGTCAGCCGAAACCTACGATAGTATATACAACGAACGCCACCTGCTGTCACTGCACAACTTGATAGTCACCGATACCGAGACAATAGCTGTCACACAGTTTAATAGTCACCGAGTATCTCGACAGACCGACCTGGGTTTCAGGCGCGAGACCCCTGACAGACTGGTGTTGGATGAGGCATTCGACCATTGAACTGAGCTGGCCAGGACTCCAAGATTTATCCCTACTATACATATCGCAAGCCATTTTGTGAAAGCTGATGAGAAAATCCCAATCTTCAATGCATCTGAGCTGAGCTAGAAGACTTGTTGCCTTGGAGGTGCGAGGGGTATTCTCGAGAGCTTGTTGGGGTAGCGCTGAAGTGGGCTTGACAGGCGTGGTAGGATTGGCAACCTGCTTTGACTGGGGGCTGCGATGATGCAAATTAGGGTGGGATTTGAAAAAAGAATCGAGAAACTCGTAGATGTGATCCAGAGGCCATTTGTTACGTTCGAAATGGCTGAGTCGATCATGCAACATTGCAGAGACTTCGAGAAGAAGAGGTGATGATGTTGAGACGATCTGGTTGTCATCAGAAGATGGCGGAAGTAATTTGTTGAGCTGAGGACCATTGTTCTTTGAGGCCTGGCAACGGTGCATTGCTGCTACTGGAGCTTGGCGAATGCGAGGGTGGTGAAGACGACATGATGGAACGGTGAAGCCCAAGCACACTAAATGCTAGCCGATATTGAGTAGACCTAAGATTGTGGCCAGAGAAAGCGTGTCGTGGGTGGTGGTTATGGTGATGGTAGTGATGATGGTAGTGATGATGATGGTGGTGATGATGATGAATCCAAGCTGAGCTTTCATCTTACTTGCGCACTGTACAAGCAAAAATTTGAAAGATAGGTATCAGACTTTCTCGTGTGGCTAGTTTTTGCGCGAGAAGATTTCGATCGAGCATTCTCGTGCGGCTAGTATTCGCATGAGAGAGTAGTTGAAGTTGAAGAGAATTTTTTTGCAGCTCTTGAAAATAGAGAAGGGGGTATCAATTTTCGAGTGTTTTTAGAAACACATGTTTCTCGATTTTGACGACCCCTTTTAAGGATCCAAAAAACACGTGTTTCTAAAAACACATCTGCAGAAAATGTGACATTTGGTTCGATTTAACACGTATGTTATTAATACTGAAGCTCATCAGTATCATGTTAGCCTGTGCTTCACACTGTTACAGATGGTCATGGTCAATCAAGTCTTTTGCAGAAGGATCTCACTAAGTATGACAATGAACTAAGGTGCTAGGTGTCAGCGGTTGCGCGCCTGAAACCTGAGATCAGTAGTAGTATCAGTACTATCACTGATTCTGTCGAGTTATGCGACAGCGCTAATGGTATTTCGATTCCTAGTGAAATATGCAACAGAGCCTTCTCTGTCACCTTTCTCGTTGGAATCTGTAGTTGTATTATCGTTATGACAGATTTCGACTAACTGCTGTGGACACTCCGTCCAGAGGTAGCTTGGCATGATCAAACTACAATATGACTCTAAGTGAGCTTGATATTGACACCAATGGTCTGGTGTGAGTATGGATTGTTGATGCCGACACAAGTGTCCAGTGTGTTGACTAATGCTTGAAGTGATCCCTGGGCCACAGTGGATGTCTGCCTTCAGTTCTATGGTTATCTGGACTGCTGGTTGCTACGAACCGCCTTCGGATGTCAGGAAATGGTGATACAACACACATGCTTTGATGAGGAGCAATCTGTTGACTACTTCTATGCTGACTGTGAACTAATGATACTTATTGCTTGAAGTAATACTAGTTTGTTTGATGAGTAGAGTGGATGTCCCTCCACTCGACCATTTGTGATGAGAAGGTATGTGTCATGGGCCTGGATGCTCAAGAAGCAGGAGGGTCACTGGGTCATATGGAAGGAGCACAGGTATCGAAGACCTAGTCGATACCAGTAGAGAGCATGGTCGTAGTGCAGTCTCCATGGAGACCATGGACTCCTATGGACTCACATGCAAAGGAGAACCGAGCCACATGCGAGGAGGGCCAGGCACAGCCACAAGGAGGACCAAGTTCAAGGAGCAGGCACAGCCACGAAGAGGACCAAGCTCAGATGGTTACCACTCAGGGGCTCGAGAGACAAGAGTCATAGGACACTGGCAAGCAGGTCCTGAGGAAGAGGAGCAGTGTCGAGGGAGTCGACACCAGGTCATTGTCAGGGGTCTCGCGCCTGAAACCCAGGTCGGTCTGTCGAGATACTTGGTGACTATCAAACTGTGCAACAGCTATTGTCTCGGGTATCGGTGACTAATCAAGTTGTGCAGTGACAGCAGGTGGCATTCGTTGTATATACTATCGTAGGTTTCGGCTGACCTCTGTGGACACTCCATTCAGGGGTAGCTCGGCACGATCAATATCAATGTTATGATGACACCAAGGTCTGGTGTGAGTGTTGATGATGATGAGGTTGATGGTGTTGGTGATGAGATTGGTGATGTCGATGATAATGAGGTTGATGGTGTTGGTGATAAGGTTTGGTGGCGTCAACACGAGTGTCCAGTGTGTTGACTTGATGCTTGAAGTGATCCCCGGACCGCAGTGGACTACTGCCTTCAGTTCTATCTTGATCTGGACCACTAACCTGCTATGGGCGCCTTCGGACGTCAGGTAGTGGTGATACAACACACACACTATGATGAGGAGCAACCTTTGATGGATTGCTGCTATGCTGACTGAAACTAATATATACTTATGCTGAAGTGATAACTAGTTATGGTGAGTAGAGTGGATGAGGATCCACTCGACCTATGATGATGAGAAAGCATGGTTATATACCTCTACTCAGCATCGCCAGCGATGCTGCTCCTGCTCTCTCTCCAGAGAGTACCTTCTTCATCGAGTACTGCTCAGGGGCCTCTCCTGCTTGGCACCCCTGTGCCTCTTGAGCTGTGTCGACTCCTTCGACACTGCTCCTCCTCCTCATGACCTGGTGTCAACTCCTTCGACACTGCTCCTCCTCCTCATGACCTGGTGTCGACTCCTTTGACACTGCTCCTTCTCCTTTGATCAGTGACAGTTCCTTTGGCTCTTGTCTCTCGGAGCCCCTGAGTGGTAACCATCTGCATACTCCTTGAGCTTGGTCCTCTTCATGGCTGTGCCTGCTCCTTGGAGCTTGGTCCTCCTCATGGCTGTGCTTGGCCCTCCTTTGCATATGAGTCCATAGGAGTCCATGGTCTCCATGGAGACTGCACTACGACCATGCTCTCTACTGATCTCGACTAGATCTTTTGATACCTGTGCTCCTTCCATATGAACCCGTGACCCTCCTGCTTCTTGAGCATCCAGGCCCATGACACTACCCCCCCTCTTATGAGCCGAGCTCCGTCGAGGCATGCTCTGGTCTGGTCCATGCTGACTCCTCCTCCTCCTCCTCGACAACATCGCCAACATCATCCTTCCTCCTTCTCTCAACATCATCCTCCTTCCTCTTCCTCTCTCTACTCCTCCTGTTCCCTCCTCCTTTCTCTACTTTGTCTACTCACTCATCCCCCCTCCGACACCTCATACTCCTGGATGAGGTCGGGACAGTTGAGGTTCTCTACTGGTTCCCATGAAGCAGCTTCCTCTGAGTACCCTCTCCACAACACCTTGTACTCTGTAGTCCCATTGTGTGAACGCTTGTCAATGAGTGCTTCGACTTCGAAGTCGAGGTCCTCATCTGGAAGTGATGGTATGGTGGGCTGTTCAGCACGTTGAGGAAGAGAACTTGTTCTTGCTGGCTCGAGCATGGAGACATGGAACACATCATGCACCCTAAGGTTTGCTGGCAATGTGATTCGATAAGCTCAGCGTCCTACCCGTTCCTGAACTGGGTAGGGTCCTGCAAACTGGGTATCTAACTTGGGTGTGGGTCTCTGTGTCTTCCAGTTTCGACGGTTGATATAGACCATATCACCCACCTTAAACTCAATGTCCTTGTGCTTCCTGTTATACTGGTCTACTGATCTCCATTGTGCCTCTCTGATCTGCTCCTGGAGGTACTTGCAACGCTCCTTTCCATCCATGAGGTACTTGAAGCGACCTGGATCATTGACTCCTAGTCGTTGAGGGATGTCAGGATGAGCTTTGGGGTTCCATCCATAGCATGCAAAGAATGGTGAGACACCAATGCTGTTGTGGACCGTGTTGTTGTATACAAAGGCTGCAGTGTCCAGCAGGTTGGCCCAGTCATCCTGTTCATAGTTGCAGTACATCCTGAGGTATTGCTCTATGACCTGATTGACTCTCTCTGTCTGACCATCAGTTTGAGGATGGTAAGCCATACTAAGTGAGTGCTTCACACCCATTTGCTCTGCAAATGCCTTCCATGCTCCTGATATGAACTGCCTGCCTCGGTCCGAGACCATGTGATCTGGATATCCGAAGAGTCTAACCATGTGTCCATATAGCAACACTGCAGTCTGTTAGGTGTCCATCTTATGGGTTGGAGCTAGTATGGCAAACTTGGTTAACCGGTCGACAATGACTAAGATAGAGTCATAGGTCTTGGAGTCATACTTCTTCGATGGTGGTAGTCCTTCGATGAAGTCGAGGGATATGGAGCCCCAGGGCCTGTCTGGTGTTGCTAGTGGCTGTAGCAAACCATATGGATGGTGACGAGGAGCTTTGTACCTAGCACATACAGGACAACTTGCTACATAGTCTGCAATCCAAGCTGTCATGTTTGGCCACCAGTAATGTCGTTGAGCTGCCTTGATGGTAGCATCTCTTCCTACGTGTCCAGCAGTGATACCATCATGGCATTGGGTCATCACCATGAATCGCAGATGCTCTACAGAGAGAGACTGTCCATCTACCTCTTTGGCACTCCTTGAGTGTCGGTTGTTGGTCCTCCCTGGCATGATCACCTTGGGGATGACCAACCTTCCTCCACTGTACCATAGGTCATCCTTGAGTTCGAAAGGCTTCTTCCTATGTATCTCCTGTAGCTCTTGGTCTAAAGGCTGGAAGATCTTGACCAGGTCTTTGAGACCTTTTGATGCTATGGACTCCATCGAGATCATGGGGGCCACTAGGAGCGAGTCATGGTCTGCTGTCTCCTTGAACACTCGAGGAGGCAGTAGTTGCCTCACATTGTGATCCTGCTCTTCACCGGCTGGTTGCATGTCTGTCCTTCTGGTGAGAGCATCGGGTTCACCACCTTTGTCTCCTGGTCGATACTGCAATATGAAGTCGAAGTCTGCTAGTAGTATTGCCCATCGAGCTTGTCGACCTGTGATGCGTCTCTGTGACTTGAAGTACTTGAGGGCTTCATGGTCAGTGAGGATGACCAGTTGGTTCGGTAGTCCAGCTAGCATGTGTCGCCACTGAGTGAGGCAGGCGACCACAGCTAGGAGCTCCTTATCATGGATCTCATAGTTCTTCTCGGCAGAAGACATCTTCCTAGAGTAGAAGGCCACTGGATGCCATCGTCCTTCATGCTCCTGCTTGAGTACTCCTGCTATAGCAAAGTCACTTGCATCAGTCTCCAACCTTGTTGGAAGGTGGTAGTCGAAGTGCTGAAGCACTCCTGCTGATGTGAAGGCCTGGATGAGCTTGTGGAAGGCCTGTTGGGCCTCCTCTGGTAGCTCGAACTTCTTGAACCGTTCTATAGGCTTTACCAGTGCTGTCAAGGGCTTGGCTATGCGAGCAAAGTGGGCTATGAACCTTCGATAGAAGTTGGCAAAACCCAGGAACCTCTGGATGTCATGGATTGACTCTGGCATTGGCCACTCCTTGACAATGCGCACCTTTTCTGGGTCCATCTCTATGCCCGTTGGCTTGATGATGTACCCCAGGAACTCGACTGTCTTGGTGTGGAACTCACACTTCGACAGCTTAGCAAAGAGCCTGTTGCTCCTTAAGCGAGTGAGGACCTCGGTGACATGCTTCACATGTACCTCTTCAGTGTCACTGAAGATCAGGAAGTCATCTAAGTATACCACTACATATACTCCAATGATGTCTCGGAAGATGTCATTGATGAATGACTGGAAGTGAGCCGGAGCATTGGCTAGGCCAAAGGGCATCACTAGGTACTCATAGAGTCCCAACTGAGTGCCAAAAGCTGTCTTCCATTCATCTCCTTTAGCAATCCGGATGAGGTTGTATGCTGCTCTAAGGTCTAGCTTGGTATAGATCCTTGCCTTCCTGAGTAAGAACAGCTGCTCCTCGATGAGGGGCAATGGTGCCCTGTTCTTGACAGTGATCTCGTTGAGACCTCTGTAGTCCACACAGAGTCTGAGACCTCCATCCTTCTTTGGTACGAAGAGCACTGGTGATCGTGCTGGGCTCTTCAATGGTCTTATGAACCCCTTCTCGAGGTTCTCATCCAAGTATCTCCTCAACTCGGACATCTCCTTGGGTCCCTTAAGGTATAGGGGCCCTTGAGGTGGCTTACTCCTTCTATCAACTCGAGGTGGAGATCATGCTCGGTATGATGGGGCAGCTTGTCTGCTTCCACCTCATCAAACACATCTTGCAGGTGTTGGTATGGCTTTGGTATGTCTGCAGCCGTCACCACCTTGTCTACCTCCACCTCCATCTCGACTCCTTTGTCTGCGCCTGTAGGTACAAAACCAAAGGCCAGGAGTGATGATGGTGGCTCCTCCAACAGCATGAATCCTATGGGTCCATCTTCTAGAGCTGCTCGTAGTATGCGCTCTGCTGAGACAAACTCGTTACCATGAAGGGTTGGTCTCCTCATGGTTAGGTCCCCTGCTCTTGCTGCTTCAGGGGGTCTCCTAGGGGGTCAGTCCTGCTCCTGAGTCTTGAACTCCAGCTGGCCCGTATCCCATTGTATGGTGGGTTTGAGCCTCCGTAGCTCAGTGAACCCCAGGATGAGGTCATAGTCCGCAGTGTCGGCCACTGAAGCTTCGACCACACCCAGATTGTGTGTACCAATAGATACCTGCATGCTCGCAGAACTATTGATGGAGAGTTGGTGCCCGGTGACACCATGGATCGATCTTGTTTTTATGGGTTTTGTGGGTATTTGGTACTTACTAATGAAAGAATCTGAGACTATGGACAAACCAGCACTGGTATCAGCTAGTATCCGAGCAGGATGGTCTTGAACCATTCCAGAGAGCTCCAGTACTGCTTTGCCTCCCCTGGTAGAGAAACATACTTGACAATCTTGATATATACAGAGTGATGGCGAGGAGGTTTGTAGAGCAATGCATGCCATCAGTGCATCACCCCACTGATGTTTCCCTCATTGTCATCATCATCATGCTCCTCCTCCTCATGGTCGAGGTCCATGGGTTGCTGGTATGAGCTGAGGTCCATGGCCTCGGGGTCACCCATCTCAGTGCTGCCTGTGTGGCCATCTCCTGAGTCGGTGGCCTCCTCAAAGGGGTCTGCTGTGGTGACCATAACCTTTGGTCCCATGGGTCGAGAGCTAAGAGGGTTTACCCTCCTGCTGGGGCAGTCTCTGGCCCAATGGCCGATACCCTTGCATACATGACAGGTGTTGATACTGATGGAGCAGGGCTTCCTTGCTTCGAGGGTTGGGTGGGATGATGAGGAAGGGGTCGGTTTAGGTTTTGTATAGTTGCTTGTGTAGTTGCTTGTGATGGTGATCGAGCTGGATAAGGTTGAGTGGGTTGTCGGATGGGGATCGAACTTTGATTTGGCTGAGACCCAGTTCTTAGTGGAGGTGACGTGGCGTTTGGGAGTGAGTGTCTAGCCGAGGACTGCTGTAGTAGCATCCTCTGTCGATCGATCTCCTCAACCTCTCGATACCACTCCCATCTCTTCCCAGGTGGATTCCTCTCGAACTTCTCCTGTATGCTACGAGTGAGACTACCTCTGAAGAGATCAATCACTAGCTCATTGTCATCTAGGTTGACCTGTCCTTCCAAGTCTCTGAACCGCTCTACATGACGTGTGGCGGCACCAGGAGCATCACTTGTGAGTCTGAGAGCCAACAGCTTGTTGTATGCCTCCATCCTAGCATTGCATGGGTTGAACTGTTCTGTCAGTCGCTCTGTGAAGTAGTGCCAATCATTGAACAACCTTCCTTCTCTAGCTCTATCAATACGGAGCTTGGAGGTCCACCACCCTCTTGCTGTCCCTTCCAGTTGAGCACCCATGTGGTTGATCATCCTAGACTGCTCATACACCTGGTTGAACTTAAACCATGCTTCAGCTTCTAGAATGAAGATCTCCATATCTCGGGGATTGAACTTTGGAAAGGGGGTGGTGATGGGCTTTGACCAGTTAAGCTCTGCCATGATGCTGGTATCCTCCTCATGGTCCAGGGGGTAAGGGTCCATCCTAGTCCTGCTGTAGGGGTCCAGCTTAGTCTTGACATATCTTGGCCCAGTAGGTGAAGCATACTTCTCGTAGTTGATGTCCTCCTGCTCATCCAGGTTGAATGGGACTGATCGTCTTGGTTGTGGAGCCGGAGTAGGAGTATGTGGGTCTCCTATCATAGACTCATCTCCTCCTCCTGCTTGGTCTTCTGAGTGAGAGAGGTCCATTGTCTCCTCCCTGCTCAGTTGAGCTCGTTGTAATCGTTCCTCTTGATGACCCTGTCTGGTAAGCTCTAGCTGTGCTTCCAATAGAGTGAGTAGTCTATCGAGCTTATTGTTGAGGTCTGGGTCCATCATGGTGATCGTGAGGAGCTGCTTGAATGATCCACTCTAATGTCAGGGGTCTCGCGCCTGAAACCCAGGTCGGTCTGTCGAGATACTCGGTGACTATCAAACTGTGCAACAGCTATTGTCTCGGTATCGGTGACTATCAAGTTGTGCAGTGACAGCAGGTGGTGTTCGTTGTATATACTATCGTAGGTTTTGGCTGACCTCTGTGGACACTCCATTCAGGGGTAGCTCAGCACAATCAATATCAATGTTATGATGACACCAAGGTCTGGTGTGAGTGTTGATGATGATGAGGTTGATGGTGTTGGTGATGAGATTGGTGATGTCGATGATAATGAGGTTGATGGTGTTGGTGATAAGGTTGGTGGCATCAACACGAGTGTCCAGTGTGTTGACTTGATGCTTGAAGTGATCCCCAGACTGCGCAGTGGACTACTGCCTTCAGTTCTATCTTGATCCAGACCACTAACCTGCTATGGGCACCTTCGGACGTCAGGTAGTGGTGATACAACACACACACTATGATGAGGAGCAACCTTTGATGGATTGCTGCTATGCTGACTGAAACTAATATATACTTATGCTGAAGTGATAACTAGTTATGGTGAGTAGAGTGGATGAGGATCCACTCGAC